GCCCTTCCTCACAGCCCTCTATCCCAAAATATCAAGTCAGAAAACCCCACATTATCTGAGTGTGAACTCAGATAACCCAGTTCAAATCAGATACTCTGAGATTTTCAGTGATATTCTGGAATATAGGGCTGTGTGAAAGGGCCCTTAGAGGGGAATATACTAAAATAACTGCTCCTTGTTGAGGACTTGAGACTTGGGCAGTGTGGAGTTGAATTCCAACAATAGTAACTCTTCCAGGAGGGGATTTCTCTTCCAAGGGGTAGGTTTCTCTCACGTACTATTGCCTCATGCCCATTCTTAACTAGGAGTCATTTGTAGGTCGAATGTTTGTAACTCAGGAACTGCCTGTATTCTTCAAACACTCCAGGCCATTATATGCTAATCAAGGTGATCAGTTGAAACATTCACACCTAGCTCCAGCAGACAAGGGCCCTTTGTCCCACCCTGGTCATTCCACAGATATATAAACCCTTTTTCCTAGTTCCAACAGTCCTCACTACCTCTGAGGATGCTTGCCATAGATGCAGGCGAAACATCAGGAGAGAATGCCTCTAGACCATGGCCATATAGCCCGAAAAAACCTATAACAACCCAGAACTAATCTTGTTTGTCAGCCCTTTAACAGCCGTGACTCAATGTTGTGGAGTCCTGGGAGTTGTAGTTTAACAAGATCTTTAGCCTTCTCTGCCAAATGGTGCTGGTGCCTCACCAAACCAACTCCTAGGATTCCATAGCATTGAGCCGTGTCTAAGGGGGTGCCAAACAGCATTAATTCTACAGTGTAGATGGAGTCAGAAGCATACATCTTCAGCAATCTAGTATTCTGTCAACAAGATAGGTATGATTTCTCACTGTAGCGCATACACAATTGTCGCTATCGTTAACATATATTGTTCTGTAGGATTCTTCAACATCTCTTCATGCTGATCCTTCAGTAGTCCCAATTTAATCATACAATGGATTCCTATTCAGAACATTTGGGCTTACTACATATAGGAAAAATGGTGCCCACATTCTTTTGACAGTTCCAACACATATTAGACCGCTGGGTTGTTGTAGGTTTTTCGGGCTATATGGCCATGTTTTAGAAGCATCCTCTCCTGATGTTTCTGCCTAGTTCCAACAGACCTCACAACTCTGAGGATGCTTGCCATAGATGCAGGCGAAATGTCAGGAGAGAATGCTTCTAGAACATGGGCATATAGCCCGAAAAAACTACTACAACCCAGTGATTCCAGCCATGAAAGCCTTTGACAGAATATTAGGTAAAGGTTGTCCTCTGACATAAAGTCCAGTCGTGTCCGACTCTGGGAGTTGGTGCTCATCTCCATTTCTAAGCCGAAGAGCCAGCATTGTCCATAGACACCTCCAAGGTCATGTGGCCAGTATGACTGCATGGAGCACCATTACCTTCCCGCCGGAGCGGTACCTATTGATCTACTCACATTTGCATGTTTTTGAACTGCTAGGTTGGCAGAAGCTAGGGCTGACAATGGACAGAATATTAGATCTTTGTTAATACATTTTTAAAACACGGTTTATAGGGTATACAGTACACAGCTTTTATTGGCATACAACAACAAAATCACCACACAGCCATATAGGAAGTCACAGATAAAAAGGAAAACATTAATAAGAGTTACTGATCTCATGACTAAAATTTGCAACAATCTCACAAAAGAATGCATCCGAGTTGTTTGTTTGTTTTTTAATACATTTTTATTGATTTTGCAGTATAAAATGAACATATAACATACATATGGGAAGAAAGGGAAGTGCATGGGTGACAATATCCACGTTACAGGGAAACAAACAAACAGAATGACAAACAGATAGCCCCGGTGCCAACCCTCCCCTCCCCCCCTCCCTACAAAACTACCCTCCCCCAATCTACCCCCCAACCCCCCCTACTCTAAAGTTTAAAATCGACTTCCTCTCATCTCGTCCACTTTCTGATATATATCTTCTTTCTGTAATTCTATTACCTATCTTCTCTCCTCACTTTCTAACCAATGCTAGTCTCATTTCAGTATATTTCATTGTCTATATAACTTTTGAGCAAGCTCCAGTCCGTCATAACAGTTCCTTTTCCGTTGTGTTGTCTAATCCAGAAGGTCAATTCGTCCATTTCCTGTACGTCCAATAGTTTTTCCAGCCATTCTGATCTTGATGGTATTGCGTCTTGTTTCCATTTTCTAGCAAAGGTCATCCTTGCTGCAGTTACAAAAAAAGTAAACAACTTTTCCATATTATTATCGGGGAATAACTTTAGGTCATACATTCCTAATAAATATATTTCTGGGTTCATCGGTATGTTCATCCTTAAAATTTTTCTGCACTCTTTATTAATCATCCCCCAGTACTCCTTAGTTTTAGGGCATGACCACCATAGGTGGTAGAAGGAGCCCTCTTTCGCTTTGCACTTCCAGCACCTATTATCCGCTTTCCTATACATTTTTGCAATTTTCTGTGGGGTTAAGTGCCAGCGGTGCAACATTTTCAGCCAGTTCTCCTTTAGGTCTGAAGCATAGGTGTATCTGAGTCTTTTCACCCATATTGTTTCCCATTCCTTTAATTGAATGCTTCTACCTATGTTTTTCGCCCAGACAACCATTGAGTTTTTAATCAGCTCCTTTTCTGTAGCCCATCCCAATAAGTTTTTATATAATAGCGTTGTTGTTTTCCTTTTACTTTTTTGAATTCTATCCCACAGGTCATCTTCCTCTCCAAATCCCAGCTTTTTATCCTCTCTGTAGCTTTCTTTGATCTGAGTATACTGGAACCATGAGATGTTCCTAAAATCTTTGGCTATGTCCTTTTGAGATCTAAGTTACCTAGACCCATTCTTTTTAAGGAGGATATCTCTATATGAGGGCCATTGGACCCACCCCAGTAGTCTGCGTTGGTTTGCCTCCAAGGGCGAGATCCATAGTGGTGTTCTATGGAAGAGATATCTTTTATATCTTTCCCAGACTCTTATCAACGCGGACCTCACAAAATGGTTTCCGAAGTTTCCTTCCTTTTTAACTCCTCCGTACCAGAGGTACGCGTGCCAGCCCTTTCGGAGCTCAAAGCCCTCGATAGTCAATATCTTGATGTTAGTTAATTTTGTCCAGTCCCGGATCCATGTCAGGGCGCACGCGTCATGGTATAGTTGCATATTTGGTAGCCCAAACCCCCCTTTGTCTAGTGGCATTGTCATTATTGTATGTTTTATTCTGGGTCTTTTATTTCTCCAGATAAACTTAGATATCGTGTTGTTCCATTCCTTGAAGGTTCTGTTGTTTCTGATGATGGGTAGGTTTTGGAAAAGGAATAGCAGTTTGGGTAACACACTCATTTTTATAGTCGCTATTCTACCTAAGAGTGAAAGGTTAAGTTTGTTCCATGATTCTAGTTCCTTTTTCATTTCTTTATGCATCCGAGTTGTTTGGAAGACAATGAATTTTATAATACCCTTGCCATTGAGAACACAGGAAAAATGGAATTGCTGTATTTCATCTATATATTTTCATATTTAGGGCATACAAACAGAATAGTGAAGTGTGTTGACAGAAACTAAATCGGAAGAACAAAACTTTTGGAACGTTCTACGTTCTATCTCCCATCCAAAAGAGCTGATAGCAACCAAAGGCAAAGCTCTGTTTTGGGTGGGATTAATCAAAAGGCAAAGACGCTCGCATGGCATTAATGATGTGGTAGGGGAACAAGTTGCCTTTGCTGCCAGAGTCAGATTATGAAAGTAAAGCTCCGATGCTAAAACAGTTGAAATGCTCATTCAGATCCAATGTTAAAACAGTACAAAGATTAAAAGGACATAAAATGCCTTTACAGCCCAATCCACACTGCCATATAAAATCCAGATTATCTGTTTTGAACTAGATTATATGGCAATGTAGACTCCTATCCCGTTCAAAGCAGATAATCTAAGGACCCTTCCACACACAGCCCTATATCCCAGAATATCAAGGCAGAAAATCCCACATTATCTGAGTGCGGACTCGGATAACCTAGTTCAAAGCAGATATTGTGGGATTTTCTGCCTTGATATTCTGGGATATAGGGCTGTGTGGAAGGGCCCTGAGTTATCTGCTTTGATAATCTGGATTATATGGCAGTATAGAAAGGGCCCAAAACCATTCAAACACAATCTAGAAATAGTTCTGAGATCTAATTTGGAAACAGATGATATCAAACATAATAGAATACCTTGGAGCCCCCGGTGACGCAGTGGGTTAAACCCCTGTGATGGCAGGACAGGTCRCAGGTTCAAATCTGGGTCGCAGGTTCAAACCCCTGTGATGGCAGGACAGGTCGCAGGTTCAAATCCGGGGAGAGGCGGATGAGCTCCCTCTTATCGACTCCAGCTCCTCATGCGGGGACATGAGAGAAGCCTCCCACAAGGATGATAAAACATCAAATCATCTGGGCATACCCTGGGCAACGTCCTTGCAGACGGCCAATTCTCTCACACCAGAAGCGACTTGCAGTTTCTCAAGTCACTCCYGACACGACAAAAAAAAAATAGAGTACCTTTGTACTCCATATATGCTCTCTGAAATTCAATCCAAAAACAATCCTAAAAGCTGGTCTGGAAACAACTAAGGTAGAGCAATTCTAATCCTAATAGTACATTTATGCGATAGACTACTGAGATTCCTCCCAGCTCCATTGAACCTCACTGTTGTGTATCAAACTTCTTTTATTGGTGTGTTGTAGGGCTTGTCCTCATGTAAGCCGCTCCGAGTCCCTTGGGGAGATGGTGGCGGAGTATAAATAATAATAATAATAATAATAATTATTATTATTATTATTATTACTATTTTATTCTCTCTTTTATAGACACATTGAAGTGTGATCAAGCATTGGGAAAAAGGCTATAATGCCATGGAATTCCTTGTGAATGGATATGTACATAAATGTCCTATCACACATGAAGCTCAGAGGGTGATTTAAATAAGAATCTGACTTTTGTATTTATTTGTCCATTTGATAGGTTCCCCTCTGAGAAGGTCTGTCATGTGGAGGTTTCTTGTGGCCAGGCTGCTCCTCTTCCTCCTGCATCCCAGATATACGCTCTCAGACTCAGAATGTAAGTGGTTGGCCGTAGTCAACAGGTTTGATAACCTCGGAGGCGACCGGAACGTCTTCTTTCAGCAGCGTGAAATTCCCTCAGTAAAGGATGTCTTCAAGGAGCTGGTGGATTCGGCCATAGACCCTGATGACAAAAACGCAGTGAGTACTCGCATCCATGTTGAGAAGTGGGAGATGAGAGAAAGGAGAAGATCCAGAAGGGCTATTGGGTTACACAGGTTGCCAAAAGTATGATAGCTGGGACCCAATGCTGGTTGCGCGACAAGGGTAAAAATTTGAGAAGTGAAGACGTTACGTATTTGAATGTGTTTATATACAATATCTGGATATCCTTAAGCACTATGCTTGACTGTTTGTTGTCCCCCCCCCCCTTTTCTGGCGAACTATCTTGCCACGACTCTGTTACACCTGCATCTCTCATTCGCTGTGCTATCTCGGCATTGGGTCCCAGCTATCATACCTTTGCCCATAGGCCTTCAACTGAAGCTGTGTTCATCATAAGCCATATAGAGCTCTTCAGGGCCCCATTTACACTGCCATATAATGCAGTTTGAAATGGTCAGTGTAGACTCATATCATGCATTTAATTATATAGGAGTCCTGGTGGTGCAGTGAGTTAAACCCTTGTGCCAACAGGACTTAAGACCAACAGGTCGTAGGTTCGAATCTGGGGAGTGCATGGATGAGCTCCCTCTGTCAGCTCCAGCTCCCCTTGCAGAGACATGAGAGAAGCCTCCCACAAGGATGGTAAAACATCAAAACATCCTGGTGTCCCCTGGGCAATGTCCTTGCAGACGACCAATTTTCTCACACCGGAAGTGACTTGCAGTTTCTCAAGTTGCTCCTCACATGACATTTTTATTAAATTATAAGGTCAGTGTAGACTTATATAATGCAATTAAATTGCATTGTATGAGTCTGTGCTGGCCATACAATACAGTTTCAAACTGCATTATATGGCAGTGTAGATGGGATATCGGAGTGGGGATGGAAGTGGGATACTGGAGTCATAAGAACATTAAAACTACTGGTTCAGACTGTTTGCTCCAACATTCTGTTTTCAGATGTCCCTACGGAAAGCACACAAGCAAGACTAATTGATGAGGGAGAATAGGATATCCTGCATCTCCAATAGGAAAGAATGGTTCATGAGAAGAACTAATACTGCATTTATGCAGTGTTGCCGAACTGGTCATCAATCATTTAGAATTTTAAATGATGGCACTGCAGAGATTCAGACACAAACTTGTCCACATTTGCAAGACTTTGTGGTGATGGGTTTGCTATGAGTTTTTTGGGCTTTGTGGCGATGTTATTCAACGTTGTGTTCTCCAAATGGAAACTGCAGCGGAAATAACTCTCTTCTTTTACAGAAATACCTGGGGTTTCCATACTACTTGAAAATTAACCTGACCTGCAAAACACTGGTAAGGACAAGGCTGCAAACTTGGCCAAAGCCTACCGGATCTTGGTGGGAGGTGAATTCAAATTTCAAGCGTACTTCCAGAAGCCTACGGAGCTAAGGTTGTTGACCGAAAGATCACAGGTTTGAATCCAGGGAGCAGTGTGAGCTTCCTCTGTCATCCCCAGCTTCTGCCAACCTAGCAGTTCGAAAACATGCAAATGTGAGTAGATCAATAGGTACCTCTCTAGCGGGAAGGTAACAACTCTCCATACAGTCATGCTGGCCACATGACCTTGGAGGTGTCTATGGACAACGCTGGCTCTTCAGCTTAGAAATGAAGATGAGCAGTGTCTGGTGGGGACGAGGGACAGGGCCTTCTCGGTGGTGGCCCCTTGACTCTGGAACTCTCTCCCACTGGAGATCAGAACTGCCCCCTCCATTCTGTTGTTCAGAAAATGGGTGAAAACCTGGCTATGGGGTTTGGCTTTCGACGAGTGAATCAATATTTCTGTGATCGGATAGATGACAATGAATGATGGACAACGAATTCACTATGACGACTGACCATTGTTATTATGTGATTGAATTTTGCTGTTATAACGTTTTAATTGAATATGTTATATGATGTTTTTAATTACTGTTTTGTGATTTTATTGTTGGAAACCGGCTCGAGTCCCCGATAGAGGGGAGAAGACCGGTATACAAAATTGCTAAATAAATAAATAAATATATGGCCCCAGCCCATCTCACATCTCACTCTATGCATCTCACTCTATGAATTATCTCACTCTATGAATTATCGTGGTTAAGATCCTCTGGTGAGGCCCTGCTCTCTGTTCCACCACTGTCACAGGCCCAATTGGCAAGGACAAGAGAGAGGGCCTTCTCAGTGATTGTCCCTTCCTAGTGAGATTAGGTCAGCCCCCTCCCTCCTGTCCTTTAGAAGAATGATAAAAACTTGGCTGTGGACCAAACCTTTGGAGCAGTGCAATAACAACAGCTATAGGAACCTTACTATGTCCACCAGATTTTATGCAGATAGTTGAGATTGCTTAAATAGTTAATGTAGAGATAAATGATTTTAATGTTTCAGTGATTATGTTTGTGCACAGTCTATTTATGCCCGGCACTGAATGTTTGCCACTTATATGTTGTGCTCCGCCCTGAGTCCCTTTCAGAGTGAGAAGGGTGGAATATAAATGTTTTAAATAAATAAACCACTCTGTGAAGGTTTGTACTGCTCTCCCCTTCCAGAACTCTGCAATGGCACTTCGGACAGCTCACTACAGTGGACTGAAACCAGTGGTGACTGTCACTTTTGAAGAACCCACCCACGCTGTGCGTCAGAAACAGGAACAATTGCAGATCGAAATGACGGGAGCTCCGTTCAGGATGGGAGGTATTTTCATACCCTTGGGGGTCACAGCATCCTTAGGTCCAGCGGCACCAAGTAAGCCGGTGGCATAGCAGGAGGTTCCTGACTACAGTTTAGAAAATAGGTTTCCAGCAAGGAATTTTTGTAATTGTAATGTTTTTAAATTGTATTGTGATACTATGTATACTGTTTTGTTGGAAACCGCCTTGAGTCGCCGATAGGCTGAGAAAGGCGGTATACAAATACAATAAATAAATAATAAATTTGGTTCAATTCCATCATTGGTGGAATTCAGAATGCTCTGTGATTGTTGATGAACTATAAATCCCAGCAATTACAACTCCTAAATGTCAGGATTCTATTTCCCCCAAATTCCAGCAGTATTCACATTTGGGCATATTGAGTATTCTTGTAGAGTTTGGTCCAGATCCATCATTGTTTGAGTGCACAGTGATCTCTGGATGTAGGTGAACTACAACTCCAAAACCAAAGGACACTGCCCATCAAATCCTTCCAGTATTTTCTGTTGCTCATGGGAAAACTGTGTGCCAAGTTTGGTTCAATTCCATCGTTGGTGGGGTTCAGAATGCTCTTTGATTGTAGGTGAACTATAAATCCCAGCAACTACAACTCCCAAATGACAAAATCAATTTTTTTGAGTGAAGGACATACATTGGGCTGTTAGATGTCTTGTGTCCAAATTTGGTGTCAATTCACCCACTGATTTTTGAGTTCTGTTAATCCCACAAACAAACATTACATTTTTTATTTATATAGATAGAGCTTTTTCTTCTTCTTTTGGTGTTACTGGAATTAGAGTGCATCTTAGAGTAGAAGAAATATGGTATTTGTTTATTGTTCTGTGGCTCAAGTGTTGGATAAAGATTAGGTAAATCTTCATTCAACTCATTAGATCTCAGCCAGGCTATCGTAAAAATAGTTTGAAAAAAAATGGGTGATCATATTTTTGAGCCCTTTGGAGAATTGGAGGAACATACATTTCACTAATAATTCATTTGCAGGTATCATCTTCAAAGACGATTATCACTCTGAAAAATTAATTAATAAGCATTCACAAAACATTAACTCAGAAATTAATGGCCAGTTTAGGCATGCTAAAGATTTGGTGGTATGGAGACATGGAAACTATGCTAAAGTACCATTGAAAGCAGAACTCTTTTTACTAGGATTATTAGACAAACAGACATTGAAACCTCAAGAAAGAATTTTTCTTTATATGAGAACAGCAGCCAGAACTGAATAGATCAAACTATGGAAACAACAAAACATACTAACACCAGAAGACTGAATTACAAAAGTTTTTGAAATGGCCAAAATGGACATTAGCTCTACAACAAATGCAGAAATTCTAGAAGAATCGAAACTCTTTATTGAATTTATAAAGAATCAAAGGATTTGTTAACTAATTATTATTATTATTATTATTATTAAACTTTATTTGTACCCCGCTAGCATCTCCCAAAGGACTCGCAGCTTACAAAGGCCAAGGCCTCAACACACAATACATACAATACAAAAACTAAAGCAAATTAAAACAATTAAAGCAATATAAACACAGGCAATAAACAATACACAAAAACACAATAACTGGGCCGGGCCAGAGTAATGGGGTACAGGATTAAAAGTGCTGATGTGACAGGTGGTATCTAAGGCATTATAGGGCAAGTGCAGTGTGCGGTGTGCAGCAATCTTAGTTCTAATAAAGTGCTTATGGGACTTGTTGTTGGAGGATTCCTATTCTGGGAAGGCACATCGGAACAGCCAGGTCTTCAAGTTCTTTCTGAAGACTGCCAATGTAGGGTCTGTCTAAGATCTTTGGGGAGGGTGTTCCAGAGTCGGGGGGCCACCACAGAAAAGGCCCTGTCTCGTGTCCCCACCAAACGCGCTTGCGACGCAGGCGGGATCACGAGCAGGGCCTCTCCAGATGAATGAACGCGTGGGTTCATAGACGGAGATGCGGTCACGCAGGTAGGATGGTCCCAAACCGTTCAGGGCTTTGTAGGTAAGCACCTGCACCTAAATTGGGCTCGGAAAATAAACGGCAGCCAGTGGAGCTCCTTGAACAGGAGGGTTGACCTCTCTCTGTAATGAGCCCCAGTTAACATCCTGGCTGCTGCCCGTTGGACCAGTTGGAATTTCCGAGCCGTTTTCAAGGGCAGCCCCACGTAGAGCGCATTGCAGTAGTCCAATCTAGAGGTGACCAAGGCATGGACCACCCCGGCCAGATCAGCCTTCGCGAGGTACGGTCGCAGTTGGCGCACGAGTCTCAATTGTGCAAAAGCCCTCCCAGACACCGCCGACGCCTGAGCCTCAAGCGTAAGCGATGAATCCAAGAGGACTCCCAAACTGCGGACCTGTGGCTTCAGGGGGAGTGTAACCCCGTCCAGCACAGGTTGCCACCCTATACCCCGGTCAGGTTTACGATCGACCAGGAGGACCTCTGTCTTGTCGGGATTGATCTTCAGCTTGTTCTTCCTCATCCAGATAGACACAGCGGCCAGGCACTCGTCCAGCACCCGAGAGGCCTCCTTGGAATTAGGTGGAAAAGAGTAGTAGAGTTGTGTGTCATCTGTGTAGAGATGGCACCTAACTCCAAAACTCCGGATGACCTCTCCCAGCGGTTTCATGTAGATGTTAAAAAGCATGGGAGACAGAATAGAGCCTTGCGGGACCCCACAGGTCAAAGGCCAGGGGTCCGAGCAGGCGTCTCCCAGCTTCACCATCTGGGATCGACCCTCCAGGAAGGATCGGAGCCACGACAAAACCGTGCCCCCAAGACCCATCCCAGAGAGTCGCCCCAGAAGGATACCATGGTCGATGGTATCGAAAGCCGCTGAGATGTCCAAGAGAACCAACAAGGTCACACTCCCCTTGTCCAGCTCTCTACGGAGGTCATCCACCAAGGCGACCAAGGCTGTCTCGGTACCGTGACCAGGCCTGAAACCAGACTGTGACTGATCTAGGTAATTAATGTCATCTAAAAAGCCCTAGAGCTGGGAGGCAACCACCCGCTCCAGCACCTTACCCAAGAAAGGGAGATTGGAGATTGGTCTGAAATCGTTCAGCACCGTGGAGTCAAGGGAAACCTTTTAAAGTAGTGGACGAACCACAGCTTGTTTCAGGTGAGATGGAAAAATCCCTTGCTCCAACGATGCATTAATGATCAACACAAACTAAAAATAATATTAATAGTTGATACATTTTGTACTATTTATATACTCTATATTCAAGAGACTTTAGATAATTGACCTATCAGTACCCTTGAATTAGACTAGAAATGGTCGCAAGCCTTATTATTTAGGTATTTTATAACCACACACGCACACTTATATATACACATGCATACATACAAAAATACATGTTTGGGTACTCTTTTTTAAAAAAGAAAACATAACAATGTAACAGTGAATTCTCATGTACACAATATTAATTGAGTAACAAATGGAATTGAATTTTTAGATTTATATGGCCAGAGTTAAAACGATATAAAATACAAGTAAAGAACTGAAAAAATATAATATAAAAATAACTATTTTTATACCCTGCCTCTATCTCCCTGAAGGGACTCAGGGCGGCTTATATGGAGCCAGGCCCAACAGAATAGTTAAAACATAACACATTAAAATGCATATCAACAAAAAGATAACAATATAAAAATAAAAACAACATTAAACAGTATATAAAACATACATCAAACCAACCCATAGCAAAGTAGAAAGAAGATTATTATTTATTATTTATTTATTAACTACATTTCTATACCACTTTTCTCACCACTGGGGGGACTCAAAGTGGTTTACAACATAATAAATGGCAAATTCAATGCCTCATATATCTATATCTATATCTGTATCTATAATAAAAGTCAAAGTTTGTATGCGGAGGGCGGAAGTGCGGCGGACGTAGGGCAGAGGGATATGTGGCAGCTTTCTGATTGGCTGCAACTGTGGTGCTATTTGCATATGGTCTCTGATTGGCCAACCTCAACAGGACCCCCCTGGTGGTGAAGACGGTTAATGAGAGAAACGGAGACATGAGAGAAGGCCAGCCTCAGTTCCAAGATTCCGAGATGACCAAGAGAGTAAAGGAAAAGGCCAGGGGCTCTGTCAGAAAATTACCAATACAGACCAAACTTGGAACACAAAGTCCCCATCACCCACTCGACATCTACTACAGTTTGGAGGAGGATGAACCATGGATGATGGGATTTGCAGTACCATCACTCACATTCTGAGATCGCTATTGACCTCATCCAATGACTGATCAGGACCAAACTTGGCACATAGACCTCTCATGACCCACTTTACGTCCTGGTGTGGTTTGGCCGGGGATGGACCATGGATTATGGGACTTGCAGTACTTTTGCTCAATTTTGAGACTGCAAACCTCATCCAATTACCAATATAGACCAAACTTGGCACACTGAGTCTCCATGACGCACTCTACATCCTGGTGCAGTTTGGAGGAGGATGCACCATGGACGATGGGGCTTCAAGTACCTCCACTCACTTCCCAAGACTGCTGCAACCCTCATCTAATAACTGATCAAGACCAAACTTGACACACAGAGACCCCATTAGCCACTCTACATCCCAGTGCTGTTCGGAAGAGGATGGACGATGGATGATGGGACTTGCAGTTCCTTCACTCACATCCTGAAACCACAGTGACACTCATCCAAATACCAATAAAGACCAAACTTGGCACAGAGAGCCCCCATGGCCAACTCAACATTCTGGTGAGGTTTGGAGGAGGATGGGCCACAGATGATGGGACTCACAGTACCTTCACTAACTTCCTGAGACCACTGCATGCCATATACATAACTGAGAAAGACCAACCGTTATACACAATTCCTTTCTCAAATACCCGGGCAGCGCCGGGTCCCCAAGCTAGTATATATATAAACACATATCTAAATCAATAACGTATAACTGCAGATAAAAACCATTAAAACTATAAACACATCAAACATAGATATAAGCATGAAACATATTATTGCTGCAATTAACAATGTAGACCTCTTCCTCCCCTCCCCACTCCCCCACTCTCTCTCCATAGCATTTCAGCCCTTCTTTTTATACCCTCCCTGCTCCCCCCACATCCCAACAGACACAAAGTTATTTAAGTACAGATTGAATACAAAATGGGAAGGGTAAAAAAAAAAACATCGGATAGTATGGGAAAACATGACATTGGACGACAAGAGTGTGGTCTTTTCTGTTTTGTAGAGGACATTTGGAACTTTCAGAACTTTAGGCAATGTGTATAATAGTACTTGAGTTGAAGATATAGTTGTAATAATTATAACAAATAGAAGGTTTCTTTCCCCCCTCAATCCCCTTTCTCTTCCTCAGTGACATAGTAGACATTTATATAGGCCTGATCTACTAATCAGAGCTCCACAACCCTTTCCTCCTAATTTGTTCTCCTTTTCTTTGTGTGGAAAAAATAATGCATAATAAAAATCAGTGGAGAGGAAGACACATCAAGCAAACCCTTGCTGTGACTGCCTTCCACCTGGAAATCTGTGTCCTCACTGTAGATGCAGAATAGATCTCTACAGTCACTTACAGAACCACTGCCAAGACTCTGCTCTTGGAAGACAATCATACTTGACCACAAGTGATCGCCTGTGAGATGTGTTTTTCCCCCAAATACTGAATGAGACTCATTCCGTTTCCAGGTAATGAATACCCTTGGCGTGTTGTAATGGCTTTGCAAATAAATCCACAAAGTTACCTGCCCATCCAAATTACTAATACTCATTAATATTATTCAATTGGTTGTAATGCACTTGTGTTTCTGTTTGTTCTCTGAGCATGCCCTGTCTCCAAAAGGTTGCCGAAGCGATGAGGTTTGCAGGATGTGCTGGTACACGCCGATGCCCTTCATGAATGGCAGTGTCGTCATGGATGTGATTGTGGCCAGCAATCACCTTGGCATGACTGTGGACGATAAGAGGTGAGAGAAATGCTTCGGTTTGTGGTGCAATGTTCAACGTATAGCTAGAGTGAACACAATTTTGAATGTCCTAATCGCTTGGAAAATAATAATAATAATAATAATAATAATAATAATAATAGTGCAATTTTCTGTCATTGTATATTTCTGCCGCTTCTGTGATGGTTCATTTGTATTTTGATTCTGTAGCCCACTTGTCAATTGATGTCCAGAATGAGCAGCATCCACCGCAGTCCTTTTTATCCTGGCCGTCGACCGTGCCAGTGTAGACTTCATTTTGGTTTGCTTTTCCATAGTGCTAATGGGTTAGGTGCTCTTGGTTCCACTCCTCAGCTGAGACCTCTCTGGCTTGGTTGGACCTGCTGGTAGTTACACTACCGCCAGCAAAGCTCTCAGCATCCTTGGAGCAGTTAAGCCCCCCACCACGACAAGGTGGCACCCATTGGGGGGAATTGCAGACTGTGAAAGCAAGCTGATGAAACCATGGATCATATCCTCAGCTGTTGCAAGAAAATCACACAGACGGACTACAAACAAAGACACAATTCTGTGGTTCAGATGATTCACTGGAACTTATGTCACAAGTACCACCTGCCAGCAGTAAAGAATTGGTGGGATCATAAACCCGCAAAGGTCATGGAAAATGAACATGCAAAAATACTGTGGGACTTTCAAATCCAGACTGACAAAGTTTTGGAACACAATACACCAGACATCACGATTGTGGAAAAGAAAAAAGTCTGGATTATTGATGTCGCCATACCGGGTGACAGTCGCATTGAGGAAAAACAACAGGAAAAACTCAGCCTCTATCAAGACCTCAAAATCGAACTGCAAAGGCTCTGGCATAAACCAGTACAGGTGGTCCCAGTGGTTATTGGCGCACTGGGTGCCGTGCCAAAAGATCTCAGCTGGCATTTGGAAACAATAAACATCGACAAAAATCACGATCTGTCAACTGCAAAAGGCCACCTTACTTGGATCTGCGCGCATCATTCGAAAATACATCACACAGTCCTAGACTCTTGGGAAGTGTTCGACTTGTGATTTTGTGATACGAAATCCAGCATATAGATCTCGTTTGCTGTGACATACTGTGCTTTTGTGTCAATAATAATAATAATAATAATAATAATAATAATAATAGATCCAGAATTGAAAAGTTGACGACAGATCCCAAATGTAGACTCTGCAAGGAAGCAGATGAAAATAGATCACATCCTCAGCTGCTGCAAGAAGATTGCGCAGACTACAAGCAGAGGCATGACACCGTTGCTCAAATGATTAATTGAAACTTGTGCCACAAATACCATCTGTCTGCGACAAAGAACTGGTGGGATCACAAGCCTGAAAAAGTTACAGAAAATGAACACGTCAAACTACTCTGGGACTTCCGAATTCACTGACAGAGTTTTGGAGCACAATACTCCTGACCTCACGAAAATGTTAAAAAAATAAAGTATGGATGTCAATGCTGCAATTCCAGATGATAGCAGGATTGAAGAGAAACAACTGGAAAAGATGACATGATATGAGGATTTAAAGATCGAACTGCAAAGACTCTGGCACAAACCAATCAAGGTGGCCCCAGTGGTGATTGGTACACTGGGTGCAGTGCCTCAAGACCTTGGCCTGCACTTAAACACAATCAGCACTGACAAAATTACCATCTGCCAGCTGCAGAAGGCCACCTTACTGGGATCTGCACGCATTATTCGCCGATACATCACACAGTCCTAGACACTTGGGAAGTGTCCGACGTGTGATTCAAAACAACAGCCAGCAGAGTGATTTTGTCTGCTGTGGACTCATCTTGTTGTGTTTCACATAATAATAATAATAATCTTTATTTCTATCCCACCCTATCTCCCAAGAAGGGACTCAGAGCGGTTTACAACAAAAATGGGTCCAGGCCGGAGACCACCATGACAAGCTCAGGCAGGGAGACTGTTGTGTAGCAGGGTGGACAGTCCATCAACAGAGTCCATGTTCTGTCCCAGCCACTCACCCTTAGATAGACACTCTCAAATGTGTTCAACTGTGGGACAGGACACCGGGTCAGGTGCATGGAATCTCAATAGACTACTGCAACTCTTCCTCCCCACCCCCCAGGTCTGGCCTGCTGATACACACTGAAAGCTGATGGACAAAGTTGGGAGAAGTTCACCCCCCCCCCCTCCTTTGTCCAACCAGGTCTCAGTAATGCAGGCTAGGTCAGCGTACTCATCCAAGATTAGATCTTGGATGGCCGTTGATTTTCCATTCACCGACTTGGCATTAAGCAGCAGGACTTTCAGCCTGGCCGGGGGGGGGGGGGGGGGGGGGGGGTGAGGCTGCCTGAAAATGATTGATGAATTAAAATGACTTCCAAAGCTTGATGCACAACCGATGAAGTGGTAGCCAAACTCATATCATTAGCAAGACTGGATCCAACTTGTGTGCTGTAGGGGCCATTCCGCTTTTATAAGGCAACTAGTCTAGGCATTTTATAAGGGCTAACATTAGAAATAATCATTGTTTATTTTTGGATTTTATGAATAGTCCCCTTAGAAAATGCATATGGATGTGGGTGAATTAAAACTCCCATAATCATAAAGAAAGAGAGAAAGATAAAAAGGGGAAAAAAGGAAAGAAAGAAGAAAGAAAAGAGGAAAAATAAAATAAAATAAATAATAATAACCGCTCTGAGTCGCCTGAGGGCTGAGAAGAGCGGTATACAAGTGAAGTAAATAAATAAATAAATAAATCTTTTGTCTTTTGTCTTGACTTTTCTTCCCTCTTGTTTTCTCTTCTTTTTATATTATTATATTTCCATTTTTCTGTTTCAAAATAATTTGTCGCTTTTGTCCAGTCAGTTTCTTTTATTGGGGTACCTTTATTTTTTGATATTAGGTATGTTAACCTATCCATATTTTTAATATCTACATTTTTTTCTATCCAATCACTAATTTCTGGCATCTTTTCTTTTTTCCGTAATTTTGTGTAGCAAATTCTTGCTGCAGTATTCAATTAAAAAAGGAGTTTATCTGTATTTTTTTCTAATTTTTGGTCTATTATCCCTAGTAGAACTATCTCAGGTTTGAGTGAGATTCTTATATTTAACATTTCCTGCAATATTTTGTGATTTTTCCCCCAATATATATATTTCCTTTTTCTCTTTCTCTCTTTCTTTATGACTATTATTATTATTATTATTAGATATTTTGTATTATTATTTTTTTAAAACCTTCAATAAAGGTTATTTTTTTAAAAAAAACTTCCATAATCATCTGTCATTGCCCCTGCAGCAGCAGTTGAAGTTGGGCACGATGGGTATGTGTGCCAGGTTTAGTCCAAATCCATCTTTGGTGGGTTCACAGTGCTTGCAGGATGTGGGTTGACTACAACTCCCATTGTTCTCTGTCATTGACAAGAGCCACAGGGCTCTGTGGATAGGACCATCTTTGTGCTGTCATGCACTGGGCCTGTGAAAAGGTCTGTAAACAGGGCGTGCTCTGTATGCCCAACAGGACGCCGGGGATGCCTTGGATTAGAGGCCCTATAGATTTCTCTTAACAAAGTCTTTAGAAACTTGGAAAGTTTAACGAAGTTCTTTATTAGTGCTTAGGTCTTCAATAAATCAAATAAATACTTCAAGGCTTTGAATCAACTGGTGGCTTTCTTAATCTTGACAACAAGGGAGAGGCAACTATCTTCATGAACTGTTTCTTCTCTATCAGGGAAATCCTTGACCTCTACCTGGGCAATCTGTCTTAGGCTCTGCTGGCCTGGGCCCCTACACCCGGTCCAAATTGCGTTATGGCTGCCGCGAGTGGTCCTTACCAAACAGAGTCCTTTTGTAGATTTCCAAGAGGAAAGAAGGTCTTCAATTCCCAGCGAAGGCTGGCTGTAAAGCTGTGGGACTGGATTTCTTGAGCAAAAGCGATGCTTCTCTGTAGAGCTGTGGGACTGAATTCCCCCAGCAAAAGCTGGCTGTACTTCCCCAGCAAAAGCTGTAAAAGACGAAGCTTTCTACAGGTGGAACTGACTCACGCCCTGTGCGAAAGGCTTCTCTGTGAGAACTGAACTAGAGGTCCCCTTTTCCCCTCCTAAACCCAGAAAAAGGGGCAGAACTAAAGAACCTAATGATGATTGATGGGTCATTGGCCCTATAATTGCAAACCAAGGAAAGCCACCTTATTGCAAAATGCATGGAACTTTGAAATACATACAAACACTCAAAGAAAGAAAAAGAAGCTGGAGCTCCTGGTATAGCCATACCAGAACAATCGTCGTAAAATACAAAGATAGGTTGATACATACCTACATATATACATACATTCCTACATAAATATTTTTATCATATAAATAGATATGAACATTATTACATTAGCTGGTTTCTCTTTTCTTTTTGAATAATGTCTCTTAGAATGGAGACTGTTCTTTTACAATAGGTGAAATCATGCTGTTGTTCACATGTTGATAGACTTGATGGTTAAGTCACATTAAACAGTTCTTTGCATACTTAAGAACTATTTATAATCAGTGGTTACAGAAGTAAACATTAGTTTTTTCACAGACTTCAGACCTAGCCAGTGCAGCCTATAGTGAGCAGTATTGTGAATTGCAATCCAACAACATATGAAGGATCTGTGGTGTTGTCTAACATAACAGTGTAAAAGATATTGATTCCTGCGATTTTTAATATTCATAATATTTTCTTATTTCTAGGTTCTCTATCAATGTAAATGGATTTGTGAGAGCAAGTAAACAAAGAGCTAGATTCAGCATTGGGAGAAAGGTAAATTCCTGTGGTTGGTGAGGGTTCTGAGTTCACACAATTATTCAGCAACTGAGTTGTTAATATTTCCATTATTATTATCATCATCATCATTATAAAGATCACCCTCATCCTCTTTGGTATCCTGCCCTTTCCCCAATATTGTGGCTCAGGCCACCTTACAGCTCCACATACAAAAACACTAGTTAAATATGTTTAAAAGGTATTTTGAAAAGCAGTACATCTGTGAAATGAAAAATATTTAAACATTCATTAAAAGATAGGTTTAAAAAAAATTTAAGGACGTACAGAGTTTCTTTATGTTTTGGCATGGGAGCTACCATCTGCAGCCGAAAGTACATGAGTTTCCCATTTGGTTGTGCCACGTTTATAAACAGGGCTTTAGAGGGCAAACATGATATGAAGATAGCACAGAGAAGGATTCAACATAAATCTGGGTTATCCATGCTTCCTTCCTTCCTACCTTTGCGCACGGAGATTTGTCATGGAGCAGCATTACAATATATCACCATAGTCTGCCACCAAAAGTGGCACAGGCCATGCAGAATGTTTACTTTGTATTCTGTGGAATGTAGTATTTGGGCCTCCATGGCTTCAGTATGCAGGAGAAAGGTTAATTGTGTCCTGATGCTCTCCTCTCTGGCCTCTTTATGTCCAAATAGCTGGATGCTTTGAATCACTTCATGTCTCTGTCACATGCGTCGCGTCCCTTGTGGCACACCCACATCCGCGCCCCTGTGCTCATCCTTGGTGACTTCCCCATGAGCAAGGTTGTCCTCCTCTCCGACACGGGATTTGAAGATTACTTTCCAGTAGAGGTAAGAGATTATGGGGGTGAGTTGGGGGGGGGGGGTGCAGGACTCAGGGTAATCATGGCGGTCAGCCTCTCCTGGTTTCCTTCTCATGCAAACTACACGATAAAAGGATTGGAAACCCAGATGCAGCACAGATTGGTATTAGACTACCTGTTCAGAGAAGGAGGTCTATGGGTTTGGTTGAACATGACATCAATGAATCTGGGCAGAATGAGGAGGATGTTTCCAAGATACACCAAATAGTCATCAGAGTCAGATCCACATACACTCAGAATTCAGCTTGGTGGGGGTGGCTCACTTCAGGCTGCCTGGCTTGCAGTGGTTAAAAGCTTTGGTCATGTCTGGAATTGCAATGGTCATAATGTTACTGATATCTTTGTGTTGCTTCACTTTGATAATATGTGATTGTAAAGTTACATTATCCTCTGCAGTGACCTCTAGAAAGACTGAACAGTCACAACTCTTGGATGTCATTCCCAACTGGGATCAAAACAGAGAATACATCCCTAGGTTGGAAGAAACATCCTGAGTGGTCATAGATGATTGGCCAGAACAGGGGGTCATTGTGTGGCAATAGATTGAATGCTTTTTTGCGCTGCTTGTGTAAACCTGCTTGATTTGTATTGTTGAAGGCTTTCATGGCCGGAATCACTGGGTTGTTGTAGGTTTTTTTGGGCTACATGGCCATGTTCTAGAGGCATTCTCTCCTGACGTTTCGCCTGCATCTATGGCAAGCATCCTCACTACCTCACTACCTCATATAGCCCGAAAAAACCTACAACAACCCAGTGCTTGATTTGCTTCACTGAAGAACTTCAGCTTTGCAAAAAGAGAAAGTCAGGAATAAGGGAGATGTAGCTTTAAAAGGGAATTTTCAGGGATGTTCCAAATGCCCATATGTCATGATTGACTATCATATTGTCCTGCTTCTGCAGAGGGCCTTTGTTAGGGTCCCATATGTGCACTATAGACTATAGTTGTGCCATTGTTAGGGTCCCATATGTGCATTCGTGCCTGTCAAAATCATAAAGAACCAATGAACATCTGTATTGCCAGCTTAGACCAATGAACTGATGGATCTTTGAACAACAATGAAATGTGTATTCAATTTACTGCCAAAGTGATAAAAGCTCTGCATCCCCACTGAGGGGTGTGGCAAAACCTTTCGATTGCATTGTATGAGGGTTGGAATTATTTATTTACATATAATTCAAAAGTGATACATGCCACCAAGTTTTACAGTCCTTCAATATAGTTGCCAGCATTGTGTACAACCCATTTCCAACAATGTGGAAATCGTAGGACATTTGTTGCAGCTCCTGTTCTGTTGATAGTTCGAATTGAGCGGTCTACTGCTGTAAGAATCTCTGGAATAGTTCTGAAGCGAATGCCACGACATTGTTCCTTCATCTTAGGAATTAAGTCAAAGTCGCAAGGGCTTAAGTCTGGGGAGTATAGTGGATGGTACAGCACTTCCCAGCCCCATCGATCGAGCAAATCAGCCACAGTGTGAGCTGCATGTGGCCGAGCATAGTCATGCAAAGTGATAGGGGCATTCTGCAGAAAGTGTTGCTGTTTTCTTCTCAAAGCTGGTCTGAGATGGTGTTCCAAAAATGAGCAGTAATACTTCGCATTGACAGTCTGATGTGGGGAAACAGTATGCATTAGGATGACACCATCACAGTCGTACTCTAGAATCACCATAACTTTCACATTGCTAGGGTTCTGACAAAATTTTGAACTTTGCCATCTTGCTATGGCCACGCAATAAACAGCGCTCTCTTTCTCCCCCCCCCCCCTCTTTTTGCAGTTTTAAAGATCCAACTTGCATGGGGTCCTTTCTAGCCCTCTGCACTGGAAAGGGAGCTCCTGCTTTTCAGATTTGGATTTAAGGAGTATTTTGGATCTTTGCCCCTTCATTTTCAGGACCAATAAAAAATTCAGCCCCTTAGTTTGACCACAGTTGACTACACAGAACATACCTTCCTGGTTTGCAGGTAGCACCCCTAGGAAGGAAGTCTGAGGGCAGACCTAGGAAATACACTTCTTGTTGGAACTCAACCACATCCTTGTACAAGGACTTAGATAGGCAGATGAATTAGTTAGCAGAGAAAACCCTTCCCGCATTGGCCTCTCTGTCTGCCTGTCACTCTGTTCTCTCCTTCAATCACATTACTGTAAAGCAATGCTTTTGGGTTGGAAAGATTAACCATTTACAAGAAACGTTGCCTAGGGAATGCCCAAATGTATTGACTCAGTCTTCAAGGATGCTTTTTCCGTGTAAGTTACAGACAATGCAGTCACTGTTGCCCGTTTTTGATCTAAAATTGTCTAGCTGCTTGTGCTCCCTTTATTTTTTCAGTTTTATATTTGGTGGTTGTAGGTTTTTTGTGCTGTAGAGCCATGTTCTGGAGGCATTCTCTCCTGACGTTTTGCCTGCATCTATGGCAGGCATCCTCAGAGGTGAGACTTCACCCCCAACACCTCTGTCACACGGAACTGCTGCCACTGCCAGGGTCTGACCTCTGTGATATCACAAGCCCCAAAACCCCAGGTTTTGCCCCTCAAATCTCAGGGCCTGGGATAGTCCTGAAATGAAGGGACCTGGGTTCAAACCCAACAGGAAAAAAGCAGGCTCCTTTCCCGACCCTTTCATGGTAATGTCCTTGTTGCCTTCAGCTCAATAGGACTCATCTTGGTCTCTTCACATAAGATGCGCCTTGCCTCCTTTTCTGCTCTAGGTGGGCATCGACAGCTGCTGGATTGGCTCCATCTCCTGCCCACAGAGGGGTTTCTCCACTTCCATTGCTGACAGCATTGCGACAGAAAGCACCCTCTTCATCCGGCAGAACCAGCTGGTCTATTACTTTGTGGGGCATTACCCCATTCTGCACATGAGAGGCCCAGGTTCAGGTAAGTGAGCCTGAAAAAAGCAACAACAACACAGGCCATAACGACCTGTGTTTGACCAATATGCAAGTTCTTTGATTATATCTTTTCAATTCCTACCTGAAAGAATAAGTATTATCATCATCATCATCAAAGCTGCTTTACCCAGTTCTCACGCTCCACCCCACCCCTCGGACATACAATTTACATACAATAAACTACATAAATTACATTTCAAATATCAGTCTTAATCTCAATTTTTTCACTTCACATCTTAATACATTCTCTAAATAGTTCCTAATGATCCCACATACTCTTCACTATTATAACATTTTCTATTTTGTCTATATTGTTCAATTTACAATTTGTTATTTCCACATTTGACATATTTACTATATAATTATACCAGTTTGTCAGAGTCCACTTTGTTTTCTCTTTCCAAACTCTCACTAAAATCACTTGTGCATATGCTGTTAATTTGTCAGTCACTCTTTCCCTTTGCACATTATATACTCCTGGTATGCTTTCATGTAATACATTTCTATTGGCTATTATTAGTTGAAGATTTGACATTCTATTAATTTCTCCTTCAATCATTCTCCAGTATGCTTTATAGACATCCAATTCAAGAATTCCCATTTTTTTCCTTATTTGAATTTCCATTACAATTTCCACATTTTTATTGGATCCCCAATTCTTCTTCCCTTCACAAATCCATATTGATCTTCTTTAATTATATTTGGCATTATTATTTCCAGCCTATTCACCAATTTTTTTAGTGAATACAGGAAAGGAGATTCTACCTGAACATTAGGAAGAAGTTCCTGACTGTGAGAGCTATTCAGCAGTGGAACTCTCTGCCCTGGAGTGTGGTGGAGGCTCCTTCTTTGGAGGCCTTTAAATAGAGGCTGGATGACCATCTGTTGGGGGTGCTTTGAATGCGATTTTCCTGCTTCTTCGCAGAAGGTTGGACAGGATGGCCCATGAGGTCTCTACCAACTCAAGGATTCTGTGATTCTATGAATATTTTGTAGACTGATAGGTCTATATGACCCTGGCTGTGTTAAGTCTCTTCTCTTTTTTTGGTATTGTAAGGATTTCTGATAACTTCCATGCTTGGGGGACTTTTTGCTCAGTATAGATTTCATTAAATAACTCTGTTAAGTGTGGTGTTAGTTCATATCTGCTTCATAATATTCCACTGGAAATCCATCAGGCCCTGGTAATTTGGCTCCCTTTAACCCTTTTATTGCCCTTAATATTTCCTCTTGTGTTATTGGTTGATTTAGTAGCTCTCTGTCTTTCTCTGTCATTTTTTTTCTTTGGTATTTAAACTCACGAGAAGCAAGGAAAGCTTAGAGAAGACAATGATGCTGGGGGAAATGGAAGGAAAAAGGAAGAGGGGCCAACCAAAGGCAAGATGGATGAATGGTATCCTTGAAGTGACTGGATTGACCTTGAAGGAGCTGGGGGTGGTGATGACCTACAGGGAGCTCCAGCATGGACTGGTCCATGAAGTCACGAAGAGTTGGAAACAACTGAACGAATGAATAACAAATTTAAACTTCCTTGCTCTACTCTTTCCTCCTTATACAAACTTTTATAATATTTGGCCATGATCTCCCTAATCTTACTTTAATCCTCTTGTTCCTTCCCATTTTCATCTTTCAATCTGTTTATAATTTTTTTTCCTTTTTCAGGTAATATGCCATCTCCTCCATTTTTATATTCCAATTCTGGGAATAACTTTTTACACATAGGTACATATTCATTATATTCCTTTCCTCAAAAGCTTCTAGTTGTTTTCTTTTCTCTTTAAACTTTCTCAAAACCTTCCTACCCCTTGTTTTTGTGTCTGTCTTGCAGGATTTCTATTTCTTTTATTCTCTTATCTTTTTGATTTCTCCATCTCTGTTTAGGATTTACCTCTAAACTTATACACTATCCTCTTATAACAGCTTTGATGGCGTCCCATACTATATCTTTAGTTACTTGTCCTCTGCCATTAGCCCCAAAATACTTATTTATTTATTTCTTAACAATTTCATATTCTTCCTCTCTACTATTTAGAATTGTATTATATCTCCAGGTTTCTTCTGTTATCTCTGTTTCTATTTTGCTGTCACTCATAGTGGTGTGTGATCTGACCAATAGGTTTTTTGGGCTGTATGGCCATGTTCTAGAAGTATTCTCTCCTGATGTTTCGCCTGCATCTATGGCAGACATCCTCAGAGGTTGCGTCATGAGGATGCTTGCCATAGATGCAGGTGAAACGTCAGGAGAGAATGCTTCTTGAACATGGCCATATAGCCCGAAAAACCTACAGCAACCCAGTGATTCTGGCCATGAAAGCCTTTGACAATACATCTGACAGATATATTGGAAGAGTTTTTACCTGTAAGATCAATGACTTGTTTGTGTTTTTCCCCAGTACAAACCTATTTTACTATATATGTTATGTCTTCCCGAGGAATATGTCCATCTGTTATGCTCAGTCTCCCCTTCGAATAAATCATTCATATTGTATTCCTTTATGCTTAACTTTATTTTGTCTTATTGATACTAATTCCAAGTTGTAATCTCCCACACAATACAATTCCCTTTGTGCAAATTTATCCACCTTTCTAAATATGTGTTTTAGGTACCTTTTTGATTCTTGTTTGTTGCTTATATACACACAAGTTGTTATTTATTCATTCAGTCACTTCCGGCTCTTCTTGACCTCATGAACCAGTCCAGGCCACAGTTCCCTGTCAGTCGTGGCCACTCCCAGCACCTTCAAGATCAAGCCAGTTCCTTCAAGGATACCATCCATCCATCTTGCCCTTGGTTGGCGCTTTTCCCTTCCATTTTCCCCAGCATCATTGTCTTCTCTAAGCTTTCCTGTCTCCTCATTATGTGACCAAAGTACTCCATCTTTGCCTCAAATATCCTTCCCTCCAGTGAGCAGTCGGGCTTGATTTCCTGAAGTATGGACTGGTTGGATCTTCTCGCAGTCCAAGGCACTCTCAGAACTTTTCTCCAACACCACAGCTCAAAACCGTCTCTCTACATTCGCTCAGCTTTCCTTATGGTCCAGGTCTTTCATCCGTAGGTTGCTATGGGGAATACCATTGCTTTAACTATGCATATCTTCGTTGCCAGTGTGATGTCTCTACTCTTCACTCTTTTATCAACATTGATCATTGCTCTCCTCCAAAGAAGGAAACATCTCCTGATTTCCTGGCTGCAGTCTGCTTCTGCAGTGATCTCTGCACCCAGAAATACAAAGTCTCTCATTGCCTCCACATTTTCTCCCTCTGTTTTCCAGTTATCAATCAGTCTGGTTGCCATAATCAGCAATACATTGAGCAAGAGTTGCTAGATGTACAAGCTGGGTTTAGAAAATGTAGAGGAACAAGAGACCAAATTGCCCATATCTGCTGGATAATGGAGGAAGGCAGGGAGTTTCAGAAAAACATTTATTTCTGTTTTATTTACTATTCTAACACCTTTGACTGTGTGGATCATAATAAATTGTGGCAACTTCTTGGTGGTATGGGGATACCTAGTCACCTTTGTCAGAGTTTTATATTGTTTAGGTCATTTCTTAAGTGAAAACTGGGTGATTGTAAGAATCATGTCCAATCATTGTATGGAGCTGTGGTACTACTGTGGGAGCTGAGGTACTACTAATAGAGACTAAGTACATTGTATTTCTTGAGGTTGGAGTTTGGAGGTTGCAGGTTGGAGAGAGATTGGCTGGAGGCTGGAAAGAGGCTGGAAAGAGGTTTGGAATTGCTGAAGGTGTATTATTGCTGCAACGTCTGAAGAACAAGACTGTGAAGATAAAGACTTTTGTTTATAAGCTTTTGTGTGGATATTCCAAGGACTCTGCTTTATTTGTGAATATCTTTATATAAATATTTCTTTGCTTGAAGACAGTTTGCTTTCTGTTGGGTTTTTTTCCCTCTTTGGACGACGGGGTGCAACTTCTGTTGAATGTTGCCAGGAGGAGCTCAGGAACCAACCTCAGTTTGATAGCAGCGCCAACCTTGTCTCTCTCCTGAGGAATCTGTATAAGGACCAAGTAGCAACAGTAAGAACTGACCATGGTACAACACACTGGTTCAAGATTGGGAAAGGCGTATGGCAGGGTTGTATACTCTCACCCAACCTATTCAACTTGTATGCAGAACACATCATGCGATGTGTGGAGCTTGAGAAACCTAGGCTGGAGTTAAAATTGCTGAAAGAAACATTAACAACCTTAGATATGCAGATGATACCACTTTGATGGCCAAAAGCGAGGAGGAGCTCAGGAACCTTATCACCAAGGGGAAAGAAGAAAGGGCAAAACCTGAGTTGCAGCTAAACATAAAAAAACAAGATGATGGCAACCAGACTGATTGATAACTGACAAATACACATCAGAGTAATCTCTATTTTTTCTATTTTTCCTTTTATTAATTTTTCCTATTTTTACTGAAAGAATAACGTTATAGTTTTAAAGGCTTCACTTCCTTCGGATCTTCCTATTTCGCACTCGCCAACCGTTATTAGAGATAGTGCAGACTGAAACTTTTGCTTGGCACTAATTTGTTTGATTCATACTGCAAAGAGGAATGAGCCCATTTTTAGGCAATGATTGTCACAAGAAATTGCAGCCTGGATCAATGGCATTTTGTCGTATTTCTCCACTCTGTTTTAACTGTGGCATTGTTGTTGTTTTCTTATTTTTCTGCTTTTCCTTTAGAGATGTGGACACGTGTATTGAACAACGTCTGTGTGAAGAAACTAAACCCTGTGTTTTTTGTGAAGAATAACACCGAATACGTGATTGCTCTTGGTGGCGGCGGGCAAGAAGGGCAATTCTTTCTTATTTCTGTGCAAGGTATTTTTCTTAGATTGCGAGAATTCAGAGCAGAATTGATGGCCTCTGTCTTAGCAGGCCGGTCCTGCTCTCTTTTTGTCCCATGTGAGGAAATGGGCCAAGATGGCTTGAATGGAGTCAGTTGGGTGTAGAATGTCCTGGTGATGGACAAAAGATAGGATTCAAGAAAAGTAGATCCAAAAAGCAAGGAAAAATTAGCTTCTGTAAGATATGGAGAATTTCCATTGAATTATCTGTATGACAGTGGTGTTCCACTGCTTTTTTAGGGTTTCTAGATGAGTGGGAGGATGGATGAGGTAAAAAAAAAAGAGAGAGATGAGTAGATAATGTCCTCCAGACAGCAGGGGAAAAGGTAAAATTGAGAATTTTTGCACCGGGATTGTGGCGCAGCTGGCTGAGTGTCAGCTGCATTAAGATCACTCTGACCAAAAGGTCATGAGTTCGAAGCCAGCCCGGGTTGGAGTGGGTTTCCAACCAATTGTGTAGCCTGTTGTCGACCTTTGCAACCCGAAAGACAGTTGCATCTGTCAAGTAGGAAAATAAGGTACCACCTTAAAGTGTGGGGAGGCTAAATTTCCCCGCGTGGTATGCCTGTGATTCACACCAATGGTATTCCCTGCGCTCGCGCAGGCCAGCAACGGACACTCACGAGCTACTCACTGACCGTTACAGTAGCCCCGCCCTCTTCCCCCCACTCCATAAATAGCCCTGCCGCGGGGCTACCAGCCAGTTCTGTTAATCCGCCTCAAAAGGCAGCAAGGACAACACGAGTTTAAAAAAAGAAGAAGAAGATTTACGATGACTACCTCTTTTAAAAAATGCATTCTGTGTCCGAATAAAATACCGGACAACGACGCACATTTGGAGTGCGTTGCGTGCCTGGGCGAAGCTCATCTCTCTCAGGCATGCGGAATATGTGAAGCTTTTACTCCTCAAACCAAAAAGAATAGGGAAATAAGGCTTAAAGCGGCTCTTTATGAGCAGGCTTTACTTCCCACTATTCAAACTGAAAGCGTGGGGACAACAAAACAAAAAATAAGTAAAAATTTGCAGTTGGCAAAGCGCCCTAAAGACGCTCAGGATGCCAAGCTTACCATTGCTAAGAAAAAGAAGATCAAACCCACAGGAGGGGACAAAATGGCGGCGCAGCAGATAAAGAGTAAAACTCAAGCGGCAAAGGACTCCCCTTTGTCAAAAGAAATTGTGGGAGAGGGGGCGACCCCTAAACTGCCCACAGACTCAAACAAAAGAGACTATACAAATGAAGCAGAGGCGTCGGAGTCCTCAGCGACCCCTCCTGCTTTGTCAAGAGCAATAAATGAAGCTCAAACCTTGATGGAGGCTCTGGCTCCCAAACAACCTCCTCTCCAAGCAGGGTCGAATATGGAGATTTCCCCTCGACGCTCGAGGGACCGTCCTCCATCTCGAGACCCAGATGCAGTGAGGCAGCGTCGGCGTCGGAGGCGGTCCGCGTCGAGGAGTGCGTCAAGCTCCGGCTCTGACTCCTCCTCCAGCTCCACCCCTGCCCCTAAGAAAGGAAGGAGGAAGGCACGGCGAAGCTCCTCCTCTAGCTCCTCCCCAGCACGTAGAAAGGGGAGGAAAAGGGCAAGGCGAAGCTCCTCCTCTAGCTCCTCCCCAGCCCTGAAAGGAGGGAAAGGGAAAAAAGCTAAAAGAAGGCACCGAAGAGCCGATCCCAAGGCTTCATCGATACGGAGGAGCAGGCTAGACTGCCAACAGGTTTCTTTGCCCCCAAGTGGGGGATTTTGGCAGATGACTCCTCAAGGGCAGATGGTCTATTATGCAGGCCCTGCCCCCTGTCACTGTCAGCCAGGTGGTTACCCACGAAGAAACCACAGAAGGGGACATTTATTGGGTCATGACCATGCATTAAGTCAGGATGAGGACCCATTAGAAGGTCCTTCTACACCTAATGCCCAGCAAGACGCAATGATTGATCCTTCTGAATCCTCAGATGAGAATAATTTTCTTCTGGAAGGATCTAAGGATGTGGATAAAGATAAATCTATGGCTGAGGAATTTAAGAAATTCAATGCATTGCTGGCCAGGATGATTAGAGCTTTGGATTTGCCAGCACCAAAGCCACAGGAAACAGTGGAGGATCCCATGTTTCCAGGCGATGAGCAGAACACTCCAAGTAGCACGGCACTCCCTTCACTGCCATACTTATTAAAGCTGACCAAGGTGCCTGAAGGTTCCCCTGCATCAACACCGGCCATGCCTAGAAAGGTGGACAATTTCTACAGGGTAGATTTAACGAATGCAGATTGGTTGGTTCGTCCATTTAGACCCAACACTGTTATAGCAGAAGTTGGCCAAGGGAAAAAAGCCAAGAAAACAGCATCAGCACCTGCAGATAAGGAAGGAAAGAAACTCGACGTGATGGGAAAGAAAATGCATATGGCGGCAGGACTTATCACGAGGATGGCGCACTACGCAACATATCTGAGCGCCTACCAGTCTTTCCTATGGAATAAGATGACACCATACATTACTCTCCTGCCAGAGGAGGAGAGACGTCTTCCCAGGGCGTATAGCACAGAAGCCCTGCTGTTATCAAAATACCAGAAAGACTTTGCAAAGCATTTAGCAGAGTCTGCAGGGAAAATGTTTGCGATAGCCACGTCAACAAGACGTCATGCATGGTTGAGAGCATCAGATCTTTCTGAAGAAGGTAGATCCTTGGCGGAGGAACTTCCAATGAATCAGGAAGGCTTATTCAACCCAGTGACGGACGAGAAGCTTAAGCATAATCAGGAGATGAAGAAGACCATCCAGGTCTATGGTTTTCCCAAGCAAAGTACATATCAACAAAAGCCAAGGTGGCAGAGTTCTTCTCCATACTACAGGAGGAATTTCGGTAACTATGGGCCTCCTCAACAACGCCAGCAGTCTTCTCAGTACAACAGGCCTTTTGGGCAGCGGAAGCAATCGTTCGGGGCTAAGAATCGCTTCCAGCCTTATCAAAATAAACCTACTCGCCCAGGGGCCTCGAAGCAGCGCTTTTGACAGTGCCTCTTCTGCTGATTGTTCAATAACAGATCTCCCCATGAGGGAAGTTGGGTTAAGCGTTAAAGTTAATTTTATTAATAAAGTTGCTCAAAGCCGCTGTTCTGCAATACAGCCTTTGTTTGAGAACCGTTTGGCACCATACTTTAGGGTCTGGTCAGAAATAACAACTGACCAGTGGGTTTTAAGAATTGTTGAGAAGGGTTATTTCATTGAGTTTGATGAGTTACCTCCAGTGGGTAGTATAAAGGTGACAACTCCTTCTCCTTTGCTGCAAGATGAAATTGACATTCTTTTATCCAAGGGAGCAATCTCTCCTTTATTACCAGGAGATCTTAATCTATGTTTCTATTCGAGATATTTCCTGATCTCTAAGAAAGGAGGAGGACAACGTCCCATATTAGATCTAAGGGATGTGAATTCTTTCATAACAACTAAGAAATTTCGGATGTTATCTTTGAAAATGTTACTTCCTTTGATAAATAAAGATGACTGGTTTGCAACGGTGGATCTTAAAGATGCTTATTTCCACATTTCAATAGCTAAAGAACATAGGAAATATCTAGCCTTTATGGTAGGGAATCAGGCCTATACTTTTAATGTCTTGGCGTTTGGACTTGCAACCGCGCCAAGAGTGTTTACTAAATGTATGGCGACAGTTGCAGCTTATCTACGTACATCTGGGATTACGGTTTATCCGTATATAGATGATTGGTTGATAACAGCGAGATCTAGGGATGAACTCATTGACCATGTCAATACTACGTTATGTTTTCTCCAGTCCCTAGGTCTGATCGTGAATTGGGAGAAGTCCCAGCTCACACCAACGAGGAGAATACAATTCATTGGTGCAATTCTGGATTCGCAGCTGCAAAGGGCGTTCCTTCCAGACGACCGCTTCTTAAACCTAGTCAGACTGATACGCGAATTACTCCACCGAGACAAAATACAGGCCAGGAAAATACAAGTAATCTTAGGTCACATGGCCTCTACAACGGCGGTGACCCCCTTTGCAAGACTACACATGAGGCCGTTACAATCCTGGTTCCTGTCAGTATTCGACCCTTTGATACATACCCCGCAGTTGCTCATTGCTGTGCCTGTTATGATTCGAGACTCTCTGGTATGGTGGTTGGAACACGACAATGTCTGTGCAGGACTGCCATTTCGGGAGACTGCTGCTTCCAAAATCATAACCACAGACTCCTCGCTAATGGGGTGGGGAGCTCATATGGACGACCTTACGGCTCAAGGGAAGTGGACATCTCTAGAATCTACCATGCACATAAATCAGTTAGAACTACTGGCAGTGGGCAAGGCGCTAAAGGCCTTCGAACTGGTTTTGACAAATCGAACTGTCCAAGTTCTCACAGACAATACAACAGTAATGTATTATGTCAACAAGCAGGGTGGCACACATTCTCCCACTCTTTTGTCGTTAACACAGCAGATATGGCACTGGTGTCTCAAAAGGGGGATCCACCTCACAGCTGTCCATCTGCCAGGAAGGCAAAACACACTGGCGGATTCCCTAAGCAGAAACCCATTAGGCCAGCACGAATGGACTCTGAACGGGGAGGTAACATCCCTCCTCTTCAGAGCGTGGGGGACGCCAGTAGTGGACCTATTTGCAACGCGGGAGAACAGGAAGTGCCACCTATACTGTGCAAGGACAAGAGGGAATGCAGGACAGGACTGTCTGGGAGACGCCTTCCTAATTCATTGGGGAGCACAAGAAGTGTATGCATTCCCCCCGTTCCCGCTGATTCTGAGAGTGGTTTCGAAGCTGAACCACGACAGGGCCAGAGGGATACTGATTACCCCTTGGTGGCCAAGGCAACCATGGTTCGCCCTGGTCCTTCGACTTTCCAGAAAGATATACAAGCCACTCCCCTGCAGGAAGGACTTACTGTCAGTTCAGGGCAGTCGTGTTCTATACCCAGATGTCCAGAGCTTGAGGTTAACGGCGTGGAGGATCCTCCCGCCCCAGGAAGATTGACCCTAGAATTGTCAGTGGATGTAAATAATGTCTTAGAGGCTGCGCAAAGAGCATCCACAAAGAAGTCTTACATGTACAAATGGTCACGTTTTTCTAAGTTTGCTCAAGAAAAGGGCACGGATCCGTGTACGGCTCCTACTGGAATGATACTAGATTTCTTGATGTCACTTGCGAACCAGGGACTTACCTTGTCTTCGCTAAAGTGTTATTTGGCTGCTTTGACTTGGTTTCGTAGGAAGGCGGGTCTGCCGTCTTGCTTTAGTGATCCGCTAGTGTCTCAATTTATGAAAGGATTCCGTAATATTAGGCCCCCAGTAACGCCAGTGGCCCCGGCCTGGAGCCTTGAGGTAGTTCTCTCGGCTCTGACGAGGCCACCGTTTGAGCCAATGGCGTCTGTAGATCTGTCTTACCTGTCGTGGAAGACAGCGTTTTTGGTAGCAATTACTTCGGCACGTAGAGCAGGAGAGATATGTGCGCTTAGGTGCGACGAACCGTATTTAAGACTTCATAAAGACAAAGTAGTTCTCAGGACAGATTTGGCCTTCCTGCCAAAAGTAGCCTCTAAATTCCACCTCTCCCAGGAGATAGTACTCCCTGCCCTTTTTCCAAAACCAACTTCTCCATTAGAGAAGACACTTCACTTGTTAGATGTGCGTAGGGCACTAGCCTTTTATTTGGATAGGACTTCGGCATTAAGGAAGTCCCCGAGGTTGTTTTTGAAGTACCGTAAAGACGCCTTAGGCCTCCCAGTCTCTTCCCAACGCCATGGATAGTACTAGTTATACGGAAGGCTTATTCTTTGGCGGGGAGGTGTTTACCATTACAGGTGAAGGCGCATTCCACAAGGGCGGTGGCAACGTCGACGGCGTTCTTGCGTGGAGTACCGTTGGATGTGGTGTGCAGAGCTGCGACTTGGTCGACTCCCTCAACATTTGTGGCACATTACAAGTTGGATGTGGCTTCTAAGAAGGATGCAGCCTTCGGTCGAGCGGTCCTTTTTTCAGCTGTGGCATGACGCCCTCCTCCAAGGTCAGCAGCTCGCTAGTCTACCATTGGTGTGAATCACAGGCCTACCACGCGGGGAAAATATGGGTTGCTTACCTGTAAACATAGTTTCCCGAGTGGTAGCCTGTGTATTCACACATCCCGCCCATCCTCCCCACTCTTTTGGTCATGCCCCAGGGCTTCGGGCTGCTTTTGCGGCTGGAGAACTGGCTGGTAGCCCCGCGGCAGGGCTATTTATGGAGTGGGGGGAAGAGGGCGGGGCTACTGTAACGGTCAGTGAGTAGCTCGTGAGTGTCCGTTGCTGGCCTGCGCGAGCGCAGGGAATACCATTGGTGTGAATACACAGGCTACCACTCGGGAAACTATGCTTACAGGTAAGCAACCCATATTTAACTGATTTATGAGGCCATAAAGAAGACTCCAGCAAAGCATTCCAGCGGGGAAGCATGCGGGGAATGCGGAAGTGCTTCATCAGCGTCGCAGATGGACGATGAAAGCGACAGCTCCCCTGGCGGCCAAAAAAGTTAAATAGCCTCTGTGTATGTCTGTATATGTTTGTATGTCAAAATTGGCATTGAGTGTTTGCCATATATGTGTACACTGTAATCCGCCCTGAGTCCCCTGCGGGGTGAGAAGGGCGGAATATAAAAGCTGTAAATAAATAAATAAATAAATAAATAACAAATTCAGTATGGAGAACTGCAAAGAATAACCACTTAGACTCAGAAAAGGCACTCCTAATCACTGGGTTGTTGTGTGTCTCCTGGGCTGTATGGCCATGTTCCAACAGCATTCTCTCCTGACGTTTCACCTGCATCAATGGCAAGCATCCTCAGAGGTTGTGAGGTATGTTGGAAACTAGAAAAAATTGGGTTTATATAATAATAATAATAATAATAATAATAATAATAATAAACAACTTTATTTGTACCCCGCCACCATCTCCCCAAAGGGGACTTGGAGCCAAGCCTGAACAAGAATTACAATATAACAACACAAATTGCAATCAAATAAACAACATAACATAAAAATATAAAACATCAAAGCATATAAAACAATATACACAAAACATAAGAACTAAGCATAATGACAGAAAGACAAATGATTTAAAAACTCAGGGTGAGATAAGGGGGGATAACTAATTGTAAGGGTAAACTCATAGAGAGACAGGAAATTAAGCCAAACTTCGTATGGGGGGGGGGGGTCTCCTGGGACAAGAACATTGGAGGAACACTAGCATAAAATTATGTGGCTACTCTTCGAAAGCGCGACAGCAGAGCCAGGTCTTAAGACTCTTTTTAAAAGTTTCCAGGGTAGGGGCTTTCCTAATCTCTCCAGGCATTGAATTCCAGAGTCGGGGGGCCACAGAGGAGAAGGCTCTCTCCTTTGTACCCACAAGGCGAGTCTGAGAGACTGGTAAGGGCGAAAGGAGGGCCTCGCCCGAAGATCGAAGGGTACGGGCTGGTTCATGGAGAGAGATATGGTCATGAAGGTAGGCAGGTCCCAAATCGTTTAGGGCTTTATAGGTAAGAACCTGTACCTTGAATTGTGATCAAAAGATGAACGGCAGGGTGGGAGAAATAACTCTTTTCTGTTTGAGGTAGGTGTGAATTGGCCACCTTGATTACCATTTAATGGCCTAACAGTTTTCAAGGTCTGGCTGCTTCCTGCCTTTGGGAATCCTTTGTTGGGAGGTTTTTAATACTGGTAACCAGATTTTGTTAATTTTCATGGGTTTTTTCCTGACAACTACCATGTCAGACTACACAGAGAAGGTATTGAAATCCGTAAGCATATGGACAATTTCAACAGAAAGGAAGAAGCCATGAAAATGACCAAAATCTGGCTACCAGTATTAAAAAAGACCCTCTAAAATCAAGACAGTAAATAAAGAACAACACTGAAAAACAAGGAAATTCCAGACAAGAAACAATCAGGGCCAGCTAATCGCCTCCCAACAAAGGATTCCCCCAGGCAGGAAGCAGCCAAACCTTGAAAACTGCTAGGGCGTTAAATGCTAACCAAGGTGGCCAATTGAAACATTCATACCTACCTCAAACAGAGAAGAGTTTTTCCTCCCACCCTGGACATTCCTCAGATATATAAACCCAAATTTCCTATTTTCCAACAGACCTCACAATCTCTGAGGATTCTTGCCATAGAGGCAGGCAAAAATGTCAGGTGAGAATGCTTCTGGAACATGGCCACATAGCCCGGAAAACACACAACAACCCAGTGTTTCCGACCATGAAAGCCTTCAACAACACACTCCAAATCAGTCAATAAGAGATCTATAATACAGTATAATATAAGGCAACAGATAGTAGCATAGTTTTAGGCACTGTTACTGAAGAACTTGACTAGTACTTCCTAATTTGCTTATTGTTTTTTGAAATTTATGTTTTCCCTTATTGGTCAAGAAGAAGATGTTTGCTGATGTGTGAATGATAGGACACATCTAAATAAATCCGCTGGATAGGATGAGATGGAGCCTGTGGAAACAAGACCATAAGCATCTTGCAAATCTGTTGACACTGGGTTTGTCTGTATGTTAAGAGGGCAAAAATAGCCCTCTTAACATACAGACAAACCCAGTGCAAGTTTAATGTTACCATTTTTTGTTTTTGTTTTTTTCCCCTTTTACAGATGGGATTGTGAACGCCACTACCTCTTTGAGGGCTCGGAGTAAGACGGTGTGCCAATATCTGAATTTAGGTCTCTCTACATTTCTGCTGTTTACCCCACACCTCCTGTCCTGGTCTGCTAAAGTGGGTAGGGGTGTTTTGGGGGTGGGGAGCAGGCAAAACCAGAATGGGCTAGTAGTGTCTTCCCCTTCTTCTTGTAATGATGATTATGGAGAGAAGAATCCAATGGGGAGTGCTCTTCTGGCACTAAAGACTATTCCAAACCAACTTAGCATGGTTGAGCTGAATGTAAATTCTACAGATCTTCCTTATACTCAGGGTATAATATAAAAATATTCAAAATATCATTACAAAAAAATAAACAAGCATTCATGAAAATGGTGATGATGATGATGATGATGATGATGATGATGATGATGATGATGAAAGGAAGGGTGGAAGGGAATGGAGGGAGGGAGTGGAAAGGAAAAAGGAAAGGAAGGAAGGAAGGATGAAAGGAGAAGGGAAGGAAAGGAAGTAAGGAGGAGGGAAGGGAGAAAGAAGAAAAGAAAAAAGGGAAGAAAGGAAGGAGGGAGAGAGTAAAAGGGGAGAGAAGGAAGGACGAAAGGGTGGAAGGGAAGGGAGGGAGCAAGTGCGAGAAAGGAAAGGGAGAAGGAAGAAAGGACAAAAGGGAAGAAAGGAAGGAGGGAGAAGAAAAGGGAGAGAAGGAAGGGAGAAAGGGTGGAAGTGAAGGGAGAAGGGAGTAAGCGCGAGGGAGGGAAGGGTGAAGGAAGAAAAGACAAAAGTGGAAGAAAGGAAGGAGGGAGAGAGGAAAAGGGGAGAGAAGGAAGGACGAAAGGGTTTTCAGTTATTCTTTGTGCACATATACAGACACACTTCTTATAGGTTGCTGCCAAATTGTTTAAATAAACAAGGAAGTATATAGAAGTATGAATTAGCTTGTTCTTTCTTCAAGAAGTAGAGACAAAACATCTGGATATTTGTAAAAAATGGCAAGAAAGGACAAAAGGGAAGAAAGGAAGGAGGGAGAGAGGAAAAGGGGATAGAAGGAAAGAGGAAGGAAAGAAAAGGAAGGATAGGATGGTGAGAGAGAGGAGGACCTGAGAAAAGAGCCCAAGGGCCTGGGTTTGCCCATACCCGCAGTAAACATTTGATTTTCATACCTGTTTTATATACATAAAAACAGGGTCTTTATGGGGTCACATAAAGAATAGTTGAGATCACACAAAAATTTCTCAGGCAGAAATGGGCCGTGAGTGGAAAAAAATTTAAAAGCCCTGATCTAGATGATAATGATAATAATAATTATTTTTATTTATTACTCACTTCTCCTTATGGCTCGAGGCAGGGCATAGCCTAATCAATAAATAAGGGCGCATATTAAAAAAACATGGAACAAAAATTAAAACATAGTAAGCATAGAAAGTGATTTTAAAATTTATAGTTAGGCTTATGCAAGCCACACAAGCCAAAATTTCTTTTACATTTGGCTTAGCATGGCATGTTCTGTTCTGGGTTGCAGTAGCATCATATCCAGATGTAAGCGCGCACACACACACAGTTTTCCACTTCCAAGATATCAACAAACTGTGAGTGATGTTTTTTTCTCTCTTCCAGGTTACTGCCGACTCGTGTGGGTTATCTTCTCTACAAATGACAACAAGTTCATTTTGCTAGTGCATGATCTTGGAGCACCGCTGCACTTGATTGTGGAGTACCAGAGAAGTTCAGGCATGAGCAAACTTTCTAACTTGGGGGCCGCATGGCAGGCTGCAGCAGGGTGGGTAGGTCAGGAGGGAGGGAGGGGGTCTCCTGAAGTCCCCTCACTGCCCTTTCCTCCCCTTCCTCTTCTCTTTCAGAGGCAGAAAGTGAAGGAAAGATGGGAAACGTTTGGATCCCAAAAGGGTTGGCCTTGGTCAGGATGAGATGGTGGATGGGAGAGAAAAAGTGTATCCATGAGACCCCGTATTGCCTACTCCTGATATAGAATCCTAGAATCCTAGAACTGGAAGAGACCTCTAAGGGCCATCCAGTCCAACCCCCTGCCATTCAGCAAGGCACAATCAAAGCACTCCCAATAGACAGCTTCTGCTGATAAGCCTCCAGAGAAGGAGACTCCACCACACACCGAGGCAGCCTACGACACTTTCCAACAGCTCTTACTCTCAGGAAGCTCTTCCTAATCTTTTCAGTAAATCTGTTTCCCTGTCATTTGAAACCATTGCTCCCTTGTGCCCTGGTCTCTAGAGCAGCAGAAAGTCAGATTTCCCCCCCCCCCCAAGGGACACCCTTTTAAATCTTGAAAGGTTCTCATGTTCCCTCTCTACCGTCTCTTCTCCCAGCAAAACATCCCCCAAGAGGAAAGGAGGAAGGAATAAGAGAAGGAAGGAAAGAAAGAATCGATGGATGGATGGATGGATGGGGGGAAGGGAAGGGAAGGGAAGGGAAGGGAAGGGAAGGGAAGGGAAGGGAAGGGAAGGGAAGGGAAGGGAAGGGAAGGGAAGGGAAGGGAAGGGAAGGGAAGGAGAATGAGAGAGAGGGGGAAGAAGGGAGGAAAGAAGGAAGGGAGAGAAGGAGGGAAGGAAAGAGAAAGACTATGAAGCATGATATGGGTTGTTGTAGGTTTTTTGGGCTATATGGCCATGTTCTAGAACAGTGGTTCTCAACCTGGGGTCCCCAGATGTTTTTGGCCTACAACTCCCAGAAATCCCAGCCAGTTTACCAGCTGTTAGGATTTCTGGGAGTTGAAGGCCAAAAACATCTGGGGACCCCAGGTTGAGAACCACTGTTCTAGAGGCATTCTCTCCTGACGTTTCGCCTGCATAGGATGGTGTGAGAGAGGAGGGCCTGAGAAAAGAGCCCACAGGGCCGCATCCTGCCCCTGGGCCTGGGTTTGCCTATACTTGGGTTAGATTGACTCTTTTAAGCATCATTCTTCAAGCCACCTGCCAACGCATGGCGACCCCATGCATTTTACAGGGTTTTCAAAGGCAAGAATGCTCTGAAGGTCATCGTCCTTTAAAATTCAGGTGGGAGTTGCCCAACAAATAATTGCTTTTGCATCAGAGAAGAATGGCAATAAAATCTATATGTTTGTATACATAAACAATTGCAATATTGGAGTGTTGTGTGGCTTCCAGGCTTTTTGTCGTGTTCTAGCAGCATTTGTTAAGATTAACTTCACAGTTCAGCAGCAGATCAGTTGCACAACTTCAGCGCTTTCCAGTAGCTTCTTTCTGCACAGCTCTTTTCAGTCAACTGCTCCCACAGCCTGCAGCCACGCTGGAACCTTTTACAAACACTTGAGCACATGCCTGGCCATTGTCAGTTTTACCATTGTCTTTCCCCCAGTCTAGATGATATTACAGATTCACCACAGCACACAGCCATATCTTGTCCTAGTAGACAGGTTCTTTAATTACATATAGCCTTCGACAAACAACATCACAACACAAGGAGAAATATACACTGTACATGGTTTCCTTATATACAATTCATTTACACATAGCAATCTCTGATTGGTTACCAACTAATTGACCCAACCCAAACCCAGGATTGCATCATTCAAAATCACCTGAAGTAGGCCAGAACACATTCCCCAAATGATTCCCTATATACAATCAATGCATATATACAATCAGCATTCCCAACAGAAGCCCATTAGCAGTGCATGACTCAGTTTATTACATTACAATACATTGTAAAACCTGACAGCATTTTTTCCTGATGTTTTGTCTGCATCTGTGGCTGGCATCTTTTTTTGTTGTTGCCTTTTCCCCTTGGCTGATGGTCATCAGACAGAGGATAGGTGATGTTGCTGGTGACGGAGCAGTATACGCCTCAAATCTTCATCTCCAGAGGTTTGGCTTTCAACCCCTTCAGCCTGGAAATCACACAACACTCCAATGATTCTGGTTGTGAAAGCCTTCAACAATATATCATGCCATTCCCTCCTCCTTCGCATCACGTTGTAGTGATTTCCCCTTACTTTAGGTTAGAGACAGTCATGTACTTCTTCCATCTTGTTCCTTCTTTCTAGTATGTTGTTGTTCATTCGTTCAGTCGTCTCCGACTCTTCGTGACCTCATGGACCAGCCCATGCCAGAGCTCCCTGTTGGCGGTCACCACCCCCAGCTCCTTCAAGGTCAGTCCAGTCACTTCAAGGATGCCATCCATCCATCTTGCCCTTGGTCAGCCCCTCTAACTTTTACCTTCCACTTTCCCCAGCATAATTGTCTTCTCTAGGCTTTGCTGTCTCCTCATGATGTGGCCAAAGTACTTCAACTTTGTCTCTAGTATCCTTCCCTCCAATGAGCAGTCGGGCTTTATTTCCTGGAGGATGGACTGGTTGGATCTTCTCGCAGTCCAAGGCACTCTCAGAACTTTCCTCCAACACCACAGCTCAAAAGCATCTCTCTTCCTTCGCTCAGCCTTCCCTAAGGTCCAGCTCTCACATCCGTAGGTGACTACAGGGAATACCATGGCTTTGACTATGCGGATCTTTGTTGCCAGTGTGATGTCTCTACTCTTTACTATTTACTATTTCCTTCTAGTATAATAGTTATTATTTTAACATTCTGTACAGAAATTCTAACAGATTAAATTACAAAGCCTTCATTTCCCTCTTTTTTTTCTTTTTACTAAATTTTGAAATGGTTCCCAGTCTTTGATAAAGCTTATTTTTTTGTTCATCATACCCAATTTATCCATTTCCGCTATTCTAAGACACTTTTACAGACTATTCTTCTATTGTGAGATCTGCTGTCTGGTTTTAGGAATAAAGCCTTGCAGGGCAATCTGGAGGTTGTGGGGGAGCTATTAACAAGCTGCGTATCTCCTAACATCACTTCAAATCACCAAATCCTATAATGCAAGTTGGTTTGACTCTGAATGAAGAAATTAAAAAAAATAACAACCCAAGTAAGGCCTTTGAGAGAATGAAAAAGAATGGGTCCAAAATTCATATAAGATCTATTAGATTTATCCAAGAGTGGCAGACAGTTTAATCGGCATGAAACAAAATCAAAGAAAAAAGACAGGTGAGGGCAAAATAAAAACAGAACAGTGCATAATTATGAGGTAAGATAGAATTGGGTTGCTGTGAGTTTTTCAGGCCATACTTGTAAAACTCTGGAAGATCTCAGAGTTAAATTCAAGCTCATAATAATAAAACACTGGAGACAAGTGGTTTATTTCTTCTTTCCACAATCCTAAAAAGACAGTTCTAAAGTTTCCCTGTTCAAACCTCCTGTATATATCAGTCCCAACTTCCATCCGCCCCCTAGTGGGCAAAGACTGTTCCTACTGCAGTGTTAATTTCGCTCACAAAACAAATGTCTTATTTACACTACCTTCCCTAACTGTACCAAGCCCACCTCCCTTCTCCATTGCAGACAACCGAAACAGCCAGTGCCAGGCTGATACAGTGATTCTGACATTGGTAATGCCATGAAGTTGTGAACACCAGCTCAAATCACTGGTCCATCTAGTCCAGGCATGGGCAAACTTTGGTCCTCCAGGTGTTTTTGACTTCATCTCCGGTAGGCTGTTAGGAATTTTAGGAGTTGAAGTCCAAAACACCTGGAGGGCCAAAATTTGCCCATGCCTGATCTAGTCTATAATCGCCCACTCTAATGAATGTCTGCCTTTCTGTACCTCTTTAAGTTCTACTAACTGAATGGACCCATCTGTTGGTCATCCCAAGGACATCCCAGCTCAGATGTTCTCCACATTCCTAAACAGTTCCATCTCAAATGTGTTGTTGAAGGCTTTCATGGCCAAAATCACTGGGTTGCTGTGAGTTTTTCAGGCTGTATGGTCATGTTCTAGTAGCATTATCACCTGATGTTTCTCCTACATCTTTGGCAAGCATTCTCAGTGGCCAGTTGACCAGTAGAATCATCTGCAAACCAAATCAACAAGTGGGCCAAAAGTTTACAGAAAATGTACGCACACTGGTAGATACCTACATAAGTACTCCAACCATCACAAAGGTTAAGAAAAGCATAATTAAAGCCCTGGTAGACCATGTGAACTGGATCTGCAAAGTCTAAGGTGAACTGAACCACCTCCTCCAAGGTGAACTGAACCACCTAAACTGGGCTCTACAGGCCAATGGAGACTCTATCACAGGCATCAGAAGAGCTGCAAGAGCAAGAACAAGCCGGTAGAGTCAAGACAAAGACCCACCCAGAGGAAAAGTATTCTTGCTATACATCAAGGGAACCACTGACCACATGGAGAAGCTGATGAAGAAACACAACCTACAAACAATCTACAGATCCACCAAAAACATTCAACAAATGCTACGTTCAGCAAAGGATAAGAGGGATCCTCTAACCACTGCAGGAGTCTATTGTATAGCATGCAGCTGTGGACAAGTCTACGTAGGAACCACCAAATGCAGCATTGCCCAAATACAAATCAAAGAACATGAAAGGCACTGCAGACTAGTTCTACCAGAGAAGTCAGCTATAGCAGAAGCCTTGACTAACCAACCTGGGCACAGAATATTATTTGAGAACACAGAAATGCTCGATCACTTAAAAAACCATCATTAAAAAAAAACAGACAAGCTATTGAAATCCATAAGCATATGGACAATGTCAACAGAAGGCAGGAAACCACAAAAATGAACAAAATCTGGTTACTAGTATTAAAAAAACACCAGAATCAAGGCAGTAAATAAAGAACACAACTCAAAAATAGGGGAATTCTAGACAGCAAACAATCAAGTGCCAGTGAACGCCGCCCAAACAAGGAGTGCCTTCAGGCACAACATCCAGGCTACCTCTATGCAAATACCCTCACTGATTGACTTTGCAAAGCTACTCAATGCTAATCAAGCTTGCTCGTTGCTACATTAACACTTGCTTCAAACAGACAAGGGCTCTTTCTCCCACCCTGGAATTCCACAGTTATATATTCATTCCACTTGCCTCACTGCCATCAGAACCTCTGAAGATGCCAGCCACAGATGCAGATGAAATGTCAGGAGAGAATGCTTCTAGAACATGGTCATGCAGCCCAAAAAACTCACGGCAACCCAGTGATTCCGGCCATGAAAGCCTTCGACATCACATTGAGATGGAACTGATTAGGAATGTGGAGAACATCTCTGCTGGACCTTGGGATGACCAAAAGATAGATCCATTTAGTAGAACAAGGTACAGAAAGGCAGACATTCATCAGTGAGTATCTCAGGATTGGATGGACCAATGGTTTGAGCTGGTGTTCACAGCTTCGTGGCATTCGTATGGCACTCATTTACCCTGTAAATCGACTGCCTTGCATCTTTCAAAGATGGGGAAGGGGAACAATTCAAAGAGTCATCAAATCAATTTCCCTACGTGGCTGTGCTGTGAATTCGCACTATTGGTACTTCTGCGCATGCGCAGCATCGCTCCGGAATCTTCAGTTAGAATTTAAAAAGGATCGGCGGTTGGCCCCGCGCACACTCCCCCTAACATTATAAATAGCCCGCGGCTGGCTAACCGCCTCCAGATCTCTTCATCCGTGCTAAAGACAGCAGCTCGGATCTTCTTTATTTCAAAAATCGAAATTTATTTATTTAATATGTCCAATACTAAAGGATTTAAGCGTTGCTCTGCCTGCCAGAGCAATTTCCCAGATAACGATGCGCATTCTTTGTGCATCGCCTGCCTGGGTGAAGGACATTTATCACAGGCATGCTCTATTTGCCAGTCCTTCACCCCTAAAACAAGAAAGAATAGGGAGATTCGTTTAAAAGCTGCCCTTTATGAACGGGCTCTTCTCCCTGATATACCATAAAACAAAGAAAAACTCTTACCTGAGATGGCGGTCTAGACTACAACACTTAAAAAGTTCAAAAGGAAGAAGATTATTCAGGGTAAAGCGGCCTCGGCAAAGCTCCCGAAAACGGCAGGATCCAAGGCCGCGACTTCCCAATTGGTCTCTCCTTTTGAGAAGGAAAAGAGACCCCGCCACGTGGCTTCAATGCTGGAACTGAGCCGGCATTGACCTCCGCTCGCCCCATGCGAGCACAGGAGGAAACTGAAACCGAAAGGGAGCTGAGGTCGGCTAAGACACGCCCCGCGCGTGCGCAGGAGGACACCATGACGCCCCCGATGCCGACGCTCTCAGCACCGGCTCCTCCTATAGTTCAAGCTGCAGGCTCAGGGGAGGAGCCGGGACGGGCGTCCTTAGCAACGCTCCCCTCCACATCGGGAATGCCTGTTGCTGAAGCCCTGACACGGCGCTGAGCGCGCGCTCCTTCGCACTCACGGAACAGCAAGAGGGGGCGTCGAGGCTCGAGCTCCAGTGACTCCTCCTCCTCCTCTTCATCTACATCGTGCTCTGACTCCTCATACTCTGCAAGGAAGCGCAGGCATGCGCGCACACACAGAGCAAAATCAGCCTCATCTGCAAGATCCTCCCGTTGGGGGGATCGAAGTGATAGAAGACGTTCTCTTCCTCACCCAGGAGTCTATGAGATAACCCCCCAAGGGCGATTTATCTACTGTGGTCCACCAGTTTCCCCAAACCAAGAAGATACTTACCATTCTAGATATGGTAAAACAGACTGTAGATCAGACAGACAGACAGACAGACAGTTGCAAAGACAAGAAACTTTCCCTGTACGATTAGGTCATAGACACCAGGGAACTTACTATACTCAAAGAGATACACCACTGCCATCAATTTCTGAAGACCAACTTCCACTTGATGATGGGGAATCAGATTCTTCGGTGGAAATGATAGACTCTCCAAATGCAGAGAAGGATCAGGTCTCCAATGCCAACCGTGCAGAGGACTATAACACGTTTGCACAAATGATTGGAAGAATGATAACTGCCTTGGACATTCCGGCTCCAAAACCAGTCTCCACAGTGGATGATCCTATGTATCCATCTGAGGAGCAAGACAATTCCCCATCCACACTACTTCCAACTCTTCCATATTTGTTAAAGTTAACTAAAGTTCCCGACATGTCTCCATCGGCTGCTCCTGCTATTCCTAGGAGGGTTGATCTTCTTTATAAAGCTGATTTATCAGTAGCGAGTTGGATTGCCCATCCCACAATACCAAATACAGTGGTGGCGGAGGCAGCTAGGTCAAAAAGACCTAAAAAGTATTCTATAACACCACCGGATAAGGAGGGCAAAAAAATTGACTCCCTTGGGAAGAAAGTACATGTGGCTGCGGGATTGTTTGCCAGAATGGCTCATTATGCAACCTATTTGAGCGGATACCAGAGTTTTCTCTGGAACAAAATGCTACCCTATATCAATCTCCTACCGGCTGAAGACCGACGTCTTCCTAAGGCCTTTCAGGCAGAAGCCCTTGTTCTTTCTAGATTCCAGAAAGACTTTGCCAAACATATGGCTGAGACATCTGGCAAGCTTCTTGCCTCTACCACAGCCATACGGCGCCATGCATGGCTTCGTGCCTTCACATTATCGGAAGAGAGCCGTTTGTTGGCGGAAGACCTTCCTATGAATGAGGAAGGCCTTTTTGATCCAACAACTGACGAAAAGATTAAACACTCACGGGAAGTTATGCAAGCAGCAAAATACCCATACCCATATCCATACCCATGGCAGCCAGGTAACCAACAGAAGCCTCGCTGGCAGCAAACAAACCCCTCCTATCGCAGGGCGAATTTTAGTGGGTTTAATGCGAATCAGGGTAATCGGAATATTTCATCAAAATTCCAATTTGGCTGGAAACAAAATTATAATACAAAGTCCAGGTATCAACCATACCAAACTAAAGTTAAAACTGCCGGTAATACGAGACGTCGTCTTTGACGACCCCTCTGTTTCTAATATCCACTGTCTCCGGGATACTGTGCCTGAATCTCCTGAACCCGTTAGTTGCGTTTGGTTCAAGGATAGACTTCGACCATTTGCGCAGGCCTGGGCTGCAATTACCACTGATAGGTGGGTCCTCCAAATTGTTGAGGAAGGTTATTCCATAGAGTTTATTTCGTTGCCCCCATTGGGCCATTTAAAACTAATCCAGAGTCTCCAGCATTGCTGGAAGAAGTTAAAACTCTCTTAGCTAAAGGAGCAATTTCCCGTGTTGACCGTTCTATGTTTAATGAATGTTTCTTTTCCCGTTATTTTTTAGTAACTAAGAGAGGAGGTGGCCTGCGTCCAATTTTAGATTTAAGAGGAGTGAACATGTACATTGATACAAAGAAATTTCATATGGTATCTCTCTCTATGATCCTTCCTCTTCTTAATAAAGATGTTTGGTTTTCAACCATTGACTTAAAGGACGCATATTTTCATATTTCTATGGCTGAACATCATAGGAAATATCTCGCCTTTATGGTTGAAGACAAAGCTTACAGATTTAATGTTTTGCCGTTTGTCCTTACTACAGCCCCCAGTGTTTTCACAAAATGCATGGCAGGATCGCTGCTCACCTCAGAACTCGGGGCATTACGGTTTATCTGTACATAGATGACTGGCTTTTGGTGGCTAGATCACGTGAACGCCTGCATGTGCATATCGACTCAACACTCTCTCTTCTCCAGTTCTTAGGTCTCGTGGTGAACAGAGAAAAATCACATCTACTACCTGTTCGCAAGATTCAGTTTATTGGAGCGGTCTTGGATTCAGTTCAACAAAAAGCGTTTCTGCCAGAGGACCGATTTGCATCACTCAAGTCCCTGGTTGCGCAAATTCTATGCTCAGGAAAGGTGTCTGCGAAGAAAATCCAAGTATTGCTGGGGCACATGGCGTCTACAACTGCGGTCACGCCATATGCCCGATTACACTTCAGGCCCATCCAGAATTGGTTTTTGTCAGTATTCCGCCCTGGTCTGGACAACCCCCATGTGCGGTTTTGCATGCCAGAGGAAGTGCGGCGCTCTCTTTTATGGTGGACGGAACCAGACAATGTAACTGCTGGCCTGCCCTTTCAAAATCCCGATCCGTCCACTGTTGTCACGACGGATTCCTCCTTAAAAGGATGGGGAGCACATTTCGAGGGCCTGACTGCCCAAGGTGTGTGGACTCCAGAGGAGTCCACATTCCACATCAATGTTCTGGAATTACTCGCTATAGAAAAGGCGTTAAAATCTTTCGAGATGGCGTTGTTAGGCAAAGTAGTGCAGGTGGTTACGGACAATACAACGACAATGTATTACATAAACAAACAAGGGGGAACAAGGTCACAGGTTCTGTCAAGCCTAACAATGCGCCTCTGGGAGTGGTGCATAGCCAGAGAGATTCATCTAGTGGCTGTTCACCTCCCAGGGGAGGAGAATGTATTAGCGGACAAATTAAGCAGATCCCCCATGTCGAACCACGAATGGTCCCTCAATCAAAGGGTACTCAGTACGATCTTCAAGATCTGGGGGCTTCCAACAATAGATTTGTTTGCATCACAGGAGAATGCGAAATGTCCCCTTTATTGTGCCCGCAGAATAGCAAATCAGAGGCAGGGATGCCTAGGGGATGCGTTTCTACGCAAATGGAACAACGATTTCCTTTACGCGTTTCCTCCATTCCCTTTACTTCCGAAGGTTCTTTCGAAGCTTTGGAGGGACAAAGGGAACTGCATTCTAGTGTCACCATGGTGGCCTCGCCAACCATGGTTCTCAGTTCTTCTAGAAATGTCCAAAGGAAGGTACAGGCGTCTGCCAAACAGGATAGACCTCCTAACTTCACAGGACGGGCAGGTTCATTACCCGGATGCCCATATGTTGAGACTCACTGCCTGGAGGATCGTTCCAGACAGTTAGGTTCATCCTTATCTTTGTCTGCTCAAGTTAAGGCTATTTTGGATGCAGCTCAAAAGCCGTCTACACAATGCTCATATGTGTATAAGTGGGCACGTTATTCCCGGTTTATGAAAGAAAGGGAGCTTGACCCCGTAAATGCGCCAATTTCGGCGGTGTTGGATTTCTTAGTTTCATTGTCTGATTCAGGTTTATCTCTCTCATCCCTGAAATGTTACCTGGCGGCCATATCGTGGTATAGAAGGAAAGAAGGAATGCCTTCCCTCTTTTCAGAATACTTAGTCAAGCTCATCCTTAAAGGGTTCGGGAATGTTAAGCCAGCAGTTGTCCCAATTATCCCTTCGTGGAGCCTGGAGGTTGTGCTTTCGTCTCTTCAAAGTCCACCGTATGAGCCTATGGCCACATGCGATATTTCACATCTCTCTTGGAAAACTTCTTTCCTAGTGGCGATAACATCAGCCAGACGTGTTAGTGAGATTTGCGCACTTAGATCAGATGAACTATACCTCCGGTTCCATAAAGATAAGGTTGTGCTCCGCACAGACATTTCCTTTCTTCCCAAGGTGACGTCTTGTTTTCATATGTCCCAAGAGATTATTTTGCTAGCCTTCTTTCAGAATCCAACCTCCCCTTTGGAACGTAGTCTTCATTTGCTGGATGTACACAGAGCAGTGGCTTTCTACCTCAGTAGAACAAAAGACATAAGGAAAACGCCAAAATTATTTGTTAAGTACAGGAAGGATACCTGTGGCCTCCCTGTATCGTCACAACGTCTGTCATCATGGATAGTCTCTGTGATCAAGTTGGCATACCAGAAATCTGGACGAGAGCTTTCTATTGGCGTAAAGGGACACTCCACGAGAGCAGTGTCTGCTACGACAGCATTTTGGAAAGGTGTACCCTTGGATACCATTTGTCGAGCTGCCACCTGGTCTACGCCGCTGACGTTTGTGTCACACTATAAGCTTGATCTGATGGCCAAGAAGGACGCGGCATTTGGTCGGGCAGTGCTTTTTTCTGCGGTGGCATGACTCCCGCCAACCAAGGTGGGTAGCTCGCTAGTCTTCTACCAATAGTGCGTATTCACAGCACAGCCACGTAGGGAAAATGAGAGGTTGCTTACCTGTAACCGTAGTTTCCTTAGTGGTGTGCTGTGAATTCGCACGGCCCCACCCATCCTCCCCGCAGTTTGTCATGCCTCCTCCTTCTAGCTGCATTAGCGGAGGAAGAGATCTGGAGGCGGTTAGCCAGCCGCGGGCTATTTATAATGTTAGGGGGAGTGTGCGCGGGGCCAACCGCCGATCCTTTTTAAATTCTAACTGACGATTCCGGAGCGATGCTGCGCATGCGCAGAAGTACCAATAGTGCGAATTCACAGCACACCACTAGGGAAACTACGGTTACAGGTAAGCAACCTCTCATTTCTCCAGCAACTGTAAGGGAGCAAAGGTGTATGTGTACATTGAGCAAGAAGGTATAAAACATGAGGTTGGGAAGGACTCAAAGATCCCAGAAGCAGCTGGTGACTGAAGTACAGGCAACACATTTGGGTCTTTATTGCACATCTTATTGTGCTTTTCTCTATTCAATGTTCAGGTGATCGTTTTCAGCCGATTTATACCATCCCTAAATTTATACCGAGAGGTAAGAACCACGGCATTTCGTGACAGGTCAGAGTCTATTGTTACATTTAAAAGATTTTACGTTCATTGACACCTCCCTGCAGATCATATAGGATCAAAAATTGTTGCAATCACTTGTTTGTATTCGGGGTGGGGTGGGTAGGAGAGATTTGAACATTGGGTGCCTGATAATGCTCTTGTTTCAAAAAATGTCTGACGTATTGAGAGTGTTGGAACTCAACCACATCCTGCACAAGTTTATGGTCCTCATCAAGGAAATAGATAATGCTGGTGGGTTAGTTGGCAGGGAAAGCCCTTCCCCATTGGCCTGCCTATCAGTCTGTTTTCTCCTCCTATCCCCTGACTGTTAGACTGATACTTCTCAGGGACACACCTCTTTTTCTTGAGCACATGGCAAGCCCTGGAGTCCTCCATTTAGTTCTTCTGTGAGCATGGAGAGAGACAAGATGTCCACTCTGATTTAGATAGCCAGGCCCTTTGCTTTCCTATCTAGAAATGTCGTTCTTTGAATGAAGTGTTTTACAATTTTTTAAAGCTTTATTCTGCTCCTGAATTGCCGAAGCTCATTTGCTCTAGTGCTGGCACAAGAAGCTTCTGATCTGCTAAACCGCTGCTGCTGTTGTTGCAGATTTCCTTTGGAAATTCAGTTTCCTTTTTGAAATTGCCCAACACTGTGGGAGAAGGCAGTGTCCCCTCCGCTGCATCTCTCCCACTCCCTTGCTGTCCTCTGTAACTCATTGCACTGCAAGACTTTTGTGGCTCCTTGTCTTTGTTGTTGTTGTCTTTTCCCCTTAGCTGTCTCAGACAGAGGTTACGTGCTGTTGCTGGGGACAGAGCAATATACTACTCGATTCCTCACCCCCAGAGGTTTGGCTTTCAACCCCTTCAGTAAGATATTCTACATCTGGGGGAATGCTATCTTGCAAAGGTAAGGCCTACTGCCTGATTTCAATGTGATCTCAGGTGGCTTCCCATTTCCATATTGTACCTTGATCCTTTTCTGAGTTGCAGGAATAATATTCTCAAATGAAGGCTGCAGTCATAGTGGGGAGCCCATCCACGTGGCTGTGGCTTCACACTCCTGTCCTGCAGACCCCAACATGTTTGTCTAGAGCCAGTCCCAGTCCCTGCTCTAGGCTCATGGCTGACCTTTAGTTCAATAGGAGGTAGAATTATGGGAGGAGAGTCTGCTGTAATTTTTCCCCTTTAGAATCAGCTTGGGTTAGTGGTTTTGGACTATGACTTGAAACCAGGGTTCAGATCTCTGCTTGGCCATGGCAACCCGCTGGGTGACTTTGGGCAAGTCACACTCTCTCAACCTCAGAGGGAGGCAAGTGCAACCCTTCCCTCTCTCTGAACAACTCTTGCCAAGAAAGCCTCGTGATAGTTTAGCCTTAGAATCATAGAATAATAAGAGTTGGAAGAGACTCCAGGGGCCATCCAGGCCAACCCCATTCTACCATGCAGGAAAAACACAATCAGATCACCTCTGACAGATGGCCATCCAGTCTCTGTTCAAAAGCCTCCAAAGAAGGAGCCTCCACCACTCTCCAAAGCAGTGAGTTCCACTCTTGAACAGCTCTTCTTACGGTCAGGAAGTTATTCCCAGTGTTCAGGAGGAATCTCTTCTCTGTAATTTGAACCCATTCCTCCAAGTCCTATTGCACAAGCCAAAAAAATCAAATCATCAGAAATGAGAGTGACACAGTTTAAATCCATTTTAATGCTGATTTTAAATATGTCTTTATTTTTTTCCCATCATATCAACTTTTTAAAATATGGCTAATGGTACATTACAGCAGACTACTGTAAAGTTTGCATATTTTGCATCATATTTGTGTAACACAAGCCAATAGTATTTTTCACCAGATATAATTTTGGTTATTCTTATAGAGGTTTTTTGTGCTGAATTCCGATCTGTGTTTATTTTCCCCTCGTGGTCAGCTGTGAATATTACACATATGGTTAATTCTTGTGCTCGCGCAGGCTGCATCGGATTATAAGAACTAACTATAATATATAGAGTTCAGGAATTAACCATATGTGCAAATTCACAGGTGACCACTCGGGAAACTATGTTTACAGGTAAGCAACCTATATTTTTTCTCTATCACTTTTAGCTTTTGCGCTGAAACTAATCGAATAATTCATGCATTTATGTACTAATATCAATTAGATTCTATTTTATTAGTCTCATCACAAAAACTATACATGATAGAGAAAAATGCAGATCTGAATTCAGCACAAAAAACCTCTATAAGAATGATCTAACATCATATCTGATGAAAAATACTTTTTGGCTTGTGTTATGATTATGATTGTTATTATGATAATAATTATTATTATTTATATCCTGCTTTTTCTCTCTACCAGGAGACTCAAAGTGGCTTACATTAAAAACATTTCCATACAATTGAAAATACAAACATTAAAACAGAATGAAATATCATTGGTATTTTTAAAAATCAGTTAAAACCCGTAAAAACATATTCGAAACTAAAAACCACAGCACCCCTGACTAGTCTCCAGGGCAGGAGAAAAGAACTGTGAATCAGAAAGGACTTGAAGGCACATAACAACAATCCTTTACTTGAACCATTTAAATAAAAAAAAAAACCCCACAGTAATATGAACTTTTTTTTGATTGACTTTGAACTTATTTTGCTTGGCTTTTCTTGACAGCAATGACATGGTGAGCTACATATATTTGTCTAACTTTCCGGGCGTTTCTCCTATCAAATATTTTGTTATGTCCTTTACTGGCCACATTGCTTTTGTGACAGACGCAAATGAGGTACGTGCATTTATTTTCCCTTCTGCAGAAGTGATTTGGCTTGGAACTATTTCTTGAGTGTAGTCTGTTGTTAATAAATGATCCTGTTTGCGTGGACTGGACTTTAGCACAGATGGTTAATTGCCAGTAGCAATAGATCTTTCCCAACCAAAAGGTTGGGAGTTCAAGCCCAGGTCAGGGTGAGCACCCAACCTTCAGCCCAGCTTACTGTCCACTTAAGGAGTTTGAAAACAGCTATAGCTATGAGTAGAGGAATTAAAATAAAATAAGCAGGGAGGTATTTTATGGCACCATTTAAAAAAAGCTGGCTATCAAAGACCAGGAGGAAAGTCTGTGAGCAAAAAAAGGCTCATTGTCATAGAACTGAGCATAACCTCCAGGATGCCAAAGTTGGAAAAATGCTGAGACACCTACGTCTATCTGCCTGTTTATCCTGAATGTCTAACGCAGTGGTTCTCAACCTGTGGGCTGGGCCACAAGAACAAAAATCCAGTCTGTGAAACTCCTTCCTCTTTATTTTATTTATTTATTTTATTTTATTTTATTTATTTTATTTATTTTATTTATTTTATTTATTTTATTTATTTTATTTATTTTATTTATTTTATTTATTTTATTTATTTTATTTATTTTATTTATTTTATTTATTTTATTTATTTTATTTATTTTTTCCGCTCCTTTCCGCAGAGCTAACCAGCCCCGCCCCTTTTGGTACTAATGTTGGAGAGTGGTCCCTGGTCAAGTGGACCTTGGTCAAGTGGGCCCTAGTCAAGTGGAACCTGGTCAAAGTGGGCCCTGGTCAAGTGGGCCCCGGTGAAGTGGGCCCTGGTCAAAGTGGGCCCTGATTAAAGTGGGCACTGGCCGAGTAGGCACTGGTTAAAGTGGGCCCTGGTCAAAGTGGACCCTGGTTAAATTGAGCCCTGGTCAAGTGGGCTTGGTCAAAGTGGACCCTGGCCAAAGTGGGCCCTGGTCAAAGTGGGCCCTAGTCAAGTGGAACCTGGTCAAAGTGGGCCCTGGTCAAGTGGGCGCCGGTCAAGTGGGCCCTGGTCAAGTGGGCCCTGGTCAAAGTGGGCCCTGATTAAAGTGGGCACTGCCTGAGTAGGCACTGGTTAAAGTGGGCCCTGGTAAAAGTGGGCCCTGATTAAAGTGGGCACTGGCCGAGTAGGCACTGGTTAAAGTGGGCCCTGGTCAAAGTGGACCCTGGTTAAAGTGAGCCCTGGTCAAGTGGGCTTGGTCAAAGTGGACCCTGGCCAAAGTGGGCCCTAGTCAAGTGGAACCTGGTCAAAGTGGGCCCTGGTCAAGTGGGCCCTGGTCAAAGTGGGCTCTGATTAAAGTGGGCACTGGCCGAGTAGGCACTGGTTAAAGTGGGCCCTGGTCAAAGTGGACTCTGGTTAAGGTGAGCCCTGGTCAAGTGGGCTTGGTCAAAGTGGACCCTGGCCAAAGTGGGCCCTGGTCAAAGTGGGCCCTAGTCAAGTGAGCCTACGTCAAAGTGGGCACTGTTACTGGTCAAGTGGACTCTGGTAAAAAAAAGGTTGGGAACCACTGGTCTAACGTCATTTAATGTTTGCCTGTATTTGTTCTGTGATCACACCTGAGCCTCCTTCAGGGTGAGAAGGGCAGAATATAAATGCTTTAAATAAATCTCTGGACCATTATTTTCATCTCAGTCTAATTAGCTCTGAATACGTTCAGTAAGATATTCTACAACTGGGGGAATGCTATCTTGCAAAGGTAAGGCCTGCTGCCCAAAACATACTGATTTGAATGTCTTCCCAGCTGGCAACAACTGACAGGGAGTTCTGGCATGGGCTGGTGCATGAGGTCACAAAGACTCGGAAGCGACTGAACAAATAAACAACAACAAAACATTTAAAATCATTTTTATTTTAAAACCATTAATATTTAATTTTATATTATTTTTTAAGGTTTTAAATTATATTTTGTAGTATGACCTTTGTTCTGTTACTCATGATGTCATTTGTTGCATTTCTTTTTTCTATCAGTGACTCCGGCAAAAAAAAAATGGAGGGGATGGGGGGATTAAAATAAATGTCAACCAGAAAGAGATTTTAGTTGTGCATTTCTCTCTCTCCCCACCCTTCAATTCAAGGTCTGGGTTATGAGTGAAAGCAGCACAGAGATCAAAAGAGCATATCCGTCCGAAGCCTGGTCCGTGTACAATACCCTGCAAGTGATGGAAGGCTCACCGGATCACGACTTGAATGCCACTCAAGCTATAGTCACGGTTTTCTTTGACAAGGATGGGATGCAAGAGGTGGGTGTCTTCGGTGTGTTTGTGACAGTTGGAAGTTCAAGGGGAGCGACGGTAGTAAGAAACAGCATGAGGGTCCTGATAGCAATAGCAGCAGGACTCTTGGAGATGAGAATTTCGGACCCTGGTTTGCCCACAGAAACCCACCGAGGGACCTTGATCAACTGGCACTCTCTGAACTCCAGAGGAAGGCAGTGGAGGGACAGCTCTCCCAAAGCCATTTTTGCAGCCCTTCTCTCTCTTAATATACTCCATTCCTTTTATTGGTAACCAAGTGATGCACCTTTGACACCTTCTTCTCATTATCATAGCCTGAGGTCTAGGAACCTAAATACTGAAAATCTGACAATGAAGAGAGATGTTATGGATGGAGCACTGTAACTCCTGATCATGGCTTCATCGGCCTCTTTTTCTCAGCGCTGGAATATGTATGAGCCAAGCTGAAGTTTTGCTCTTATCGGCATCTGTTCCCTTTTTGCTGATTCTGAGATCAGCCCTCTCCTTGTCACTGTGGCCCTTGGATATCTCAGAAAGCATCTTCACATCGAGCCTGTTGAGCTCAAATGCCAAGTGATCACTGTCATCAAATCACAAATACTGGGCTCACATCTCTCCATTTTTCATTCTTTGTTTCCCTCAGTAAATATTTACCCACTAAAGCGCATTAAACAAGTGCTGCGCCGACCCAACTTGTGTTAACAGGGATTGGGAGAGAGGCCAAGAAATGGCTGGGACATGTGTTGCCTGCCCCAAGAAGACTGCATGCTTGCTCTTGCTTCTGCTGTCCCTGGACAAATAAAAAGAGTAGGAGTTTTGGATTATATTGTATTGTTTTGAATGTTGGGAACCCTTAGATTCTCTCTATGATCAGCTCTTTGGGTCTCCAACTCCCAGAATTCCTAACCATTGAACATTGAAGGGCTTCTGGGAGTTGATGGCCCAAACAGCGGGCGGGTTGAAGAGGCCTGAATCAACTGCTCTTAATCCCTTCTTTTTCAGTTGGTTTATAGGGAGGATCCTGGAACCACTGGAAAGTTAATCAAGAGGAAATTCCCTCTGGATCATATACTGACCTACGACCAGGTGATCAGCACTCCTCACAAATGGATGACTCACAAGTGAGTGGTGGCGCACAAGGTGCGGCTGAATTGTTTCTAAACTTGTCCACCATCTCAGCAATAGTTCTACTGGCAATGGACTATATAGATTGTTGTAGTCCAGAGAATGGCTTCTCAGATCTAGCACCTGCTTCCACTTTATTTGAAAGTTTCTTTGGACGAGAGAGCATCGTTCGCTCAGACACAAACGGTGGCCTTCAAGGCTAGCCAGAAATCCCACTCTCAGTCAGTTGTTCCACAATGGTTCTCAGCACTTTCTTGTGCCCAGGGAAAGTTGTTCACTGTGAGGTGAAGTCTAAATCCAGACTATGGCTGGGTACTCCATTGGATCGAAGGACTCCAGTCAAGGATCGGGTCAAAGATGTGGAATGTATGACCCATCATGTATTCTTGGTTTCAAGCTCCATTGGCCCCATCCAACACATCCAGGTTGAGGGATGATGGGAGTTGCAGTCCATGTACTTCTGGAGGGCCATTCCCTTCCTCCACATTTGAGGTAGAATTCTCCTTGAGTTTGTGAGATTGAAATAGTTCATAGTCAGATGTAAATAATATGTATATTTATAGAATGTTTACAATGTTTATGTGTTTCAATTATGCTGTAACCCGCCTCGAGAAGAGGCAGGTAATAATAATAATAATAATAATAATAATAATAATAATAATAATAACCATAAATGATGGCTTGGCTTCTTTGTTCCCAGTGGCATAGACTACATCAGATTCACCCACCGTTGCCCATTTGCCGTGGTCCGCTTTGTGGACTTGCCGTTCCCGCAGCGCTATACTCGGATGGAGCATTACCGTGTCAAGCCTCCGGAAATCATGGTCAAGACAGGCTTCTATGACCAGAAGTCGCTGATTGTGTACCAGGGACTGGTCTACCAACTGCTACAGCTGCATTCAGCTTACCACAGAGTGAGGACAGATTTTTGATGTCAACTTCAGAAAGTGGTTTCCCTATGCACAGGCTTGTGCTCACTTATATCGGGCTTTTCTCCCGTCCACTCCTGGTACAAGGCCTAGAATTATCAGATTGAATCCAGGCCTCAGTGCAGGAAGAGGTCCTGGAAAACTCCACTGACTAGAATGAAAATGCCTCTCCTCTCTCACTTTTCAAACTCTAATTTTTTTCTGCCCTTGTTGTGTGTCATTCTTGGGCTGAAAGCTTGCAGAAGTGAGCAGCCTCTAGTTTCTCACCTGGAATCTGGGACATCCATTTGAAGCTTGGGAAACACTTGTTTCCAATTTGAAAACAGTAGATGCTCCTTGGCCTTGATGGTCTTGTGTAATATTTACATATTTATAGATGTATTTATAGGTCCCTCCCACTGAAAGGACCAAGAGGCCCACTTTGAATGTCAACCCTTCTTCTCCTGTTTTGGATTAAAACAAGCCAAGGGCGGCATTCATACTTTCTGGAGGTCTTTTGGGAGTTTAAAAAGGGAAGTCTTCTTTTCCAATGAGAGTGGGGCTCTTGTATGTGCCTGCATTTGAGCATCTTGTCCTAAGGGCAGCATCCCACAAGCCATGTCCACAGCAGAATGCCCAGGACCATTGCCTTTTTAGGCCCCATCTGCACTGACCAATTAATGCAGATTCAAACCAGTAGTGAAGAAAGTGCCTTTTGGTATGCAGATGATTACATAGGAAATGCTGGAACTACTCTGAGGCCCAGATAGTAATGGCAGAAATCACAGAGCACTTTCCTTCGCATGGTTTTTTGGGGGCATTTTTGTTGCCTATTTAGCTTTTAAATACCGTAAAAATCGGCATATTAGACGACTTTCTAAGCCAAGAAAGTCATCTTAAAAGTGGGGGGGGGGGGTCTTGTGTGTAGTTGTAGTTTTACAAGGTCCTTAGCCTTCCCTGTTTAAGAGAGCCAGTACCATACCAAACTACAAGTCCCAGTTTTCTATCAGATTGTTTTGAATTTCAACTCTCACAATTCCTAACAGCTAGTGGCTGGGTTGCTGTGAGTTTTCCAGACTGTATAGCCATGTTCCAGAAGTGTCCTCTCCTGATGTTTTGCCCAGATCTATGCCAGGCATCCTTGGAGGTTGTGAGGTCTGTTGGAAACATGGCAAGTGGGGTTTATATATCTGTGGAAAGTCCAGGGTGGGAGAAAGAACTCTTGTCTGCTTGAGGCAAGTGGGAATGTTGCCATTGGCTACCTTGATTAGCACTGAATGGCCTTGCAGCTTCAAAGCCTGGCTGCTTCCTGCCTGGGGGAATCCTTTGTTGGGAGGTGTTAGTTGGTCCTGATTTTTTATTGTCTGGATTTCCCCTGCTTTTGAGTGTTGTTTTTTATTTACTGTCCTGATTTTAGAGGAGTTTTTTTAAATACTGGTAGCCAGATTTTGTTCATTTTCATGGTTTCCTCCTTTCTGTTGAAATTGTCCACATGCTTCTTGTGGATTGCAATGGCTTCTCTGTGTAGTCTGACATGGTGGTTGTGAGAGTGGTCCAGCATTTCTGTGTTCTCAAATACTGTTAGGAATTGTGGGAGTTGAAGTCCAAAACACCTGGAGGGCTACAGTTTGCCCATGCCTGATTTAGATCTATCTCAAAAAGGGTATATTCATCAAACCCTTTGGGCATGACCTTGGAAATATCTGGCTGCAGTGCAAAATGTTCTCACGTGTTGGGTTTTGGAAGCTGCACAAGATGGCTTTATGACAACTTCTGTCCCCTCAGCTTACCACTAGCTGCTGCATTTCCCTCCCCTGGCTTATACTCAAGTCAATAAATTTTCCCAGTTTTTGGTCGTAAAATTAAGTGCCTCAGCTTATATTCGGGTCAGCTTATACTCGAGTATATATGGCAACTAGAACTGGATGGCCACCTGTTGGGGAGGCTTGCATTGTGTCTTCCTGCCTGGCAGGAGTGAGTGGGTTGGAATGGATGGCCATTGGAGTCCCAACTCTAGCGTTCTGTTGTTGTTGTTATTGTTAAGCAGAGTTGTATGGCCACCTGTTAGGAAGGCTTGCATTGTGTCTTCCTGCCTGGCAGGAATGGGGTTGGACTGAATGGTCATTGAGGTCCCTTCTATTATTATTGTTGTTGTTATTGCTATTATTGTTGCTATTGCTATTATTAAGTAGAACAGGATGGCCATCTGTCGGGAGGGCTTGGACATGTGTTCCTGTCTGGCAGAATTAGGGTTAGACTGGATGGCCATTGGAGTCCCTTCCAATTCTAGATTTCCATTATTGTTGTTGTTGTTGGGGAAAGGACATTGGACCCGGCCCTGGTCTCACTCTAGGTAAGGTAAGGTAAAAATTTATAGAACTTTATTACGCTCCATGGACCCACAACTGTTAAATAAATAATAAACATACAGGAGTTTACAGGTGAGGTAAAGGTTTTCTCCTGACGTTAAGTCCAGTCGTGTCCGGCTCTGGGGGTTGGCGCTCATCTCCATTTCTAAGCTGAAGAGCTGGATACTGCTTTGATAGTCTTGGATTTGAAATCAAATCTGATGTTTTTATTTTTTGTTTTTATTTGGTGTGCGATGGAAGAGGGGTGGTCTTATACGGCGAGTATATACCAAACTCTATATTTTAACTGGAAACGTTGGGGGGTCGTCTTATACGCCCAGTCGTCTTATATGCCGGAATATACGGTAGTCAGTGTGGATGAGCCTCAGTGTCTTGCTTCTTATCAGCCACCAGAGGCCACCACAAGCCCACAAGAACCTCCTGTCTCCAGTGCTTTCTCTGGAAGTCCCACTTTACACTAAAATCCAAGGCGGGATGTGGATTTTATGTTTCTGGCATGGCTTCTGTGCTACTCATAGAATCATAGAATCAAAGAGTTGGAAGAGACCTCATGGGCCATCCAGTCCAACCCCCTGCCAAGAAGCAGGAATATTGCATTCAAATCACCCCTGACAGATGGCCATCCAGCCTCTGTTTAAAAGCTCCCAAAGAAGGAGCCTCCACCACACTCCGGGGCAGAGAGTTCCACTGCTGAACGGCTCTCACAGTCAGGAGAGCCGTTCAGCTGTCACAGATAATGCTGGGTTCCTTCTGGCTGAGGCTGCTCTTGTACCTGGGTGGGGTCTTTTCTCTTTCTCTTTCTTCCAACTGTACTTTACCAAGTTTTCTTTTTTGTTATCTTGCTAGGCTTATGCTGACCCAGTCCATGACCCCACTTGGCGCTGGTGGAAGAACAAGAAACAAGATGCAGTAAGAAAAACCAGTCTTGGGGAATTGACATGGAATTTAGACCACAATTAAATGAGAGAGTTTGGATTGATGAGCTATACCAACCATAATTTTAAAAAACTCCAAGTTCCAGATTAAAAACTCACCAGTGAAGCAAAGGCATAAGACAGAGGAGGCATTTTATTCCATTTTGGCTGAGATGTGATGCATATCAGAGCTTCTGCTCTAAAAATTACAAGCATAAGAGAGCATGTGCTCTGCACAACAGTTTTTATACAAGAAGGTCCATTGTTTCAGTTTGAATGCTCCCTCTTTTGTTTCTGGTTGGCTGAGCTCTGATGATATGGCTGGAAATCTCCTCCCAGCCAGATGAGGAAAGCTCTCTGAGTGTAGCAGAGTCTCTAAGGAATGCTGGCTTTCCAGACCAGCCGGGGTTCAGGGCGGGGATGATGGGATTCTGAAACCCAGACCCTGGAGAACAGTGGAAGCTGTTCTCTGAGGTCTTGGCTTGGCTAGGTAAACAAAGGTGCCCGTTGAGGAGCTATCACTCTATTTTGTTATATTCTTTGCCTGACACTGAGAAGCATTCTTGACTGGCTTGAGTCAGACAGTTTAATTTATTTTAGTACATTTAAGAATAAGGTGGAATAAAAGCACAGTTTATACATTTCAAACTTGGGAAACAGACACATTATATAAAAGGATAAACATTGAAATTGATAAATATAAGTCTTGGGTTGTTGTAGGTTTTTCCGGGCTATATGGCCATGTTCTAGAGGCATTTTCTCCTGAAGTTTCACCTGCATCTATGGCAAGCATCCTCAGAGGTAGTGAGGTCTGTTGGAAGTAGGAAAATGGGTTTATATATCTGTGGAATGACCAGGGTGGGACAAAGGACTTTTGTCTGCTGGAGCTAGGTGTGAATGTTTCAACTGACCACCTTGATTAGCATTTAATGGCTTGGAAGTGCCTGAGGGGAATCTTTTGTTGAGAGTGATTTGATGTGCCTGATTGTTTACTCTCTGTTGTTTTGCTGTTGTAATTTTTGAGTTTTTTAATACTGGTAGCCAGATTTTGTTCATTTTCATGATTTTAAGTCTTAGCTTTGGACGTCTAAGCATAATTGTGTCTTATTTCCAGACCAGCCAGACAAAGGATGTGGCAATGACCCAAAGTCCCTTTTGTCTTGAACCACACCTAAGGCCATTCCCCAGTGTGAGACAATTGTAGGATAATTTGCCTCCTGACCTAGGTCAGGTAAAGGTTAATGTTTTCTGTCCCCGAAGTAAAATACAACACATTTTATAGGAATCAAAGTGGAATAAAATATAGTTGATAGAGGGAAGAGAGAGAGGTCTAGGGGTGGTGGGGAGGCCTGGGGGTTATACAAAAGGGTTAGGGTTAGCTCACTGTATATCTGGCTTATTGCCCTTGGAAAACTAAAAATCCCTAACTATAAATCCTTTTTTATTTGGGGTGGGGGTAGTGGTGTTCAATAACAGAATCATTCTTCAGTGAACCCCTCCCCACTGAGAATATTAAGTTTAGCCGTACCTTAGTCCCCTGGGGGGGGGGGGGTAAAATCTCCTGGTTTTAAGGCAAATAGCAAATTCAGAAAAGTCAATTCCAGAGCCTGCTTCTGATCTCTACTTTCTTCGAGTTAAACTAGGGACAATAGTAAAGGAGGAAATCCATTGTGGCAGATCTGAAATGGTTAAACCTCTGGACAGGTTGTATATAAGTTAAATCCTGTGAGTATTTACATACATGAAAGCACAGAGATTAAAATTTCACTCACCACTACATGTTTTGTCTACCTCTCCATATGGCTCAAAGCAGGGAGCAGCAGATTAAATATGCACATCTATTATCAAACACATAATAGGGGAAGGTGTGCATTGGTACTACTGTGGCTATAGACATACAAAGAATCGGATGGCTTATATCCCTCCTTACAATCACATGCAACTCTTTCCAGGAATACTACTACTACATGGCCAGCAATTGGAAATCTTCTGGAGGCATCTATGTTGACATGGCCAACTATGTGAAGATCTACAACATCATGCCCAATAATTTGCTGCCGAAAACTATCTACTTGGACAAGGAGCAGACTTTCCTCTTCTCTGTGTACTTGAGCCTCCGGACGACCAAACAGAGCAGTAAGATGTGGGAGATTAGAGATGTGAGACTCACTCAGGCCCCTTCTAAACTACCATATAATCAAATTTCTGAATCCACATTATCTGCTTTGAAGTGGATAATATGAGTCTGCATGGCTATATTTGTTGTTTATTCGTTCAGTCGCTTCCGGCTCTTCATGGGCCAGGCCAGGCCAGAGTTCCCTGTCAGCCGTGGCTACCTGCAGTCCCTTCAAAGTCAAGCCAGTCACTTCAAGGATACCATCCATCCACCTTGCCCTTGGTTTGCCCCTCTTCCTTTTTCCTTCCATTTTCCCCAGCATCATTCTCTTCTCCAAGCTTTCCTGACTTCTCATTATGTGGCCAAAGTCCTTCATCTTTGCCTCTAATATCCTTCCCTCCAGTGAACAATAGGCCTTTATTTCCTGGAGTATGGACTAGTTTGATCTTCTTGTAGTCCAAGGCACTCTCAGAACTTTCCTTCAATACCACAGTTCAAAAGTGTCTATCTTCCTTCGCTCAGCCTTCCTTATGGTCCAGCTCTCACATCCATAGGTTGCTACGGGGAATACTGTTGCTTTAACTATGCGGACCTTCGTTGCCAGTGTGATGTCACTTCTCTTCACTATTTTATTGAGATTGGTCACTGCTCTCCTCCCAAGAAGGAAACATCTTCTGATTTCCTGGCTGCAGTCTGTGTCTGCGGTAATTTTCACACCTAGAAATACAAAGTCTGTCACTGCCTCCATGTTTTCTCCCTCTATTTGCCAGTTATCAATCAGTCTGGTTGCCATAGTCTTGATTTTTTGATGTTTAACTGCAACCCAGCTTTTGCACTTTCATCCAGTTCAAAGCAGATAATATGGACTTTATATGGCAGTATGCTGAACAGCTCTCACAGGTAGGAAGTTCTTCCTCATGTTCTTCCTTTCCTGTAGTTTGAAGCCATTGTTCTGCGTTCCAGGGCAGAAGAAAACAAGCCTGCTCCCTCCTCTCACATTTTCATAAATGGCCATCACGTCTCCTCTCAGCCTTCTCTTCTGTATGCTAAACATGCCCAGCTCTTTTAAGCTGCTCCTCATAGGGCTTATTCTCCAGACCCTTGATCCTTTTTGTTGCCCTCCTCTGGGACTTCTCCCGTTCTCCAAGAACCCTCAAAGATGATTGCCAGTGGTTTCGAAATGACTTCCGCTAGTTCCTTCAATACTCTTAGATGTAGTTGATCTGGCCCTAGGGACATGAATTTGTTTAGACCAGCCAGGTATTGTTGTAGGTTTTTCCAGGCTATATGGCCATGTTCTGGAGGCAATTTTTCTCCTGACGTTTCACCTGCATCTATGGCAAGCATCCTCAGAGGTAGTGAAGTCAGACCTCACTACCTCTGAGGATGCTTGCCATAGATGCAGGCGAAACGTCAGGAGAAAAATTGCCTCCAGAACATGGCCATATAGCCCGGAAAACCCTACAACAACCCAGTGATCCCGGCCATGAAAGCCTTCGACAATACCAGCCAGGTATTCCTGGACAACTTGATCCCTGTTTGCGGGGTGGATTTCCCCTACTCTCTTTCATCCTTTCCATGTTGCTGAGGTTGAGGATGGCTTCCTTTTTGTGAGAAGACTGAGGCAAAGAAAGCATTAAGTACTTCTACGTTTTCCTTATCCCGTTAGCATTTCCCCATCATCTCCTCATAGAGGCCCTATCACCTTCTTGTTCTTCCTTTTCCTACCAACGTAAGCAAAGAAACCCTTTGTTTTTAATGTCCCTGGAAGAACGGAGCTCGTTTTGCATTTTAGCCTTGTGAACCTTTTCCCTAGAGGAGTTGGTTATTTGTTTGAATTCGTCTTTGGTGGTTTCTCCCATTTTCAACTTCTTGTGCATGTCATCAAGCAAAAGGTTTGAAATGACATACCTCCTAAGGCTTCATTTCACACACCATTTCAAACCCATCTTCAGATGCACCTCTCCCTTCCACCACACCAGAATACTTTGACTCTAGGATTCCAGTTTGGCTTTTGGAGCAAGGTACATGTTTTATCATTCAAAACCAATTCTTTTACTCCTGTCTGAATCAAAAGTGTCTAAAAACTTTTTTGCTGTTTTTAAAAATCTGAAGTAAATTAACTATTGCTATACACAGTGTTAATGAGCCCCCGGTGGCGCAGTGGGTTAAAGCACTGAGCTGCTGAGCTTGTTGATCGAAAGGTCGCAGGTTCGATTCCGGGGAGCGGCGTGAGCTTCCGCTGTCAGCCCTAGCTTCTGCCAACCTAGCAGTTCGAAAACATGCGAATGTGAGTAGATCAATAGGTACCGCTCCGGCGGGAAGGTAACGGCGCTCCATGCAGTCATGCCAGCCACATGACCTTGGAGGTGTCTACGGACAACGCTGGCTCTTCGGCTTAGAAATGGAGATGAGCACCACACCCCAGAGTCAGACATGACTGAACTTAATGTCAGGGGACTACCTCTACCTTTACCTATACACAGTGTTAAAAATGCAGATATACCATAGGGGTTGTAGTGGAGTCATAGGCCTTCTCTCGTTTTGCCTTTAGTGGGGGAAACGGCGGAAGAGAATTCTCTCAACTACATGTGGCTCACCATACTTTTATCCCATCCGGAATATGTTCATGCGGATCTAGAGAGGCACGAACTAATCAGCAGAGGCTCCATCCTCTATAAGGTAAAGTCCCCCCCATTCCCACCAGATGAACTGTGTGAATGGGGCCAAGAGGAGGGGGCTCCAGTATGAGTAGTAAACTTCTTGTGGCTATATCTGAAGTTCATTTGAGTGGTGCAAGCAGGGTCAACAGTGAAAAACAAAGCAAGAGGAGCCAGCTTCAAAATTGTGGAGTTAATTCTATGCATGGAAAAAGTGAGAATACAAATACGTTGGTCATTGATTCTGCACACTTGAAAGGCTTGCAATAAGGGGAAGCCGACATAGAAAATGGGGAAGCCTGATAGTGACAAAACCTTTCTTTTCACATTTTTTTTTGTCTTGCCTCACTTATAACAACAACTCCGCCTCCTCACAGGTGTCAATCTCAGACAGTGGCCATTACCCAATGCAACAGCTCAGTGGGAAGGAGCTGTTGAAGAGCTCTGCTAATTTAAAGGTAAGAGAACAGTCTTTATCAATGCCCGTTCTTTAATTTCAATGGCTTTCTTTCTGATTATCAAAGTGGAGCTCTTTGGTTGGAGCTAGCATGGCCCATCAGAGACGATTTGGTGTGCCAGGCTAGCCCTTCACTTGAAATGTGTTCAGTTTGTTTTGCTTCTCCCAGGTTGCACACTCAGGGATGAACTGCTACCACTACATGGATGACGGACCAGTCATAAAGGTAAGTGTGGCTTTACCTTCCTGATGGCAAGGGAGACGATCCCTGTTCTGTCCTTCTGCAAGAAGCCCCAAGAAGCATACAATCAGTGGGTTGCTGTGAGATTTCCGGGCTGTATGGTCATATTCCAGAAGCATTCTCTCCTGACATTTCACCCACATCTGTGGCAGCCATCCTCTGAGGTTGTGAGGTTTGTTGGAAACTAGGCAAGTGAGGTTTATATATCTGTGGAATGTCCAGGGTGGCACAAAGAACTCTTGTCTGTTTGAGGCAGGTGTGAATGTTGCAATTGGCCACTCAAAAAAATGGGAATTCCAGACAGGAAACAGTCAGGGCCAGCTAACACCTCCCAACAAAGGATTCCCCCAGGCAGAAGCAGCCAGGCTTTGACGCTGCAAGGCCATTAAAAGCTAATCAAGGTGGCCAATTGCAACATTCATACTTCCCTCAAAGTGACAAGAATTCTTTCTTCCACCCTGGACATTCCACAGTTATATAAACCCCATTTGCCTAGTTTCCTACAGACCTCACACCCTCTGAGGATGCTTGCCATAAATGGGGCGAAACATCAGGAGAGAATGCTTTTAGAAGATGGCCATACAGCCCAGAAAACTCACAGCCTCCCAGTGATTCCGGCCATGACAGCCTTTGACAACACATAGAATTAATATTTGATCTTCAGGAGCCCTGAAACAATTTGACAACCCATCTCCCTCTCTCTGCTGTTCTGCAAGCCGTTCTTCCCTTCATCCCTTTGCTACGGCATCCTTCCATCTGCCATCTCTTCCTGCCCTCATACATTAGCAATGCCAGTCACATTCTCTGGGGCATTCTGTATCCAAGAAGGAAAGTCCCTTGCATATCACTCCAAGTCTGTCTCCTCAAGGTGTTCCTCCGATTCCACCCTAAAATGCAAAAGGCTTATATTTTTACTCTCTGCCAACCTTGTAGGGCAGTGATACAATCAGCATCAATATTGGATGTCCTCCAGGCAGAAGGCTGGCTTTTGACATCACTTACACCAAGAATTACACTACCGAGAAGAACAAGCGCTACTTCGACTGTGTGAAACCGGACCCCGAGATGCCCTGCTTCTACTTCAGTGATGGTAAGGGCAGCAGGAGGAATACCTGGGTGTATTGGGTTTCTGCCATGAAGTGAGCTGGGAAGTCAGATGAGTGGAACAGACATGGTTATATATCTGATTGTTATGGCAGAAAAGATGCATAAATCGAGTGGTTCCTCAACTAGGACCAGTAAAAATTGATGTTTGGTTCTGGTCAGTAAGACAGTTTCAAGAGGGATTGTTCAGTTCAGCCCGCTCCACCTGGAACCATTCCAAGCATTCAGCATATTTGACACACTTTCTTCTTTCTTTTCTTTCTTGGCAGTGTTTTACCCTTTCTTCTTGATCCAAGACATGGTGACAGGGCACTCGGGGCGTTTCAATGGAAGGTGAGGCCTGAGCACAGCTTTGTGGAAATGCTGAGTCGGGATGAATACATTCTCAAGCCCTTCGTTCAAGTTCTTTGGAACAAGGCGGAGGCACCTGGGTCCAAACCCAATGCACTTGGACAGGGACACTCCTGGTTAATCCTTTGTTGCTCCACATTTTCAGCTACCTTAAAAATGTCCGGCTTTCTCTCGCTTCCTCACAGTTACTCCCTTAACTACAATTGCTGCAGAATGAGTTCAGAATGCAAAAGTTGTTTGTACTGAGTTAACTCAGGAGGAGGAGAGGAGGGGGCAAAATGTGGTCCTTCCCAGTAGGTATTGAGGTTTCAAAAGCATTCATGCCCAGCTGCCTTCTGTTTATTGGTTGATCATACTCCTTTCTCTTTGCCACAATTTTGGATTGGGGCTGTGGCCTTTTTGTGGCATATATGTTTCCTGTCGTAGTCACTGCGAATCATACATTTGGTAATCTCTGCGTCTGCATCGCAGCGTTCGGAACCCTTTAAAAGCAAAAAATGACAGTTAGCCCTTGGCCACGCCCACTCTCCCCCCGCATAAATAGCCCGTGGGCGGGGCCAGCCGGCAGTTCTCTTCATCCGCGCTGACAAGCAGCTGGAGAACCCTATATCTCGTGCGAGCTATCTGTGAAGTACTTATTTTAATCTTTGGATTGGCCTCTTGCATAGTCAGGATGGCAACTAATTCATTTAAGAAGTGTACAAAATGTCCTAATGTACTTCCGGACAACGATGGACACGATCTTTGCCTTGCCTGTTTGGGCGAGGCACATCTCTATCAATCGTGCTCAGTCTGCCAAGCTTTCACACCGCAGACGAGGAAGAATCGGATTTTGCGTTTAAAGGCGGCCCTATATGAGAGAGCCCTTCTCCCATCGACAGATCCGATAAAAATCGATCTGCCTGTTAATGAGGCCGCAACGGCTAAGAAAAAGTTTAAGAAGTCTAAGGACAAACTACTCCAAAATGGCCGCTCGGCCTTGAACAAAAAAACGGCCGCATTGGGGACGACGGTTGGTCCGTTAAGTGCCCATCATTCTGCTGAAACCCCTTCGAGATCGAAGGAGAAGGGCGAAGGTCTCCCCCTGGTGGCTGAAAAGAACGTTGCCGCCACGCCATTACAGGAGCGGCGCGAGGGTGACTCGAGATCATCTAGAGTTACCCCTCCTATGCCTGTACTTGTGCCTAATCAACCTCCACCTATGGGAGGACTGGGGACTGCTAAGCCAGGAGCCTCCACTCACCAACTTGCTCCCCCGATGGCCATCCAGGGCCAGGGCACGAATGGGGAAAGTACTAGCCATCTGGCCGCTCCTCGAGCTTCTCAAAACTCCACCGTCGACATCGGCAGGGCAGTCTCCTGCAGCCTCCAGCCCGCTCCTCGCTCTGCTACTGACGCCGACGTCGAGAGCACCATTAGGGCGGAGCGCGCATGCGCGACCCGGCCCAGTAGTGACGAGCGGGCTGTAGAGGCGGAGCGCTCAACCCAGACTCCTCCTTCTGGCATCGACGTCGAGGAAGGAGGAGGGCATTCAAGCTTAGCCCCTCCTATAGAGGGAAGAGCTCAGCAGAGCGAGCCGCAGCCCTTGATGCCTCCCGAAGTGCAGGAGGATTTTGAGAGACATTCGTCGAGACGTGCTTTAAGGAGGGGAAGCAAGCGCCCAAGGCGTTCGAGGTCCCCCTCCAGACGGAGCTCTCGTTCTCATCGACACCGCTACCGGTCAGCATCCAGGGGCGGAGCTCGGAGACATTCTCCCTCATCTACTTCGTCTTCTTCCTCATCCTCATCCTCGCGGTCCCCAACACCACCTCCCAGGCATTCCAAACGTGCAAAGAAACATAAGCACCAGTATTACCCTTACCCACCCTACTGGGGCAGACCCCCCATGGGATACTATCCCCACCCAGGCTGCTGCCATGAGGGACATCAGACCCAAAGCATGCCTGCGCACACTCCTGACGTTGCTGTTCACAGACGCAGAGCTGTGCAGTGCCAAACAGTGAGGGTCCCTGGATGTGGGATGCACCCTGCTGATGTGCAGGCCCCTTCAACATCTGCGACTATCCATGTTAGACCTCAACGTTCAGCCCAGATTGTTCGAGATGTAGGGGGTTTGAATGCAGCTCCTCTAGTACAAATGACTGAAACAAGACAACCTATGGACATTCAGAGATCTGAATTAACCCCTGCGAGACCACCGGGCTTGCAATTGAGTGATGTGTGCAATGATGACTCAACTTCCATTCAGGCCCAAGGTGAATCGACCCCTCAGGGTCCTGACTGTGCTTCCCAAGTAGAGGGAATTGAGCAGGCACAGGGACATTTGGACAGTTCATCAGAGGATTCAGAAGTACCTGATTACCTTTGCCAGGGGGATAATGAGGGWGCTTCTGCTATGCAAACTACTGAGATAAATAAATTTAATGTGCTAGTGGGAAGAATGATCAAGGCGTTAGATATTCCCRCCCCAAAGGCACCAGAACATGTAGATGACCCCATGTTCCCTTCGGATGAACAGGTGTCATCACCAGCCACTACCCTCCCAGTGCTGCCCTATCTGTTGAAATTAGCACGTGTGATAGATGTGTCCCCGTCCTTAGTGCCTGCGATTCCAAGGAGACTTGATACGTTGTACAAAATTGATGTATCCTCAAATAAGTGGGTGGTTACTCCTCCAAAACCCAACACTGTTGTGGCGGAAGTGGCAAAAACAAAACGCCCCAAAAACACCCTTACTACTCYGCCTGATAAGGAGGGAAAGAAGATAGACACCTTGGGCAAGAAGGCTCACTTATCCGCAGGCCTGCTCACGCGCATGGCACATTATGCCACTTACCTGAGCGRGTATCAAAGTTTTCTATGGGCAAAAATTTTACCATATATTGATATACTCCCTGTAGAGCGCCAACGCTTCCCTAAAGCCTTACAAGCTGAGGCTGTGGTACTATCAAGAATCCAGAAGGATTTTGCAAAACATCTGGCAGAGATGGCGGGAAATTTGTATTCTACTGCAACGTCAATACRACGTCATGCTTGGTTACGCTCAGCAAACTTATCAGAGGAAGGTAGAGCACTAGCGGAAGACCTTCCATTCCACGAGGAGGGTCTTTTTAACCCTGAAACTGACACCAGAATTAAAGAGAAACAGGATGTGAGGCAGGCTGCCAATAAGTTTGGCTATACCTGGCAGCCATACTCTCAGCAGAGACAACGCTGGCACCCGTATAGTTCTAACTTTYGAAGGAACCCAGGGAACTCGTTCCCTGGCCAGGGTAGGAACCGGGGTTACCCTTACAACAGAGGTCAAGCAGGTAGAYGCAATTCCTACTATTCCAGGCCGAGGTCCCAAAACTGGTCCAACAAGGGAAAACCACAAGGGAACCCTAAGAAGCGTCTTTGACGCCCTTAGTCTGGATTCCAATTTACAGCCTGATGTGCCTGTTGTTAGTTTAGAGGACACAGGTGTTAGTGTTAGTGTTTCGTGTGTTAATGTTAATGTTAATGTTAGTGTTGTTCCCCGGGATGTATCCTTAGGGGCGCCTATGTTTGGTGATAGGTTATCACCTTTTTATGATGTGTGGGCTAAAATCACCACTGATAAATGGGTTTTATCTATAATAGCCCAGGGTTATTTTATTGAATTCCTAGACCTTCCTCGAGTAGGTCATGTTCGTCATACACCATTCTCTCAGCCGTTATGGGAAGAGGTTCGGACGCTGTTGGATAAGGGTGCCATTTCTCTCATAGCTAATGATGTTTATTCTCAGTGTTTTTTCTCGCGCTACTTCCTCATTAAAAAGCGCAGTGGTGGCTTGAGGCCCATTTTAGATCTCCGACTGTTGAATAAACATGTTATACCAAAGAGGTTTCGCATGATTACTCTTACTACCATTTTGCCCCTGTTGTATAAGGGAGCTTGGTTTGCTACCATTGATTTAAAGGATGCGTACTTCCATTTGTCTATCGCTAGACATCACCGTAGATACCTTACCTTTATGGTGGGTGACACTGCTTATTGGTTCAATGTCTTACCTTTCGGGTTGTCCTCTGCCCCAAGGGTCTTTACAAAGTGTATGTCCGTGGTGGCGGCTTACCTGCACACGAGGGGAATTTCTGTCTACCCATATATAGATGACTGGTTAGTTGTGGCTGACTCCCGTGCCCATCTTCAGTCTCAACTCTGTCATTTTGTCTCTTATACAGTCGCTAGGACTCGTCATCAACGTGGAAAAATCGGCACTGACACCGTCTCAACGAATCCAATTCATAGGCGCCCTCTTGGACTCCACGACCGAGAGGGCCTACCTCCCAGAAGACCGGTGTGCCAATCTCCAAGACCTAGTCAGACAGGCTGTCCATGCTCCTTGTCTCACTGCCAGGCAGATCCAAGTTCTGTTAGGCCATATGGCATCTGCAACTGCTGTGATTCCGTATGCCAGGTTACGCATGCGCCCACTGCAATCCTGGTTCATATCGGTCTACAATCCCATCATGGACAGTCAGACGATCCAACTTTCCATCCCCGAGGATGTCCGCAGGTCACTCCTATGTTGGGTGGACAGGTCTTGGGTGTGCAAGGGTTTCCCATTCCATACCCCCAGGCCAACATGTACTGTTACGACAGATTCTTCCCTTTCGGGATGGGGTGCCCATGTTCGAGGCCTTACTGCTCACGGAGAGTGGACAGAAGACGAAAGAAGAGCTCACATAAATTTTCTCGAGCTTCTCGCCGTAGAAAGAGCATTGCAGTCGTTCGAAAGGGTTGTGAGAGGTCAAACCATACAAATTCTCACCGACAACACGACTGTGATGTTTTATTTGAACAAACAGGGCGGCACACATTCTCTGCCCCTCTTGAATCTCACGCTCAGGATTTGGGATTGGTGCTTGGAGAGGGGGATTCATCTCGTAGTGACTCATGTGCCAGGGGAGGAGAACACGTTAGCGGATTCTCTCAGCAGAAATCCGCTGGCGAACCACGAGTGGTCCCTAAACCAGGGGGAGGTGGACAGACTTTTTCGAGCGTGGGGACGTCCAGAGATAGACCTGTTTGCGTCCCAGGCAAACGCGAAGTGCGCCCTCTTTTGCGCACGGAGGCGCCCTTCTCTAAGGGAGGGGTGCATGGGGGATGCGTTCCTACAAGAATGGTCAGGTCGCCCACTGTACGCCTTTCCACCCTTCCCCCTGTTGTTAAAGGTAGTAGCAAAGATACAGAGGGAAAACGCACGTTGCATTCTAATAACCCCATGGTGGCCGAGACAACCCTGGTTTTCCCCACTGCTCAAAATGTCTCAGAGGATCTTCTTCTGTCTTCCCGGAAGAGTGGATCTTTTGTCGACTCAGGAAGGTCAGGTCCTGTACCCGGAGGTTCAGAAACTGAGGCTGACAGCTTGGAGAATCCAGCTGAGCCATTAATCCCCGTTTCGGCTCTATCTAGTAGTGTACGGGCTGTTATTGAGGCTGCCCATAAAACCTCAACTAAAAGATCGTATGTCTATAAGTGGTCTAGGTTTTGTAAGTTTGTGAGATCAAGGGAGGAAAATCCTACTACTGTCCCGGTCACGACAATACTAGATTTTTTAGTGTCTCTTTCTGATGCAGGGCTATCATGTTCGTCGCTAAAGTGCTATCTTGCGGCGATCTCATGGTTCCGAAGAAAGGAGGATTTTTCATCTTGCTTCTCTCACCCCCTAGTTAAAATGTTTTTAAGGGGTATGGCTAACACCACTCCACCAGTAGCGCCGATAGCCCCAGCATGGAATCTCGAGTTAGTGCTATCTTTTTTGACCAAACCGCCCTTTGAACCGTTGGCTACGACTCACATTGCGTATCTTTCATGGAAGACGGCCTTCTTAACAGCCATTACGTCGGCAAGACGGGCAAGCGAATTGTGCGCGCTACGGGTAGATCCTCCTTATTTGAGGATGCATAAAGATAAAGTAGTGCTCAGAACGGATGTTGCCTTCTTGCCCAAGGTGTCTTCCTTGTTTCATATGTCTCAAGAAATTATACTTCCCTCGTTTTTTTCAAAACCCGTCCTCGCCCATGGAACGAAGTTTACATCTCCTGGATGTCAGGAGGTCCATTGCTTTCTATATGGACAGGACGGCGTCCCTCAGGAAGACGCCGCGATTATTTGTTAAATACCGTAAGGATATGGAAGGCTTGCCCTTGTCATCCCAGAGATTTTCCTCCTGGATAGTTTCTACTATTAAGTTATGTTACCGTTTAGCTGGCAAAGACTTACCGTTGCAGGTCAAGGGCCATTCTACCAGAGCCATGTCGACCACGACTGCTTTCATGAAGGGAGTGCCATTGGATGTCATCTGCCGAGCAGCTATATGGACGAACCCCCTGTCGTTCGTGTCCCATTACAAGTTGGATATCGTCTCCAAGAGGGATGCGGAGTTCGGCAGAGCGGTGTTGTTTTCGGCGGTGGCATGACTCCCTCCAACCACGGTCAGTAGCTCGCTAATCTACCAAATGTATGATTCGCAGTGACTACGACAGGAAATTATAAGTTGCTTACCTGTAACTGTAGTTTCCTTAGTAGTCACCTGCGAATGCATACATACCCGCCCTACCTCCCCTCAGATGTCATGCCGCGCCTTCCAGCTGCTTAGCGGCGGAAGAGAACTGCCGGCTGGCCCCGCCCACGGGCTATTTATGCGGGGGGGAGAGTGGGCGTGGCCAAGGGCTAACTGTCATTTTTTGCTTTTAAAGGGTTCCGAACGCTGCGATGCAGACGCAGAGATTACCAAATGTATGCATTCGCAGGTGACTACTAAGGAAACTACAGTTACAGGTAAGCAACTTATAATTCTGTTGTGTTCCCTGCATCAAACATAAGCTTCTCCTGCTAGCTCTGCAAATATAAGCCTCCTCTATATGTGCAACATTCTTAGTCCCCAGAGAAAAAAAGATACAAATTATCATCAACTTCCTCCTCCTCCTCCTTCATAGCCCTCTCTGTCAAATTCATTCTCCTTCGCTCAGCAACATCCAGTTTTTCCTCTAATACCACCATCCTTGCAAGAAAGTGCAGGCTAGGTAACTCCAGGAAAAAGGAGTGAAGATTTTGTCCTAAGTGTTCAAAAGGCTTTGGAATAGTTAAAGCAGTGCTTCTCAACCTTCCTAATGTTGGTACCCTTTAATATAGTTCTTCATGTTGTGGTGACCCCCAACCATAAAATTATTTTCGTTGCTACTTCATAACGGTAATTTTGCTACTGTTATGAATTGCAATGTAATTATCTGATACGCATGATGTATTTTCATTCACTGGACCACCTTTGACACAAATACCCGATACACCCACATTTGAATACTAGTGGGGTTGGGGGAGATTCGTTTTCTCATTTGGGAGTTGTAGTTGCTGGGAATTATAGTTCACCTCCAATCAAAGAGTATTTTGAACTCTGCCAACCATGGAATGGAACCAAAGTTGGTGCGCAGAACTCCCATGAGCATCACGAAATAGTTGAAGGGTTTGGTGGGCATTGATCTTGAGTATTGGAGTTGTAGTTCACCTACATCCAGAGAGCACTGTGGACTCAAACAGTGATGGATCTGGACCAAACTTGGTACAAATACTCAATATGCCCAAATGTGAACACTGGTGGAGTTTGGAGAAAATAGACCTTGACATTTGGGAGTTGTAGTTGCTGGGATGTATAGTTCACCTGCAATCACAGCAGAAGGGGGGGGGGTTGGTGGGAGGATTTGCCGCCTGTTTCCAAAAAGGAAGAGAAAGACAGGTGGAGAGATCTTCAGCCTTCTCCGCCAAGGGGGTTCCTAAGATGATCAGAAATAATGTGTTTTTGGTGGTCTTTGGCAACCCCTCTGAAACCCCTTCTTGACTCCCCAGGGGTCCCGACCCTCAGGTTGAGAAACACTGAGTTAAAGCCTTTGCATGCAGACTCATTTTCTTTTTCTTCCCATTTTTTCATGACAGCTATATCTTCTCAGTCATTGGTGGGGGAGCTTTTTCAGTCGATAACATTGAATACTTCAAAGAGGAGGACCTTGCGCGCTACAACACCATGATTGGCAGGTGCATACAATGCATGGTCTCTCACACTCTTCTGCCATTTCTGCAGTAGTTGATTCCCAAGCGGCATTTGGTGGGTCTTGTGGTCATTCAGGTCATTGTTGGATTCAGGCTCTCACCAGCCCAAAACATCTTGGCCAGTGAGAGGGGATGCTGGGAGTTGTATGTGTCAGGATTTGTAAATTACATGGCATTTCTTAACTGCATGTAAAAGTTCTGTGTTCCTGTAATCAGAGTGTGGAGGCCGATGTAATGGGAGACGTATAAAATTGTGTTCTCCATGGTGAGGGTTGATGAGGGATGGATGGTGGGTGTTGGAGAGAGCTGTGTTAGGGAAAACTACCCTAAAATATAAAGCGGAACATCCAAAAACAAACAGGGCACATAAAGTTAAGCATCAGCTCACAGCATACGAAGTGTGAAGTGCCATGTGATGTGTCTGTAAAGAATTCAGAACTTAGGAGGCAAACATGCAGTATCCAATCTTTTAAAAAATCACAAAAAGTTTGTTTACAATAATAACAAATAACTGCATTTCTTAATAATCAAGAACTGAGTCAAGAACTAATCAACTAATCAAGAACCCATCTCTTCTAAGATTTCAACAGAGGGGGGAAATTCAATCACTATATCTCTCCACACACAGAATGAGAGAGATCTCAAAGCACACAGCACATTCTGTCCATACTACAGTGTAAGAAGGCAGAAGTCTGATCCAAAAAAGCTTGCAGTAGAAAAGTGTCCATTTTAAAGAATCCGAATGAGAGGAGAGAAGAAATTAGATATATTCCTACTGTCATACAGGAGACATAATTGAAGCTAAACCCTTAGTCTAGACCAGTAATGGGCAACCTTTTGAGCTTGGTGTGTCAAAATTCACCCAAAAGCTGAGCATAACTTGGATAGTGTGTCACGTTGAGAAAAAAAAAACCCCATAATTTTACGATATTAAAAGTTTAAATAACAAAAATAACAAAAATGCAATATACAGTATAACTTTAGGCAGTTAGGGGATAACTAGCCGAACTGACCACAAGATGGCACATGTAACTATTTTTTAGGAAAGGGCAGGGTTAATCAGAAATAGGGGTTCATAAGGATGCACAACAGTAATAGTGGTGAAATGGAGTCTGTACTATGCTGCAAGATGGCATTGTTTATTGTTTCTAATGGTGGGGAATGGCACCCATAGCACAGGCTCTTGCCTCTTCCAGTTTCCCCCTCACTTATCTTAGTAGGTAAAGGTAGTCCCCTGACGTTAAGTCCAGTCATGTCTGACTGTGGGGTGTGGTGCTCATCTCCATTTCTAAGCCGAAGAGCCAGCGTTGTCCGTAGACACCTCCAAGGTCATGTGGCCAGCATGACTGCATGGAGCGCCGTTTTCTTATCTTATCTTATCTTAGTAATGATCGTCAATTAGAAATCCACGACACCCTAGAACAGTAGATTGGGTGATGATTGCTGTGGTTATGTGGTTGCTGGTAATGGTGATCACAGGGCCCCCAGAGATGCATCCCCCGCGGCATTGCGTTGCTCCCTGCTCTCACCGGCCGGAAGTGAGGTCAAAGATTCTTTAACAGCCTTACTGGAAGTCCCAGAACTAGATGCTCTGTGCCAGAGTTCTGTTGTATTGGCCTACAGACCTCTGCTACAGAGTGACTACAATACAGTACAGCAAATGTTTCATCCTCGGCTACTGCACCTGGCATGCAGCCCCATACTTCTCTGTATGCGGCTGCGTGTCATTGAAAATGGCTACACGTGTCAGTGCTGATACACATGTCATAGGTTCGCCATCAGAGGTCTAGACTAAACTAAGTGCTCCTCGTTGAGAGTTGCTGTAGAATTGGAGAGGGAGAGAGAGAAACTAAAATTTGTATATGTTGTTTGCACTGTATATATTGCTGCAACTAAGAAGAGAAAAGCCTTCCTGCATATTTTTAGAAACTGTCTCTGTGTTCTTGTTCCTGCAGAAGTCCATTTCACCTATCTGTGGGTATCTCGTTTCGTAACGGTTGTTTTATTATTGTATAAAACTTCTGACAGTACACCAAATGCTTGAAAGCCCACAAATTTCCCACTCCTGGTTTAAAAGCATGTCTTGTGACAACAGGCATCTTTGTTGCCTATCCTGGAGGAATAACCTGAAGTGAGACCATTTAATGCAGTGGTTCCTAACCTGTGGTCCATGGAGCACCAAGAATGCAAATCTGGTCCACGGCCTCACCATTACTACATCGTTGCCTCGAAACCATGCAGCAACAAGAGCAACTGGTCTTGCGGAGCCCTCTTCTAGTGCCAAGGCAACGGGGATGTCGGGAGGGGAGAGATTGACTATCCATGAAAGATAACTACTACCACATCAGCACTAGATTATTAAATATGTTTTTTCTGTGGGCGAGCAGATGGAGACTACTGGATGGCATATGTTCTGTATCAGAAACTAGAGCTGATGTGGTCTAGCCAATGCAATTTTCTGTATCAGCACCCCAAATAATCAAACCAGATCTAAAGTTGACCAAAAACTGATTAGTAACCCTTTTGGCACTAATGTTGGAGAGTGGTCCCTGTCAAAGTGGTTCCTGTTCAGGTGGTACCTGGTGAAGTGGTCCCTGGTCAAAAATGGTTGGGAACCACTGATTTAATGTATTAATGAAATTTCTAATCAAAATCTCAGAAATATCTTAGGAAGGGGAACAGTTTGAATTGAACTGGTCTTGGAGGTTTCCTAAACTCCAGTTCAATCCATCTTCAGGCCTGGTTTGGCCTCTAACATAAACTTGCTTCCTCGATGGATGGACAGTGGCCTGTTTCTTAGAAGTGGTTCACATCATCAGTCAAGATATCCCACTGGATCATCTCTGGATAGGAAATTAGACACAGCGATATGGTGGTTCTGCCCAACCTACAGTGTTAATTTCAGGATTGGAGGTGTTTCAAACATCCCTTCCTCTTGAAAGTATTGTACTTTAGCGCCTAGCATTCTTCTCCATGGATTAGGCTGTTGTTGTAGTCCAGCAACATCAGGAGGGCTGCAGGATTCCCAACTACACCCAATTTCCAACTTGGGTTGTTTTCATTTTTTTCCCTAGCGTAACAAACAGTCTCATCTGGCTGAGGGCTGATGGTGAAGATAACAACACCGATGCCGAAGGTTTCAATGTCTTCTCTCAAGACAGCTCTGGGATACTGTAAGGCTCACGAAGTGTATTTATTCTGATTCTGCCTCTGATTTTCATCCTGAATAAAAGAGGCAATCCCCCTTGATTTCAATGTTTCCCTTCCTTCCCTGTTCGGCCTCCTTTCCTACAAGATATTATCTAAAAAGCTCTCCTGGACTCAACTCTGAAATGTGAAATGAACCTTCTTTCTCTCAAAGGTGGGTCTGCCAGAAGAATTCTCCCTGTCACGACATTGTTCCCAATGATGCCTCTGCTCCGGAGTACTTCTTTGTGATGAAGGTATCAAACAGGTATAACTGTTCACTTTCCAGTTTACCTTAGTTTAAAACTCTGTGCCATTTATATCTTAATTTATTATGCTTAGGAGCCCCCAATCGTGAAGTGGGTTAAACCACTAAGCTGCTGAACTTGCTGACCGCAAGGTCAGCGGGTTGAATCCGGAGAGCCGGGTGAGCTCCGGCTGTTAGCCCCAGTTTCTGTCAACCTAGCAGTTTGAAAACATGCAAATGTGAGTAGGTCAGTAGGTACTGCTTTGGTGTGAAGGTAACGGTGCTCCATGCAGTCATACCAGCCACATTACTTTGGAGGTGTCTACAGACAACGCTGGCTCTTTGGCTTAGAAATGGAGATGAGCACCAGCCCCCAGAGTTGGACACGTCTAGACTTAGTGTCAAGAGGAAAACCTTTACCTTTTACCTTTATCATCCTCTCTAAATCATCAGTGAACCCATCAATCTCAGGAGTCTCAGGCTGATCTCCAACAGGACTTCCATCCTCAGGGCAACACTCCATTGCCATCCATGGAGGCTGAGAGAATGTGACTTGCCCAGGATCACCCAGTGTGATTCTGTGGCTGAACGGGGATTTGAACCCTCATTTTGGTAATGCGAGGGAGCGAAATGAAAGATGTCAGGCGAGTGGCCTTAATGACAAAAGACCCTAATCCTAAATGTACAGCTGAGCAACTCATTGGCAGCAGATTGACCCAGCTCCAGGAGCCCAAAGTGGTAAAGAGAACAAAAACACTGGACCAATGTTATCTCTTCCATAGGAGGCTTTTCTTGGTGGTAAAATAATATAGTTGCACTATTTACAGTAACAAGGTTTCCACAACACGAACAAACAAATACATCGTAGCTTTATATACACAGCAGCCCTTATACACTGGAGCTCCCTCACACAAGGCTTCTCTCATATAGACATTTACCTCAAACAGACTGACCATTTCTCTCACTGAGGCAAACTACCATTTAACAGGCTTCGGCCTACTCCCTCTCCACAGGGCGACGCTAGCTTTGGCCCACTAACTCTGACAGGCTTCAGCCTACTAATTCTTTCAGTGCTTGCCTCACAATTTGTCACAGAGTGACCATTTCCCTCACTGAGGCAAACTGGCACTAACAGGCTTCGGCCTACTCCCTCTCCTTAGAGCGATGCTAGCTTTGGCCCACTAACTCTAACAGGCTTCAGCCTACTAACTCTTTCAGTGCTTGCCTCACACTTTGTCAAAGAGTGACCATTTCCCTCACTGAGACAAACTGACACTRACAGGCTTCGGCCTACTCCTTCTCCTCAGGGCAACGCTAGCTTTGGCCCACTAACTCTAACAGGCTTCAGCCCAGTRACCCTTTCACCGCTTGYCTCACACTTTGTCACAGAGTGACCATTTCCCTCACTGAGGCAAACTGACACTAACAGGCTTCGGCCTACTCCCTCTCCTCAGGGCGACGCTAGCTTTGGCCCACTAACTCTAACAGGCTTCAGCCTACTAACTCTTTCAGTGCTTGMCTCACACTTTTGTCATCAAAAATACCCAGTTGATCTTTAATATTCCTGACAAAAGAGGATCTTCTTTCCCAGCAGCCAACCTCCTTCTCTCCTTTTTGYTTCYGCAGGGGAGTGGACCAAACCACCTAYTGYGACTAYGCCTTGGAGTTCATCATCCACGTTCACGGCCTGCGCCTTAGCTATACCAGAGCCCTCTTTCTCTTGGAGGTAACAACWGCTGGGCCTCCATGCCTCTTGGCATTTATTCTCTAGCGTTCGATGTGCTTGCCATGGCTCCACCAGTAGCAGTTCATTCTCTCTAGAGTTTCCTAGCTTTGCAAAAGCGAGAAGTTAATGTATATATAGGCCATGCCTTCTCGTTTGTGATGTTAACATGCTTTCAAAACAACTCCGACCTTCTCCAAAGGTTTTCTTCAGAGGAGGTTTGCCCTGGACTCCCTCTGAAGCTGAGAAAATGTGAGTTTGCCCAAAGACACCCATTTCGTCTTCATTACTAGGACTCTCATCTCTCAGGCGGACTCTCAAGGAAATCCTAAAAAGCATAGGTTGTTGTAGGTTTTTTCGTGCTATATGGCCATGTTCTAGAGGCATTCTCTCCTGACGTTTCGCCTGCATCTATTGCAAGCATCCTCAGAGGTAGTGAGGTCTGTTGGAACTCGGAAAATGGGTTTATATATCTGTGGAATGACCATTGTGGGACAAAGAACTCTTGTCTGTTGGAGCTAGGTGTGAATGTTTCAACTTGTATGTGCAAAAATGACCAAGATAATCCACAAATCCAAAATCCAAGAGCAAATCGCCCCTTTCCCAGGGAGGGCGAGGAAGGACACCACAAAAGTTGAATCTTCAAAATTGCAAAATGCTATTTATTGCGCAGCTGAAGCAATAGTGACAAGCATATAGGAATGCAATCCAGGGGTTTGTCCAACCTAAAGTTGGTTGCATTGATTATTTATGACTTTCATTAAAACAGTTTGATTGGTATTATAGAAATCAATCATCTCATTGGTTGTGTCTGACAATTTGGAATCTTATTGGTTCTTCTATGTTTCTAACAGCAAAAGCCTATAACAATGGTTCTGTTGAAATTTCTGACCCTGAGTTGTGGAACTTCTGGTCGGCTTATCTATATGTAAATTGCTTTTCTTCTACGGCTGAGAAAATTAAGGGAGTGAGGGAGTGACTTACTGCTAGTATCTTTGACTGAACAAAGAACACAGAGAACAATCATTCTCCAGCAGACAAAAGTCCTTTGTCCCACCCCTGGTCTTTCCACAGATATATAAACTCATTTTCCTACTTCCAACAGACCTCACTACCTCTGAGGATGCTTGCCATAGATGCAGGTGAAACGTGAGGAGAAAATGCCTCTAGAACATGGCCATATAGCCCGGAAAACCTACAACAACCCAATCATTCTTTCTCTTTGCTAGCTTTCTCTATGCATCAGAAGTTTCTGGCAATCAAGGTTTTCTCTATAGACAGGGCTTCTGGGACTTGTAATGATTGGAACTTCATTTTTTCTAAATCATGTCCCTCTCAAACTGACCACCTTGATTAGAATTTGATGGCCTGGCAGTGCCTGGGGCAATCTTTTGATGAGAGGTGATTAGAAGTTCTTGTTTGTTTCCTCTCCGTTGTTTTGCTGTTGTAATTTCCTAGTTCCAACAGACCTCACTACTTCTGAGGATGCTTGCCATAGATGCAGGGGAAATGTCAGGAGAGAATGCCTCTAGTCTAGAACATGGCCATATAGCCCAATAAAACCTACAACAACCCAGTGATTCCGGCCATGTAAGCCTTCAACAATACACTAAAAAGTATATGTTGTATAGGCAGTCCTCAAGTCACAAACAAGATTCTGTGGGTTTGTTCTTAAGAGGAATTGATTTGTAAGTCAGAACAGGTCCATTTTAAAGTGGAATTCCAGTCTCTCATCTATATAAATAAAAGTATAGATGAGAGACTATAGAAATAAATAAGCTGTGGGGCCCACCTGGAGAGGTCTTCCACCACATTATCCATTCCTGAATACTCCCTCTCTTCTCATCCTCCTCCTCCTTCATGTCAAGGAGCAGTCCTGTTTCCTCTCTCGTGGTGTTTGTGCTGTCAGCTCACATACGGCTACAACTAACCGATGGGCAACAAATCAAACATCTCTTCTTTACAAATGTCTTTTCCTGCTCCCAGGTATCAATGGGCGTCATCTTTGGTATGCTCATCCTATACATAATGGTCCTTACTATGGCTCCCACATGCAAGTCCTACTTTGGCAAACTCATGAAGAGGATGGAAGAAGCATTGGTCTTTCGGACAGGTGAGTTGTCAAAACAATACATTGAGTGATATGAAAAAGAAGAAACATGCCTTGTTTTGAGAGCCTTCCTGACACTTCTGTTACCTTGAAGGCTTTCTGAAGTTGCTCTTCCCATTGCCGTGCTCATTTCAGCAACTCTTCAGTGACTGGTTTCCCCACCTACAGCATACTCTCCTATCCCTGGATTGTAGGATTGATCCATTTTTGACAATAGTTCCATTTCCCCCCATAATTGATCCATTTTTTTCATAATTGTGGTCTCTTATCTTGCTAAAATGCTGAAAGAATGGGGAACTAGGTTTTAGCCTGAAGAAGAGAAGGCTGAGAGGAGACATGATAGCCATGTATAAATATGTGAAAGGAAGTCATAGGGAGGAGGGAACAAGCTTGTTTTCTGCTGCCCTGGAGACTAGGACGCGGAACAATGGCTTCGAACTACAAGAAAGGAGATTCCACCTGAACATGAGGAAGAACTTCCTGACTGTAAGAGCTGTTCAGCAGTGGAACTCTCTGCCCTGGACTGTGGTGGAAACTCCTTCTTTGGAGGCTTTTAAACAGAGGCTGGATGACCATCTGTCAGGGGTGCTTTGAATGCAATTTTCCTGCTTCTTGGCAGGGGGTTGGACTGGATGGCCCATGAGGTCTCTTCCAACTCTTTGATTCTATCACAAATGAGAACCAGAGTACAGATAGTCAAGCAATATCAGAGTGTGTTCAAGATGGCAAAAAGTTATTAATGCGAAAGAACCCCGAAGCTAGGAGCAGCTGTTTGATTTTGCCTACTGAGAAAGATCCATCTTGCCCCATTCCTCCAGTTAATTGAGTGTAAACTGGTGGAATGAAAATTATGCGTAGTTCACGTTTTATCAGTCCACACACTGTCTTGCCAGAGAAAGAAAATATGCCATGCAGATGATCAGTAAAGAACAAGGAGTTTACTCTTTGTATTGTCAAACTGGGTTGTTGTAGGTTTTTTCGGGCTATATGGCCATGGTCTAGAGGCATTCTCTCCTGATGTTTCGCCTGCATCTATGGCAAGACCTCACTATCTCTGAGGATGCTTGCCATAGATGCAGGCGAAACGTCAGACCATGGCCATATAGCCCGAAAAAACCTACAACAACCCAGTTTACTCTTTGTAATGCAGAGCAACATATACCGTATATACTCAAGTATAAGCCAACCCGAATATAAGCCAAGGCACCTAATTTTACCACAAAAAAACTGGGGAAATGGATTGACTAGAATATAAGCCGAGGGTGGGAAATGCAGCATTTACGGGTCAATCCATATAAATAAAAATGTAATGTTCGTTTGTGGGATTAACAGAACTCAAAAACCACTGGACGAATTGACACCAAATTTGGACACCAGACACTTAACAACCCAATGTATGTCCTTCACTAAAAAATATATATATATTGTCATTTGGGAGTTGTAGTTGCTGGGATTTATAGTTCACCTACAATCAAAGAGCATTCTGAACCCCACTGACAATAGAATTGAACCAAACTTGGCACACAGTTCTCCAATGACCAACAGAAAATACTGGAAGGGTCTGGTGGGCAGTGTCCTTTGGTTTTGGATTTGTAGTTCACCTGCATCCAGAGATCACTCAAACAATGATGGATCTAGACCAAACTCTACACGAATACTCAATATGCCCAAATGTGAACACTGGTGGAGTTTGGGGAAAATAGAATCTTGACATTTGGGAGTTGTAGTTGCTGGGATTTATAGTTCACCTACAATCACAGAGCATTCTGAACCCCACCAACGATAGAATTGGGCCAAGCCTCCCACACAGAACCCCCATGTGGGCCACAGCAACGTGTGGCAGGGGATGGCTAGTATTTACATAAAAATGTAATTCAAGATAAGGCTGTCCAACTCTAATTCAACCATTATTCTAACCTTCTTCAATGTAAACATGCTTACGTATCCTTCCAATAATAATAAATAGAGTAAAATAATAAATGTAATAACAACATTAAAGTAAAACAACAACAACAACAACAAAGTAAAGTAATAAATAACCTTGACTCGAGTATAAGCCGGGGGAGACTTTTTCAACCTAAAAAACGGACTGAAAAACTAGGCTTATACTCGAATATATACAGTATATATAGTCATGTGAATAGTTGCATTGACTCACACAATGTCCTTTGAAAGAGATTCAAATGGTCTTTCAGTGTCCATGTGGAAGATCTTCTTCCAGCAGCCCTGAAGCAAGCCCTCTCTCTCTCTGTGCAAGCTCCTGCACAGCTAAAGCCTAAATATGTAACAGTTGCCAAAAGTCCCAGGCTCAGCTAGCTGCTTGGATGTGGCTCAACCAATCTGCTTCGTGTTTTGTATTTTCAGTTAACACACTCACCAACTGATTTTTTTTTACTTACCCTAACATAAACTTCATTTGCCTTTGGGATTCAGTTTGTAGTAACTGAAGTATGTTGAGGGCAAAGGGGAAACGTGGGAAGCAAAGAGAGGAACCGGAACATTATAAGAACAGCTGGAAATGTGGAATGGCAGAGAATTAATTGGGACTGTTCCTGCCAGACTGAGACATTTGAAGGATGTGGGGCTTATCTTCCTTTCTCTTGCATTGCAAGCAGGAAAAATCTATGTGCTGGTACGGCTGTACCAGAAGCTCCAGCTTTATTTGCTTTGTATTAAATGTTTGTTTGCAATCCAAGGTTTCAGGGACTCTGCAGATAGGTGACTTCCTTTGGTTGCAGTCGCAGGGCAAGTCACCTGTCCATCATCGTTAAGTTTTGGTCCAGCCCCTTGCTCAGGGCAATTGGGAAGGGAAGGGAGCCATTTTTTAGTTAGTCTCAGCAAGGAAAGCTAATGTACAGGACGTGTGCAAGCTTCCCCTGTACAAAAGCTTCAACCCTTAAGACTTTCCGGGGGAGAACAGTCTTAAGAACCTCCAAGGATTCTAAAGATTTCCAGGGAAACAGCCCTAAAGCTTTGAAGAATTTCGGAGGGTAACAGTTTGAAAGACCAAAGAACTCCAGCTGGAGAATATCTAAGCCTTTACTGGCAGGTCGACTCGGTGCTTCGAGACGCAGTTCGACCCGGTAGCGGAGCCCAAATCAGCAAGGGTTAGATTACAGTCAGCCTGGGAGAAGTTTAAAAGGAGCTTTTCCTTTAAAGTAAAGAAGAAGTTATTGAAGACAGTTGCCTGTCCTTCGTGGGCAAGTTTAGGAAGCCACCAGTTGCATAAAAGCCTGGAAGCATTTGGTTAACTTTATTGAAGACAAGAAAAGTTTCTGTTTGATTGTTCATTAATAAAGGACTTTGTTATACTTCAAGCCATCTAAAGATCGTTTGTGGTGGAAAACCTCTGAGAACTTCTCTTTGGGCCCCCTGGCTTCTCGCTGGGCAGAGGTTGCACGTCCTGTCCTAAAGGAAATTCTTTACAGGCCCAGCACGCAACAGAACAATCTATGTCAGGAAAGTTTTAGGAAACCAGCCTATTATCAGCACCAGCTGTACTAGTATGTCCACCATTTACCGTTATCGAATAGTCTGACTCTGTCCTTAGATATGCACGTAGGCATAGATGCCCCATCTGACTCTCCTTTTCTACACTGTCAGTCCCATACTCCATTGCGACAGTGTATGAACCAACACCTTGAGCCCCTCATTACCCTTTGTGTTCGCGATTTCCAGAATGTGTTTCAAAATGCTTTCTTTCCCCGTCTCTTTTTACGCCAGCATCCAGCCTCACCTTCACCTCATCGTTCACCAGCCAATCGTCACTGCACCATATGACTTCCGAAGGGATCCGAGGCAGTTTGGTCCAACACTCCTCCAGATCAAATCCAGCGGAAGCCTCAGGGATGCAGTAAGGCCAGCCAGCTGATTTCCTGCACTCCTCTGCCTGTGATGTGAAGGGCTCTTCCTTTCGTTTTCTGGACTCAGAGGATTTCTGGGACAAAGCAAGTGACTATCAGCATTGTGGCAATTTGGAGACTGTTGGATCCTTTGGGGAAATGTGGGGAACTTCAGGGAAGGCCACAGCCTCCTTGGAAGTGATTCCCAAAAGTTCACCTATGGATCCTTGTGCTGCATGAACAGGTTGCAGGAGGCATGCAAAGAAGTCATAGGAAGTGTTCCAGATGCCATTGGTTGCCCATAAAATTACTAAGACTGTTTAGGACAGGCATGAGCAAACTGCGGCCCTCCAGGTGTTCTGGACTTCAACCACCACAATGGGGAGTTGTAGTCCAAAACAACTGGAGGGCCGAAGTTTGCCTATGCCTGATCGAGGAGGTAACCTATAAAATCCACTTTTTAAAACTACGGCCAGAAAGGAAAACACCATCTTTCCCTTTCTGTTCCATTTACTGGTCCACTCATCGATACTCTAATAGTACATGCATTTTATTTTCTTGCCTTGGTAGTTTCTTACACACTGTGGCATGACACAGAATTATTCCAGACAGGATTGAATGGGTAAGATTAATTTATTTTCTGTTACATCCACCTCATGAAGTGTCTGGCCCTGCATGTCCCATTCCTGAGCTGGTTTGAGGTTTAAAAAGTACCTTGGTGTACACTATTTATGGGCCAAAAAACAAAAAACTTTATATCTTCCCAGCTCGTTTTCAAAGGTTTCTTGCTAAAATGCAGATTTCTTTTTAAGTACATATTCCTCTCGCTTTTGTTTCTAGGATTTATTTATGTATTTCTTTATTTGCTTGTCATTTGAAAAAACTGTCTAATTCAATAAAGACTTAAATTATTGTGGAATTTGTTTTGAGAAATAACTTCTCCAGTAACTATAGAATATAGAGCAAATCATAGTAGAGATAATCCCTTCGGCAACAACTAGTACATCCCTTTGACAGGAGAGTGGTTCAGTTCATCTTGAAGGAAGTGGGCTTCACAGATTCTTAACAGATTCTGGAACATCTGAACAGCATCCACCCAAACATCCAGTTCACTATGGAAAAAGAAAAGGAAGGAAGACTGCCTTTTCTAGATGTCCTAGTCATCCGCAAACCAGATCAACAATTGGGTCACACCGTTTACAGAAAACCCACACACACAGATAGATATCTACATAAAAACTCCAACCATCACCCAAGTAAAAAAAGAAGCACCATTAAAGCCTTGGCAGACCGTGCAAAAAGAATCTGTGAACCCCACCTCCTCCAAGATGAACTGAACCACCTCAACTGGGCTCTACAGGCCAATGGATACTCCACCTCAGACATCAGAAGAGCTGCAAGACCAAGAACAAACCACGAGAGCCAAGATGAAGATCCACCCAGAGAAAAAGTGTTCTTGCCATACGTCAAGGGAACCACTGACCGCATAGGGAAGCTGATGAGGAAACACAACATACAAACAATCTACAAACCCACCAAGAAAATCCAACAAATGCTACGTTCAGCAAAGGACAAGAGGGATCCTCTCACCTCTGCAGGAGTCTACCGTGTACCATGCAGCTGTGGACAAGTCTACATAGGGACCACCAAACGCAGCGCCCAAACAAGAATCAAGGAACATGAAAGGCACTGCAGACTACTTCAACCAGAGAAATCAGCCATAGCAGAGCACCTGATGAACCAACCTGGACACAGCATTTTATTTGAGAACACAAAAATGCTGGACCACACCAACAACCACCATGTCAGACTACACAGAGAAGCCACTGAAATCCACAAGCATGTGGACAATTTCAACAGAAAGGAAGAAACCATGAAAATGAACAAAATCTGGCTCCCAGTATTAAAAAATTCTAAAATTGCAACAGCAAAAACAGCAGAGAGGAAACAGGCAGTGACATCTAATTACTTTTCAAGAAGAGTTTGCTTCAGGCACAGTCAGCCTATTGTATGCTAATCAAGGTGGTCAGTTGAAAGATTCACACCTAGCCCAACTGACAAAAGTCCTTTGTCTCACCCTGGTCATTCCACAGATATATAAGCCCTTTTTCCCAGTTCCAACAGACCTCACCTCTGAGGATGCTTGCCATAGATGCAGGCGAAACGTCAAGAGAAATGCCTCTAGAACATGGCCATATAGCCCAAAAAAACCCACAAGAACTTAACATCTTCACTCTCACAGAGCCTCTTCTCACACTAAACTTACACAGGAGCTTCACACAGAAGCCTTTTACACACTGGATATATTTACACACGAGGCCTTCAAACGGGATTCTCTCACAGAAGCTTCTTACACCAGACTTTCTCATAGGCCTACTAACACTGAGGACTCTCTCAGACTGAGGCCTTTCTCCTACTGAGGCCTTTTCACACTGAGGACTCTCTCAGACTGATGGCTACTAAGCTACAGGCACGCCTGCTTATATTGAACTGCATCATTTGATGAGTTATTGCATCCATTTAACCCTTTCAGTGCTTGACTCATTTTTGTAATTAAAAATACCTACTTACTATTTAATGTTCCTGTCAGAATCCCACAGATAGGGTTGCCCTACCGAAAGTCAGAGAAAGCTCTTGTGCTTTTGATGTCTGTGCAGCATGACCCAGCACGAGGAGCCAAAAGTGATAAAAAGAGCAAAACCACACAGACCAACGTTATCTCATCTTTAGGAGGCTTTTCTTTAGAGCAAAATAATATAGTTGCACTATTTATAAGAACAAGGTTTCCATAACACAAATAAAGTTCTTTATACTTCCTACTTTGCTTCCACGCTGGGCTTCTTTCTCATACAGATAAACAACTTCGCTCTCACTGAGCTTCCTCTTACACCAAACTTACACAGGAGCTTCACACAGTTGCCTTTTACACACAGCAGCCTTCACACTGGAGCTTTACACACAAGGCCTTCAACCTGGGACTTCTCCCACCGAAACTTTTCACAGACCAGGTCTACTCACACTGAGACCTACTCTAAGGCCTACCTCACACTGTGAGTCCTTCTCACAGACTGAGACGTTTCTCCCACTGAGGCAAACTAAGGTGTGAAATCCTATGAGTGAACCCAGAAAGGGAGGTGAAAGATCCAATCAGTCAAGAAAATCAAGTTAAGCCTTCACTCTGTATGTCACAGATAATTAGGACCGCAGTTAAAGAGGATCCGTGCCTGGCGAGCACAAGCTAACCAAATAGGCCAACAGAGAAACACTCACCAAGGTGAAGACAAGCCACAGAGGTTATTTTCAATCTGGCCCAAAGAGATGTAAGTACATGCGGATGCTTCAAAGTGTGAAAGCATATCACAGAGAGAAAAGCATAGTTTTTTATACACATGACAACTAGTCAAAAATTCTCGCTTCCCTTCCTGATTGGCTGGGAAGGGGGCTGGTCTGAATCTGTACCCTGATTGGCCGAGGGCACTGCTGATATCACTGCCTCCAGGAGGGATTCCCTTTTGCAGGGAAATGGCAGTCGGGATTTGCTGGCCTTCTTCATGGATACAATAATGAGTCTTTGATTGACTCAGCAGTCCATTTCCAAACTTTGACGAAGGTGGTGATCCTGGCAATCAAGGATTGGGCGACAAGATACCTACTAACCCAAGGAGTGGCCATCACTCAAAAAAATTGATTTTGCGATTTGAGAGTTGTAGTTGTTGGGATTTATAGTTTACTTACAATTAAAGAGCATGCTGAACTCAACCAATGATGAAATTGAACCAAACGTGGCACACAGGACTCCCATGACCAACAGAAAAGGAAAGAAGGGTTTGGTGGGCATTGACTTTGAGTTTGGGAGTTGTAGTTCACCTACATCCAGAGAGCACTGTGGACTCAAACAATAATGGATCGTGACCAAACTTGGCACGAATATTCCATATGCCCAAATATGAACACAGATGGAGTTTGGGGAAAATAGACCTTGACATTTGGGAGTTGTAGTTACTGGGATTTATAGTTCACCTATAATCAAAGAGCATGCTGAACCCTACCAACGACAGAATTGGGGAAAACTTCCCACACAGAACCCCCATCACAAGGGCAAGAAAACATAATCAAAGCCTTCCTGACAAAGAGCCATCCAGCCATAGATATAGATAGATATATATGATCCACACACACACACATATGTATATGACAGATATAGTATCATAGACTTGAAAGGAACCCCTAAAGAAGGACAATTATATGTTGCATGTTCCCGAGTAGGCAAACCAGACACTCTCCACATCAACACTGACAAAGAAACAGCAAGAAATACTGTTTTACCCACAAGCATAAAGAAATAACATATATTAGAAAACAACACTTTCTCATTACTTTATTTTCCAGATCACCAGACTGGGCCACAGCAACACATGGCAGGGGACAGCTAGTGCTTAAATAAATATTTGCAGGCTTATGTGCTCTAACACGGAAACTGTCTATCTCCCCACATACACATACAATGGCTTATGATGGTTGTCCTGGCTGGGAATGGCCATGGGGATTTGCCCGACCTTTCCTGACTGGGAAATGTCCCCGCAAGGTTACAAAAGGGGGTTTACCTCTGGGCTCGGCCTTGCTATGTTTTGACAGGAAACATATACATTTCATATAAAGGGACAGATACAATATATATAAAGATACAACATAGGCAGGAAGTTAGAATAAAAAGATACCATTTATTAAAGAGTTGAAACGATAAAGTCTTTGTGGGGAAGGAGCCACTGCTGGTTCATTCACAATCTCCGATGCTCCTGAATAACAGAAGATTGAACAATACAAATACATACACAAATTCGATAATGCAAATTCATATATTGTATTGTCGAAGGCTTTCATGGCCGGAATCACTGGGTTGTTTTAGGTTTTTCAGGCTGTATGGCTATGTTCTAGAAGTATTCTCTCCTGACATTTCGCCTGCATCTGTGGCAGGCATCCTCAGAGGTTGTGAGGTCACAACCTCTGAGGTGACCTCACAACCTCTGAAGATGCCTGCCACAGACGCAGGTGAAACGTCAGGAGAGAATGCTTCTAGAACATGGCCATACAGCCCGAAAAATCTACAACCCAAATTCATATGTTCATTCGTTCAGTCATCTCTGACTCTTCGTGACCTCATGGACCAGCCCACGCCAGAGCTCCCTGTTGGCCGTCACCACCCCCAGCTCCTTCAAGGTCAGTCCAGTCACTTCAAGGATGCCATCCATCCATCTTGCCCGTGGTCGGCCCCTCTTCCTTTTACCTTCCACTTTCCCCAGCATAATTGTCTTCTCTAGGCTTTGCTGTCTCCTCATGATGTGGCCAAAGTACTTCAACTTTGTCTCTAGTTTCCTTCCCTCCAATGAGCAGTCGGGCTTTATTTCCTGGAGGATGGACTGGTTGGATCTTCTCGCAGTCCAAGGCACTCTCAGAACTTTCCTCCAACACCACAGCTCAAAAGCATCGATCTTCCTTCGCTCGGCCTTCCCTAAGGTCCAGCTCTCACATCCGTAGGTTACTACAGGGAATACCATGGCTTTGACTATGCCATTCATAGTCATATATTTATTATATTCATATATTTATTACCATATTCATATATTTATTATCAAAGCCCTTGGTAAGCTTTATATTTATCGGGGTGGGGGAAGTTATCGTGGTTTGACAACATGTACACCAGTACATGTTCTGTAGGCCCACAATATGCTGAATGAAGGATGTGTGGAATTCAATGCCAATTTGGTTTTGTTATTTTATGTATTTTATTTTGATGTTATTATTTGCTATTTTGTATTTTATTTTGTTGTATTGTAATTCTGGGCATGGCTTCATGTTAGCCACCCCGAGTCCCCTTTGGGGAGATGGTGGCGGGGTATATATAAATAAATAAATAAATAATAATAATTATTATTATTATTATTATTAATTCAAAGACTGAGGATGGCGTTAACCGATTCAAACCAGGGTAGGATCCTGTGCACTTAAGATATATCCCTTGCATGGATTAGGTCTGGCCATGTATTGTCAAGTAACATCTAAGATAGGTCATCATGGTATTATTATTATTATTATTATTATTATTATTATTATTTTGTCGTGTCAGGAGCAACCGCTCCTGTTGTGAGAGAATTGGTCGTCTGCAAGGACATTGCCCAGGGGACGCCTGGATGACTTTTGATGTTTTATCATCCTTGTGGGAGACTTCTCTCATGTCCCCGCATGAGGAGCTGGAGCTAATAGAGGGAGCTCATCCGCCTCTCCCCGGATTCGAACCTGCGACCTGTCGGTCTTCAGTCCTGCCGGCACAGTGCTTTAACCCACTGATGATCAGCAGGAAGAAGGCAGAGGTTTTTCATGGGAGATGTCAAATGCTGAACAGTTTACCCTTTAAATCAGTGGTTCTCAACCTGAGGGTCCCCAGGTGTTTTGGCCTACAACTCCCAGAAATCCCAGCCGGTTTACCAGCTGTTATGATTTCTGCAAGTTGAAGGCCAAAACATCTAGGGATCCACAAGTTAAGAACCACTGATTTAAATCTTCCCAAGAGCTTTGAGGAGGTACTTCACCACACACACTCTGGCCATGTCACACGCAGACAATTATATGGATATACATACTCTACTGTTGTCTTCTGTGGCAGCACTTCCAACGTGGGATATCCTTTTCTTGGAGGGTCATCTGATGCCAACACTAGGTTCATTGGGGTGCCATGCTAAAGCTGGTCTCTTCATGCAATCCCTTTGGTTGCAATGACCATGGTTTGACTTTTACCTGTTGTTTCGGTCCTCCTATCTTACCTTGTGGGATTGATTTACATTGTTCCGGGCACCACAGTTCAAGGATATGGACCAACTGGAAGGTGTCCAGAGAAGGGTGACTGAAATTGTCAAAGGTTTGGAAGCCAAGACTCTCTCTGAGGAGCAGCTGATCAAGGCAGCCAATTAAAATATTCACACCTACCTCCAGCAGACAAGAGTTCTTTCTCCCACTCTGGACATTCCACAGATATATAAACTCCATTTTCCTAGTTTCCAACAGACCTCACAACCTCTGAGGATGCCTGCCATAGATGCAGGCAAAACATCAGGAGATAATGCTTATGAAACATGGCCATACAGCCCAAAAAAACTTAGAACAACCCATTACATCTAAACTTTGGGGGAAAAGTTTTCTTTGGAGGATGGTGGGTGGGCTTATCAGGTCTTCAAAAATTTGGAGACCCCCAAAATAAAATACAACAACAATAATAATAGGGTTTTTTTGTAACCCATCCTATCTTCCTGAGGGGATTCAGGGCAGTTTCCAACAGAAAAATGGCAAACATTCAATGCCAAAGATGAACAATAACCAATAAACAACCAAAATGGATGTGAGGGCGATATGGCTGCGACATCTGTCACCCCATTGATCGCCAGGGTTGATTCGGCTGATCTGGCTGGCTAGGTGGGTGTCCCCTTCCTCCCTCACAGCTCCATGTGCGTCCCTCCTGAAGCTGCGCACTCGGTGGAAGAGGACGACGTTCCAGGTACAGAAGGAGTGTACCGAGGTCTCCAGTCTTCAGTCCCGGGTATACGATAGCTGCACTTTCCTGCTAGAACCTCCAAACAAGCTCAACCAAATTAAAACCAATAAACAAAACAACATAAGAACTTGTAACAATAAGGCAGTCAAATAGTTAAATAGAACGTAATCAATCCAAATCAAACATACACCCACATAATAAGGATCTAATAAAGCTAAAATACTTTAAAATTATTAAATAAGGACTGCAACTCCAACAAGCCTGAGTAGGTCAGCCTCAAAATACTTTTGATCCCAAAATGTCTCTGGGCCTCTCAAGGCCCTCTATGCTATACTTCTGGTCCAAGGATAATCAAAATAAACTGTTTGCTGTCATCCACAGTTTCAGGCATCCATGAAGTGTCTGGGATTGTATCCCCCATGGACAAAGGGTTGTTGTAAGCCTAGGACAGGGAAGAGGTAATTTCTAGTGGCCATGGCAAAGGTGGCATCTGGTTGCAAATGGAGTGTAGTTGCTGTAAATCAGGGACAACCTAGCAGCTCCATTGGGACATTTGTATTGGTTATCAGAAGATCCAGAAGTGTTGCTGGCATAGGATGGTTGCCTTGGAGGAGAGTTGTCTAGGGAAAGGCATAAAGCACTACAGCACATCTATCTTCCTTCCTTCCTTCCTTGCTTGCTTGCTGTTGTGTCACCACTTCATGGATGTAAGCAAAGTTAGAACAACACACTAAGGTTATCAATATCTGGCGTTCAACAGCACCACCCTTAAACCAGAGGGGCCGACATCCTGGGTACTCCATTTTACTCTGTCAGGAGACCATTTTGGAACTACCAATACTCTCTCTCATTTACTAGGCCAAATTGGCAATCTCAATTGGAGGGAGAGCCTTTGTTATCTTCTGAGTAGTGGGAGCTATAGCTGCTTGTGGGGACAGGAGCTTATCTGTGTAAGTGGATACCCCAGCTACACACACATACATATTTTCACTTTTATTATGTGTGTAGATTGACACCTGAGTCTTAGAGTTTAGTGGCTGGAGATGTAAAGTAAAAAAACAAATAGTAAAAATTCACGCAGTCCAGAAACGCTAGTCAAAGATGAAGAGAAAGATTCCTAGCTGCTGCAATGGCAGTGGATGAAAGGAACTGAGGCAGTAGCCTCTCCCACTGGCTATATATACTGAAGGGGAGAGTGGGCGGGGCTACCGCCTAAAAGTGTCTAATAAGTTTTCTAGAAGATTCCGAACTGTCTGCGCAGACGCAGGAAATACCATATGTGCGATTCACAGTGACCACGATGGGGAAAAGCCATGCAGAGTAAATGAGAGATGCCAAGTTTCGATGTGATTTTTGTATCTTGGTCTCTTGGCATCCTAAAGTTAACAGCTGATAGGACAATCCAAAACACTTCTGGTTGAAAACTATTCTCCAGATGTGCTGCCAATGAAATTTGGTACTTGTGGCAGTGGGATCACCTCTGCTTTAGGGGAGAAGATGATTTCTAGTTCTACGTTCTACAGTTCAGGAAAGCAAGACACTCTTTCTCAAAGCAGATTCCACAATAACTTATGTCTTTATTGAATTAGTCAGCTTTCTGAAATGACAGGCAAAAACTAGTAACAACGGAGAGGAATGTATAGTTTAAAACAATACTGGGAAAAATAGGCCTGCACTCTTATTAAGAAGTGAGGTGGGGAAAGGTGCAAATGCTCTCCTTTCAGCCACAGCCCATGCACTTTTTAAAAGGAATCTAGTTCAGGAACAGGCCACGCAGGAGTAGAAACTCACTGATCCCACTTTATGAGGTGGGAATAATAAGCACTTTAAAAAAACATTCAAACCATCCTGGATAATTCTGTGTCAGGTTGCATCCTATGAGAAAACGCAAGGGCAAGAAAATAGAAGGCACATGCGATTAGACAGTGATATATACTCCCCACAGGCCCAAAAAGTGTAAGAGAACTAGTAAATTAATAATAAAAAACCAAAGATACACATATGCTTCCAATTCCTTTTGGCCCAAGTAAAAAATAATGTATTTTATGGGTGACGATGTCCCTTTTGTCACCAACGGATCCAACAGTCGCTGAGTTGCCACAACCTGCTGCGTTGACACCAGCAGCCGCTGAGTTCATTCCGGATTATCCTTCGCATGAGGAAAGGCAAAGAGGAGCCCTTCGCGTCATAGTCAGGGGAGGGGAAGAAGCAAACTGGGGGGCATTAGCGCATAAACGAAGCTCGCGGCGCATCCGCTTTGGGAGAAGGCGGTGGCGAATGGCTTCGCAAGATTTCAGAGGCAACATGTTGTAGTGATGACTGGCTGGTGAACGATGAGGTGAAGGTGAGGCTGGATGCTGGCAGCAAAAGAAGATGGAGAAAGAAGGTATTTTGAGAAACACATTCTGGAAATCGCTAAGACAAAGAAGGGGTTCAAGGTGTCGGTTCATACACTGTCATTGTGGAGAATGGGACTGACAAGGTGGAAAAGGAGAGCTAGATAGAGCTTCTATGTCTGCATGCACACCTTGGGACAGAGTCAGCCTATTAGGTAAATGATGGACATACTACCACTCATAGATGGTGCTGATAATAGGTTTGTTCCCTAAAGCCTTCCTGACATGTGCATCTCTCTGGAGAGAAAGGAACATAGTTGCTTATCCAACCTTTGCTTATCCAACATTCTGTCTTATCCGATGCCCCCTTTTCCTCCAACATTTCCCCTTCAGTTAAAGGAGCGCTCCCCAACTCTCTCTTCATTCCCAATAAGTGAAAAAGGCAAGACAAAGAGGAGGAGGAGGGAGGAAAGGGGGAGAAGAGGCAGGACCGGAAGCGGAAGTGCCCTCCCTCCTTCCCTCTGGGATTTCCACGCTCCTCTTCCATATCCAGGAACTTCCTGCTGGGTCGCTCTAGCCCTGAGGCATTGCCTTGCCTTAACCCAGGCATCCTCAAACTGTGGCCCTTCAGCTGTTCAGGCCTTCAACTCCCAGAATTCTGGGTACCACAATTGAAGAGAGATGTTGACAAGCTGGAATGTGCCCAGAGGAGGGCGACTAAAATGATCAAGGGTCTGGAGAACAAGCCCTATGAGGAGCGGCTTAAGGAGCTGGGCATGTTTAGCCTGAAGAAGAGAAGGCTGAGAGGAGATATGATTGCCATGTATAAATATGTGAGAAGAAGTCACAGGGAGGAGAGAGCAAGCTTGTTCTCTGCTTCCCTGGAGACTAGGACGCGGAACAATGGCTACAAATTACAAGAAAGGAGATTCCATCTGAACATGAGGAAGAACTTCCTGACTGTGAGAGCTGTTCAGCAGTGGAACTATCTACCCTGGAGTGTGGTGGAGGCTCCTACTTTGGAAGTTTTTAAACAGAGGCTGGATGGCCATCTGTCAGGGGTGCTTTGAATGCAATATTCCTGCTTCTTGGCAGAATGGGGTTGGACTGGATGGCCCATGAGGTCTCTTCCAACTCTTTGATTCTATTATTCTAATTAAACAAGCCTATTAGGGCTTCTGGGAATTGGAGGCTCAAACTGCTGGAGGGCCGCAGTTTGAGGATGCCTGCCTTAACCCTTTGAATTCCTGTTGTTAGTATTCTAGATGTCTAGCATCATGTCGGACGGATAACAGTAGGAGACTCTGTATTATCCAACATTTTTGTTTATCTGATGTTCTGCCGGCCTGTTTATGTCGAATAAGCGAGACTCTGCTGTATGTTATATTCTGGTGCTGGCTTATATATTGTCAAAGTGGAGTATGGGATTGGCAATGCAGAGAAGCAGGGCCAGATATGGCACCTATGTCTCCATGCATACTTTGGGATCGACTCTATTTTAAAAATGTTCTCTCTCCTCCTCACTTTCCCCTCAACTTAAATTAGTTGCAGCAAATTGATTTCAACGTGCAAAAGTACTGTATATACTCGAGTATAAGCCTAGTTTTTCAGACCTTTTTTTGGGCTGAAAAAGTCCCTCTCGGCTTATACTCGAGTCAAGGTTATTTATTATTTTACTCTGTTATAAATACATAATAAATGTATTATTATTATTATTATTATTATTATTATTATTATTATTACATTTATTATTTTACTCTATTTATTATTGTTGTTATTATTACATTTATTATTTTACTCTATTTATTGTTGTTATTATTACATTTATTATTTTACTCTATTTTTATAGGAAGGGTACGCAAGCACATTTACATTGAAGACGGTCAGAACGGTTTAATCAGAGTTGAGCTGTCTTATCTTAAATTACAATTTTATGTAAATATTCAAAAACATTGAACCTCCTGATGCCTCAATTAATGTAATTTTATTGGTATCTATTTTTATTTCGAAATTTACCAGTATCTGTTGCATTTCCCATCCTCAGCTTATACTCGAGTCAATCTATTTTCCCAGTTTTTTGTGGTAAAATTAAGTGACTCGGCTTATATTCGGATCGGCTTATACTCAAGCATATATGGTATTTTCCACTTTACTGCCCTGGAGAAGGGGTAAGTGGGCAGGAAGGGATGAGATTTTCCCTTCCCAACAGACTCCGGCAAAACCAAACTGCTGCAGCTTTCTGCCACCTGGAACGCGCTCTGTTGTTTGCTCCTTGTGCCTTGAGTTTCACGTATGAAACATTGCAGGGGATGTGGGTCCCATTCTTTTAGCACTTTAGTAAGGTAAGGGGGCCCAATAATGAAAACGTGGCTCAATCCTGAAACCCAGGGGAAGGGGGGTTAAGGTATAAGTGAGCAAACTAAGACCTGAGAGTATGATTCTTATAATATGATTATTCTTATAGTTTTGCCGCCATTTTCCAGGTTCAATTTTGCTCAAAATGCCTCCAAGCTCACGGACCACCTTCTCTCCAGCAGAAGTGTCAGAAAGAAGCTGAAAAGAAATCTTGGAGGCCTCAAAGCACGTTTCTCTTCTTTAATGGTGCTTAGTAGATCGGTGGCCAGCTCACCTGTCCGGAAAACAATGGCTTGTTCCAGCCTCAAGAAGACGCCGCTGATTAAGGCCTTGACCTTAGGACCCACAGAAAGTGTGACTATGTATAGCAGAAGGATGCCAAAGATGGAAGCCATCGACACCTAGGAGCAGAAAAAATACATTTTTGAAAGGGGAGGTGTTTCCGCAGGAGTTTCCACAGCAAACAGGAGAACCTTTATCCCAGGGGATCACAGCCAGACACAGTGAAGACATCTGCCCTTGCGCTGTGCTACTCTGCTGCTGAGTACGCATGCCCAGTGTGGAACACATCTCACCACGCTAAAACAGTGGATGTGGCTCTTAATGAGACATGACGCATTATCACGGGATGTCTGCGCCCTACACCACTGGAGAAATTACACTGCTTAGCCGGTATTGCACCACCTGACATCGCCGGGAAGTAGCAGCCAATAGTGAAAGGACCAAGGCAGAGACATCTCCAGCTCATCCCCTGTTTGGGTATCAGCCAGCACATCAACGACTTAAATCTAGAAATAGTTTTCTAAGATCTACAGAGACACTCGCTGGAACACCTCAGCAAGCGAGAGTCCAAAAGTGGCAGGCTCAAACCCAGAACCTCAATCCATGGCTGATACCAAATGAGAGACTCCCCCCTGGGCACACAGACTGGGCGACTTGGAAGGCGCTGAACAGACTGCGCTCTGGCACCACGAGATGCAGAGCCAACCTCAAGAAATGGGGCTACAAAGTGGAATCCACGACATGTGAGTGTGGAGAGGAGCAAACCACTGACCACCTGCTGCAATGCAACCTGAGCCCAGCCACATGCACAATGGAGGACCTTCTTGCAGCAACACCAGAAGCACTCCAAGTGGCTAGCTACTGGTCAAAGGACATTTAATCAACTACCAAACTCACAAATTTTGTATTTTGTCTGTTTGTTTGCTTTGTTCTGTTAGAAATGTAATATAATTGACTGGTTGCCCTGACACAATGAATAAATAAATCCCAGGAGTAAACACGGAAGCAATCGCTACAAAAGGCAAAAAACGCAAGATTTCCAGGTGTGGGAATATTGTGGTTTTGAACTGAATATGCAGATCTTTGCATGTCTGTATGTCCCTGCAATTGGAAATCATGTTTTTTTTTTAAAAAAATGGTTTGTTCCCTGGTTTTACATGTTTGTTCCTGATCAGCCGGTTCCTATAAAGAAGGTGACAGTTAAGTAGACAATGAAACTTTGTTTGTGTGCCAGAAACTTCACGAAATGTGTGGAGGAAGTATTTTCTCTGGCCAGGACAAAGTTTGGCCCCCTAGTCAACATTGCACATGTTTTCACAATAAGAGTAATCAGGAGCAGACATGTATAACCCAGGAACAATACACTCTCCGTACAGATGGCCCCGCAGCTTATATAACCCAGAAACGAAACTTATACTGTACAATGACTTGCATCTTTGCATGCTTGCATCTTAAGGGTTTAAGAAAACCCGCTGAAATTTCCAACGGAAGTCCAGCAGCAGCCATCTTGGGAGCCTCTAAATCTTGTAACATTGTCCATCAAGTCTGGACAATGGAGGCAGAAATCCCAAGACCAATAGGTCTGTATGTGAACCTCTTCTGAAGTCCCAGGATTTTTTGCCCCTGATTAAAACCCGTGATTTAGTGCTGTCTGGAAGTACTCCAAGTCACTCCCACTGGCTATATATGCTCATAAGGGGAGAGTGGGCGGGGCTAACCGCAGAAATGTTTGACAAGATCTCTAGAAGGTTCTGAAGCTGTCTGCGCAGGCACAGAAATTACCATATGTGCAATTCACAGGGACCACGATGGGAAACAAACATTGCAAGAGAGGAAGGTTTGGGATGGTTGATTAGGATCTCATCACACTAGAGAAGGCTGAGCAAAGGAAGATAGATGCTTTTGAACTGTGGTGTTGGAGGAAAGTTCTGAGAGTGCCTTGGACTGCGAGAAGATCCAACCAGTCCATCATCCAGGAAATAAAGCCCGACTGCTCATTAGAGGGAAGGATACTAGAGACAAAGTTGAAGTACTTTGGCCACATCATGAGGAGACAGCAAAGCCTAAAGAAGACAATTATGCTGTGGAAAGTAGAAGGAAAAAGGAAGAGGGGTGGACCAAGGGCAAGATGGATGGATGGCATCCTTGAAGTGACTGACCTTGAAGGAGCTGGGGGTGGTGACGGCCGACAGGGAGCTCTGGTCCATGAGGGCTGGTCCATGAGGTCACGAAGAGTCGGAGATGACTGAACGAATGAATAACAACAACACTAGAGAAAAAATCCACTTTAAATCTGGTTTCTGCCTCCTGCAGAATTCTGGGGTTTGTAGTTTATGGAGGAGCCTTTAACAGCCTCACTAAACTACAAACCCCGGAATTCTGCAGGAGGCAGAAACTGGATTTTAAGTGGATTTTTTTCTCTAGTGTGATGAAGTGGTCAAATCCAAGTATTATTATTTTTTTAATTGGTATGAATTTTTACAACTCTAAATAATAATAATAATAATAATAATAATAATAATAATAATAATAATAAACATGCCAAACTCCTCTGGACTTCCGGATTCAGACATACAGACCTCACAATCGTGTTAAAAAACAAAGTATGGATCTGGGTTAATGTAGGTTTTTTTCGGGCTATATGGCCATGGTCTAGAGGCATTCTCACCTGACATTTCTCCTGCATCTATGGCAAGCATCCTCAGAGGTAGTGACATCTGTTGGAACTAGGAAAAGGGGCTTATATACCTGTGGAATAACCGGAGTGGGACAAAAGACTCTTGTCTGCTGGAACTAGGTGTGAATGTTTCAACTGATCACCTTGATAAGCATATAATGCCCTGACAGTGAAAGTATGGATCGTCGATGTCGCAATCCCAGGTGACCACAGGATTGAAGAGAAACAACTGGAAAAGTTGACACGATATGAGGATTTAAAGATCGAACTGCAAAGACTCTGGCACAAGCCAGTCAAGGTGGTCCCAGTGGTGATCGGCACACTGGGTGCAGTGCCTAAAGACCTTGACCTGCACTTAAACACAATCGGCACTGACAAAATTACCATCTGCCAGCTGCAAAAGGCCACCTTACTGGGATCTGCACGCATTATTCGCTGATACATCACACAGTCCTAGACCCTTGGGAACTGTCCGACATGTCATCCAATTCAACAACCAGCAGAGTGTCTGCTGAGGACTCATCTTGTTGTGTTTCAAATAATAACAACAACAACAACAACTTTATTCTTATTTCCCGCCACCCTTTCCCCAAAGGGACTCGAGACAATTTACATATGGGACAGAAAGTTCAACAGACATAAAAGCAACACAATCGACTAAAATAAGAGCATCGTAAAATACAACAATCCAGATAAAAACACAATTAAACATAAGAGGACAGCAGCATTGAAACTCAAAACAGAGAGCGGCCAAAAAACAACACAATCCACTAAAATAAGAGCATCGTAAAATACAACAATCCAGATAAAAACACAATCTATATATATAAATCTGTTAGGCTGGTTCAACGGGACAGCAAAACTCCACAACCCCCCAACAAAACTGCACCAAAATTGCCATGCCCCAAGGACAACCCACTCGGTACAAACTAATCCACTCAGAATTGAAAACAACACAACAACACACAGATAAATCGCCAAAACAACTGAGCATGCGCACTGGAGCAAAGTCCCCAGCGCACGCGCACACATGGCCGAACGGCCAAAGCACCCTCCGCACCTCCCTCCCTCGCCCCGCCCAGCACGAACACGTCGCTGCCCACACACACACACACACACAAACAACGCAACTTCCCCCTGCCCCCTTCCCTCCACCCCCTCCTTCATCTTACCCCTCCCACGCTGCCTCCAAGCCCCGCTCCGCACACTCCAAGCCTCGCCGCGCCGCATCCCCACTGGAAAGACACGCCCCCTCCCTTCGCCCCACCCCTTCCCTCCCTGAGACACTCCTTCCCTCCTCCCTCCCTCTCCGGAAAGACACGCCAAGGTTGGGGAAGGAAGGGGTGGGGAAGGGAGGCGTGTCTTTCCAGAGAGGGAGGGAGGAGGGAAGGAGTGAGTCACGGAGGGAAGGGGTGGGGCAAAGGGAGGGGGCGTGTCTTCAAAGTTGCCCCCTCCCTTCACCCCCACCCCTTCCCTCCCTGACTCACTTCTTCCCTCCTCCCTCCCTCTGGAAAGACACGCCCCCCCCCTTTGCCCCACCCCTTCCCTCCGTGACCTTGAGTATGGGAGTTGTAGTTCACCAACATCCAGACAGCACTGTGGACTCAAACAATGATGGATCTGGACCAAACTTGGCATAAGCATTAAATATGCCCAAATATGAACACAGATGGAGTTTGAGGGAAACAGACCTTGACATTTGGGAGTTGTAGTCACTGGGATTCAGAGTTCACCAACACTCAAAGAGCATCCTGAACCCCACCAACGACAGAATTGGGGCAAACATGCCACACTGAACCCCCATGACCAACAGAAAATACTCAAGTTTACACACAAGCATAAAGAAGGGGGAGGAAGGAGGGATGCCAGAGAGAGAGGGAAAGAGGGGAAAGGAAAGAGTGTGAGAGAGAGAAAGAGGGAAAGAGAGCGAGGGAAGGAAGGAAGAGAGGCCAGGCAGAGACTTCAAAACTCTTACTAAAGGCCACAGCAACACGCGGCAGGGCACAGCTAGTTAAACATAAAAGGACAGCAGCACTGAAACTCAAAACAGAGAGTGGCCAAAAAGCAGCTCTGAAGCTTCATGCTAGACTTCCAAGCCAGCTAACTCCTGCAATTCCAAAGGACAGAGTTGTCTCGAAAGCATGTTAACACCACAAAGCAGAAGGTAAGGTATACAAATCTTAAATCCCTGCTCCTACAGATCGAGGAATCTCTAGAGTCTAGAAAGAATAAACTGCTACTGGTGGAGCCATGCCAAGCATACCAAACTCTAGAGAAGAAATGCCAAGGAGCACGTAGGCCCAGCTATAGTTACCTGCAAGAGAAAGACGGACCTGGTACGGCTAAGGGGCAGGCCGTGGATGTGGACGATGAACTCCAAGGCGTAGTCGCAGTAGGTGGTTTGGTCCACTCCCCTGCAGAAGCAAAAAGGAGAGAAGGAGGTTGGCTGCTGGGAAAGAGGAGTTTGGGGTCAAGTCTTCCACTTTCTCTTTCTTTCTTCTCTCACAATATGATGGCTGGATCTTGGTCCCATTCTGACCACTTGCATCACATTGAAGCAATGAAACGGTTGGCTAAGTAGAGCTGAGTAGAGATCCCTTTTTCAATGAAATGGATGATTTCCCTACCATCATCACACTGTTAAATGTATCCATGCAACTCAGTAGCACTCCGCATTCTGTGAGTTTATTTGTTTTCACGTTATAGAGATTTGGCCCCGCCCACCATCGCTCCCCTTGCATTATTTGTTGAAAAGAAACCTCCTCTCATTTGAAATCCCAGCTTCCTAACAAATGCAAGATTACATGTCTTCAATTCTGGAAGCAGGAAGGGAGGGAGGGAAAACTGCAATTCCCAAGACTATCTCATGGAGACATGGCATTTAAAGTAAGGCCCGCCTGCATTCATTCCACAGTGTAGATGTATCAAGAGAAGGCTATGGGCATTGGGAAACTATAACTCCCAGGAGGACTACATTGCATGGAGAGAGGGTTCATGAACCTTCGGAAACTGCAATTCCCAAGACTATCTCATGGAGACATGGCATTTAAAGTAAGGTCCGCCTGCATTCATTCCACAGTGTAGATGCACCAAGAGAAGGGTATGGGGCTTGGGAAACTATAGCTCCCAGGAGGACTACATTGCATGGAGAGAGGGTTCATGAACCTTCAGAAACTGCAATTCCCAAGACTATCTCATGGAGACATGGTATTTAAAGTAAGGTCCACCTGCATTCATTCCACAGGGTAGATGCACCAAGAGAAGGGTATGGGCCTTGGGAAACTATAACTTCCAGGAGAACTACATTGCATGGAGAGAGGGTTCATGAACCTTCGGAAACTGCAATTCTCAAGACTATCTCATGGAGACATGGCATTTAAAGTAAGGTCCACCTGCATTCATTCCACAGTGTAGATGCACCAAGAGAAGGGTATGGGCCTTGGGAAACTACAACTTCCAGGAGGACTCCATCGCATGGAGCCATGGCATTTAAAGAGGGATGAAAGGGCATTCATTCCATGCTGTAAATGCACCAAGAGAAGGGTATGCACTTTGGAAAACTGACTCCCAGGACTGCACAGCATGGAGACATGGCATAACAACAACAACAACAACAATCCTTCTCTCCCAGCTTTCCCATGCAATACAAGGCGGAGACATATCACGGAAGGAAGAGAAGGGTAGGAAAGAACCCGGAAAGGCTGTTTTTTAAAAAGAAATTGTTCTGGCAAAGTAAAAACTCAGTGAGCAAAAGGTAATGCTTTCCCTAACAAGGGTACTTTTGGATATCATAATTTCCCCTCCCACAATTTCATTTCAAACCTGGGAGCAACAAATGCCATCATATTACAGAAATGGCCAATCATCCAGATCATTTTAAAAAATCCACTTCCCTACCAGCTCTTGAAATGTTTGAAAAGAATGCTGGTGCCCACACATAAAATACACAAAGAATGCTCTATCCTACACTTGAAGCCAAACTAATGTGATGAGGAATGTGGCTTCCCGGATTATAAGTGTAGCACTCAGTGGAATTTGGTAAATGTGATGGTCAGTGCTGCGGGTATCAAGTCAGAGGTTTGGAATTGTAGGCAATATGCCACAGGAGGCATCGCATCTTACACTGGTTTGAAGTCCCCATCCAGGATTTAGATACGCAGGTGACTTAACATCAAGGGGAAACCTTTACCTTTACCTTTAAAGATTTAATATACTAACAAAAACTCCACTGCCCCACCTTCCCCTTTTTACTCCCACCCTTTTTGTGTGTGTGTGTGTGTGGGGGGGGGAGAGATGGAAATATTTAAAATATATATTAATTAAAAAAAGAATGCTCTGAAAAGCAGATATCCTTCATGCTGGTTTCAGCACCATAAATAGCACTCAGTGCTTAACTAATTGTGCTCTAGCCAGGCATGCTGGTTTCAGCACTATGGATAGCACTCAGTGCTTAGCTAATTGTGCTCTAGCCAGGCAACACAGACTTTAGCCAAATACTTCAACTGATTTATTGCTCCCACGTCATTTAACTGTTTAATTGTGACCCGATTAAACATAACAATTGCAAAAGGATTTAAAAGCTGTTACCTCCAAAGGGCGGCCTACAAGTATAAAAGTAAAAGTTTTCCCTTGACATTAATTCTAGTCATTTCCGACTCTGGGAGGAGGTGCTCATCTCCATTTCTAAACCGTCCTGAGTCGCCTGTGGGCTGAGAAGGACGGTATACAAATATAGTAAATAAATAAATTTCTAAGCCGAAGAGCTGGCATTGTCCATAGACACCTCCAGGGTCATGTGGCCAGCATGACTGCATGGAGTGCCTTTACCTTTCCACTGAAGTTATAGCTATTGACCTACTCACATTTGCGTGTTTTTGATCTGCTAGGTTGGCAGAAGCTGGGGCTAACAGCGGGAGCTCATCCCGTCCTGAGAATCTGAACCACCAACCTTCACTTCACTTTATTTCTTAATTAGTCACTCTCCACCAAGGTGCTCCTTCCAGTCAACTAGAGAGTGTTTGAGGACCGGGACATCCATAGGGAGACCAAGGTGCTTGTTTATAAAGTTATTGTCCTCCCAACCCTGCTATATGCCTGCAAAACATGGACTGTCTACAGACGTCACATGCAACTCCTGGAACGATTCCACCAGTGCTGCCTCCGGAAAAACCTGCAAATCTCTTGGGAAGACAGGTGGACAAATGTCAGTGTGCTGGAAGAAGCAAAGGCCACCAGCATTGAAGTGATGGTCCTCCACCATCAACTCCGCTGGACCGACCATGTTGTCTGGATGCCTGACCACTGTCTCCCAAAGCAGTTGCTCTACTCCAGTGGTTCTCAACCTGGGGTCCCCAGATGTTTTTGGCCTTCAATTCCCAGAAATCCTAACAGATGATTAACTGGCTGGGATTTCTGGGAATTGTAGGCCAAAAACATCTGGGGACCCCAGGTTGAGAACCACTGCTCTACTCCAAACTCAAGAACGGAAAACGGAATGTTGGTGGGCAGGAAAAGAGATTTAAAGACAGGGCCCAAAGCCAACCTTAAATACTCTGGCATAGACACTGAGAACTGGGAAGACATGGCCCGTGAGCGCTCCAGCTGGAGGTCAGCTGTGACCAGCAGTGCTGCAGAGTTTGAAGAGGCACAAATGGAGAGTGAAAGAGAGAAACATGCCAAGAGGAAGGCGCGTCAAGCCAACCTCAAGCGAGACCATCTTCCACCTGGAAACCAATGCCCTCACTGCGGGAGAAGATGCAGATCAAGAATAGGGCTCCATAGCCACCTACGGACCCACAAGAATACTGATCCTGGAAGACTATCCTACTCGGCCAATGAGGGATCGCTAGTTCTGTAACTCAGCTGTTTAACCCGCTGCACAATCACAGCCCACTTGTAAGTATAGCAAGTTATAAATTGAATAAAACCCCAAGGTGCAGTTACCTGTTTGATACCTTCAGCACAAAAAAGTAATCCGGAGTAAAGGTATTAGTGGGAAGAATGTCGTAACAGGGAGAGTTCTGCTGGCAGACCCACCTATGAGAGAGAGAGAAAGAGAATAGGGTCTTATGACAGATCACGCAAGGAGTTTGTGTCACGTGCCTGAGTTGAGTGCAATAGAGCTTTGGGATGAGGGATTGTAGGAGAGAGGGTAGAACAATGAGGGAAGGGAAAAAAATTGGACTCGAAGGAAGCTTCATAACCAACGCACCTATCACTGCCTCATTGATTTCAGAGGAAGATCAGAGACCAAGGGCAGAATGAATGTACTCTATACCGTGAAGCTTACAGTATCCCAGAGCTGGCTTGAGAGAGGACATGGAAACCTTCAGCACTGGTCATGTTGTCTTCACCATCAGCCCTAAACCAGATAAGACTTGATGTTTCCCTGGGAAGAGAAAAGGAAATCAGCAAGAGCTGAGAGCAGTTGGGACACATATGGCCCTCCCAATATTGCTTGACTGGATCAACAGCAACTCCAATCAGGATGATGGGAGCTGTCGTCTAATTTCTGAGGGGCTGTACATCCTCAAATCAAGGGCTCCACAAACAAGTCAATACATGCTAATTGTTGAACTGTTACACTGTGTAACAAAATTTGAAAAGCAATTTTGTTCCTGGTTTGGAAGTGTTATTTTCTGTTTAATTGTGCGGTCCTTACTTTGAAAGTACTGTATATACTCGAGTATAACCTGAACCAAATATAAGTCAAGACACCTAATTTTACCACAAAAATCTGGGAAAACTTATTGACTTGAGTATAAGCCGAGAGTAGAAATGCAGCAACAATTGATACATTTCAAAATAAAAATAGATACCAATAAAATGACATTAATTGAGGCATCAGTAGGTTGTTTTTGAATATTTACATAAAACTGTAATTTAAGATAAGACTGTCCAACTCTGATTCAACCATTATTCTAACCTTCTTCAATATAAATGTGCTTACGTAGCCTTCCAATAATAATAAAGTAAAATAATAAATGTAATAAAAATAGAGTACAAAAATGGAAATGTAATAATAACAGTAATAATAAAGTAAAATAATAGAAATGTAATAATGATAGTTATAGTAGAATAAAATAATAAATGTTATAATAATGTAATAAAATAATAAATGTAATAAGAATAATACAGTAAAATAATGGAAATGTAATAAAATAATAATAGAATACAATAATATAAATGTAGTAATAACAATAATAGAGTAAAATAATACATGTAATAATAATAAAGTAAAGTAATAAATGTAATAACAAAAGTAGAGTAAAATAATAAATGTAATAAAATAATAGAGTAAAATAATGGAAATGTAATAAAATAATAATAGAATACAATAACATAAATATAATAATAACAATAATTGAGTAAAATAATACATGTAATAATAACAGAGTAAAATAATAAATGTAATAATAATAATAGAGTAAAATAATGTAAATGTAATAATAATAATAATAGAGTAAAATAATAAATGTAATAATAATAACAACAAAGTAAAATAATAAATAACTCTGACTCGAGTATAAGCCGGAGGGGGCATTTTCAGCCAAAAGAGGGGCTGAAAAACTCGGCTTACACTCAAGTACATAAGGTAGTTGTTCTGCTTCAGAAACTTCGTTATTGTGGCTGCCACAAACTATGTTGAATTGGTTGAGACTTAAGGAAGTATTCATTGAAAAGCTATAGCAAAATGTGCTGCAGGATGTTCCTCCCAAAAAAACCCCAAAGCTTTCTGTAGCTTAATACACGTTTCCATGTTTTTTGATAGAACCAATTAGGAAATGACATTTATAACTCAGGAACAAAATTCGTGTTACATAGTGTTATTAAAAGCAACTATGCATTGTGTGATACTTTAGAAATTAGCAAGTTTATTATGGCATTTCCCCCCAATGGGCTACTGCATATTGTACATACCTGCCAGTCACAGTGTTGTATTGCAAAATTTCCTCCGGGGTGAAGTATCGGATGTTATCTTCAGAAAAAGCTCCCCCACCAATGATGGTGAAGATGTAGCTGCCAGTAAAAAAAAAGCAGGGGAAGAAAAAGAAGGTGAGTTTGCAAGCAAAAGCCTTAACTATTGCAAAGCCTTCAATTTCAAACCTCAGTACTTACTGGGAAAGACAGCAGTGTCTTTTGTGGAGAGAAAAAGTGAGATGCAAAAAGACATAATAATCATAATCATAATCATAATAATTCTGCCCCTTCCTCTCCTCCTGCTAACTTTTGCATTTTGAACTCAATCTGAAGCAACTGAAGTTAAGGGAGAAACTGTGAAGAGTTGAGAGAAACCGGGACATTTTAAAAGTACCGTTTATACTCGAGTATAAGCCGGGTTTTTCAGCTCTTTTTTTTTTTTTTTAGGGTGCTTGGGTCTTACCTTCCATTGAAACGCCCCGAGTGCCCTGTCACCATGTCTTGGATCAAGAAGAAAGGGTAAAACACTGCCAAGAAAGAAAAGAAAGAAGAAAGTGTGTCAAATATGCTGAATGCTTGGAATGGTCCCAGGCGGAGCGGGCTGAACTGAACAACCCCTCTTGAAACTGTCTTACTGACCAGAACCAAACATCAATTTTTACTGGTCCTAGTTGAGGAACCACTCGATTTATGCATCTTTTCTGCCATAACAAACAGATCCTTCTTGGACACAGAATGCCCCAGAGAATGTCCGTTCCACTCATCTAACTTCCCAGCTCACTTCATGGCAGAAACCCAATGCACCCAGGTATTCCTCCCGCTGTCCTTACCATCACTGAAGTAGAAGCAGGGCATCTCAGGGTCCGGTTTCACACAGTCGAAGTAGCGCTTGTTCTTCTCGGTAGTGTAATTCTTGGTGTAAGTGATGTCAAAAGCCAGCCTTCTGCCTGGAGGACATCCAATATTAATGCCAATTGTATCACTGCCCTGCAAGGTAGGTAGAGAGTAAAGGTAAAAAGCCTTTTGCTTTACAGTTAGTAATTTCAAATTTCAAGCCTGTCTCACTTATTGTACACATTCAAAGATAAGCCAATATTTTCAGATCTTTTTATGGGCTGAAAAAGCCTCTCTCGTCTTAGAATGGGGTGAAGCCGGGCAGCGGAGCCTGGAGGCCATTGCTTGCCTTATATATTTCTTTCTCAGCTTCCCCTCCCTAAACAGTGTGTATTCTTTACTGCTTCTGCTTTTGCTTCTGCACTGCTTCTCTTCCCAGGCTGGAATGTTTTGTAAAGGGAAAGGAGAGAAGCGCTTGCAAGTCAGGAATATCCATTAAGCATTTTCCCCTGAAATATTTGTTAATATCTCCTACAGATATATAGGCATTTCCCCACGCAAGCCTTTGCAATCGCTATGTACCTATATATCTGTACCTATCTATCTATCTATTTATCTATTTTATTTATTTATTTCCTATATTTATACCCCACCCTTCTTCCCCCAAAGAGGGACTCAGGCCGGCCTAACAAAAGCATCATACGATGCTAGCATCATAAAAACAATCACAGTACAATCAAAATATTAAAAATTAAAACAACAATAATTAAGACACAGCCATTAAAGTTGAAATCCAAAAACCAGTCCGGGTCAATTCATTGCCATAAGTTGTGTGATCTTCTTCCACTTGTTGCTCACTGATCAAACACTTGGCCCCATAACCAGGTCTTGATTTTCCTTCTAAAAGACAAGAGGGAGGAAGCCAATCTGATATCTCTAGGGAGGGCATTCCATAGGCGTGGGGGGGGGGCACTGCTGAGAAGGCCCTGTCTCTCGTCCCCATCAACCATGTTTGCGATAGTGGTGGGATTGAGAGCGGGGCCTCTCTTGAAGATCTTAAACTTCGTGATGGTTCGTGGCAGGAGATATAGGACAGGTAGTCTGGGCCAGAACCGTTTTGGGCTTTAAAAGTTAAAACCAGCACTTTGAATGGTGCTCAGAAGCTGATTGGCAACCAGTGGAGTTGGCATAACATTGTATGTTCGCTGTATATCGCTCTGGTGAGCAACCTGGCTGCCAACCGTTGGACTAGTTGAAGCTTCCAGGCAACCTTCAAAGGCAGCCCCACATAGAGTGCATTGCAGTAGTCTATTCGGGATGTAACAAGAGCATGGACCACCGTGGCCAAGTCAGACTTCTCAAGGAATGGGTGCAGCTGGCACACAAGTTTTAATTGTGCAAAAGCTCTCCTGGCTACTGCTGAGACTTGGGGTTCCAGGCTCAGTGATGAGTCCAGGAATATTCCCAAACTGCGAACCTGTGTCTTCAAGGGGAGTGTAACCCCATCTAACACAAGCTGTAACCCTCTATCTATATACATTAATTTTATATATGAATTTCTCCTCATATGTTTGCAGGTCTTTGCAAATCCTATATACTTATACGTTGCTTACCTGTAACTGTCGTTTCCTTAGTAGTCACCTGCGAATGCGTACATTTGGTATTCTCTGCGCCTGCGTAGCAGCATTTGGAACCTTCTGAAAGCAAAAAGAATGACAGTTAGCTAGGCCACGCCCCCCTTCCCCTGGTATAAATAGCCTGTGGGCAGGGCCAACCGTCAGTTCTCTTCCTCCGCAAAGCAGCTGGAAGGCGCGGCATGACACCTGAGGGGAGGAGGGTGGGTATGTACGCATTCGCAGGTGACTACTAAGGAAACTACAGTTACAGGTAAGCAACTTATAATTTCCTGTCGTAGTCACTGCGAATCGTACATTTGGTAGATTAGCGAGCTACTGACCGTGGTTGGTGGGAGTCATGCCACCGCCGAAAACAGCACCGCCCTGCCGAACTCAGCATCCTTCTTAGAGGCAATATCCAGCTTATAGTGTGAGACGAATGACAGCGGATTCGTCCAGATGGCAGCACGGCAGATGACACCTAGCGGTACTCCTCTCATGAAGGCAGCAGTAGTCGACATGGCTCTGGTAGAATGGCCTTTGACCTGCAATGGTAAGTCCTTGCCAGCCAAGCGGTAGGATAATTTAATGGTTGAAACAATCCATGAGGAGAATCTCTGAGACGACAAAGGCAAACACTCCATATCCTTGCAATATTTAATAAAGAAACGTGGCATCTTTCTCAGAGATGCTGTTCTGTCAACGTAGTAAGCTATGGCTCTACGGACATCCAATAGGTGCAAGGTACGTTCAATAGGTGAAGAGGGATTTTGAAAAAAAGCTGGGAGTATTATCTCTTGGGACATGTGGAAAAAAGAAGAGACCTTGGGCAAAAAGGCAACATCTGTTCTAAGCACAACCTTATCCTTATGTATCCTCAAATAAGGGGGGGTCTACCCTTAGTGCGCACAGTTCGCTTGCACGCCTTGCTGATGTTATGGCAACCAAGAATGATGTTTTCCATGAGAGGTAAGAGATGTGTGTAGAAGCCATGGGTTCGAAAGGTGGTTTGGTTAGAAACGATAGCACCAGCTCTAGGCTCCATGCCGGAGCTACTGGGGCTACTGGTGGCCTAGTATTCGCCATTCCTCTGAGGAAAACCCTCACTAGGGGATGCGCAAAACACGAAGGGAGACCTTCCTTTCTACGGAACCACGAGATCGCTGCTAGATAGCATTTTAGCGATGCGTGAGATAACCCCGCATCTGCCAGAGACACTAGGAAATCTAACACCACTGAAATTGGGGCCGTGGAAGGACTTTCCCCCTTCGCGTTTACAAAAGCACAAAACTTAGACCACTTGTACACATAAGATCTCTTTGTTGCTGGCTTGTGGGCCGCCTCTATAATGGTCTGAATGTTACTAGACAGTGCAGATATTGGAATTAGTGGTTCGGCCGAATTCTCCATGCCGTTAACCTCAGTTTCTCTACCTCCGGGTAAAATACCCGGCCGCCCTGTGACGTCAACAGGTCTACCCTGTCGGGAAACCTGAAGAAAACTCTCTCAGACATTCGAAGCAGAGGGGAGAACCACGGCTGTCTTGGCCACCAAGGGGTTACCAAGATGCATCTCGCGTTCTCCCTCTGAATCTTTGCTATAACTCTCAATAGCAGGGGAAAGGGAGGGAAAGCATACAGAGGGCGACCCGACCACCCCTGCAGGAACGCGTCCCCCAAACATCCCTCCTGTTGGGAGATGTGTCGGCGCGCGCAAAACAGAGCGCACTTGGCATTGGCCTTGGACGCAAAGAGGTTCACCTCCGGACAACCCCACGCTTTGAAGAGCCTGTTCACCTCCTCTTGGTTGAGGGACCACTCGTGATTCGCAAGCGGATTCCTGCTGAGTGAATCCGCTAGCGTGTTCTCCTCCCCCGGAACATGTGTTGCTAACAAGTGTATATTTCTCTCCAGACACCAATCCCAGATCTGGAGAGTGAGATTCAACAGGGGGAGGGAGTGAGTGCCGCCCTGTTTGTTTAAGTAAAACATGACTGTGGTGTTGTCTGTGAGGATTTGGATGATCTGACCCCTTACGACCCCCTCGAAGGATTTCAGTGCTCTGTCTACAGCCAGTAATTCGAGAAGATTTATGTGTGATGTTTTTTCTTCTTCTGTCCACTCTCCGTGAGCGGTGAGACCTTGAGTATGAGCACCCCACCCCGAGAGGGAAGAATCTGTTGTAACTACACATGTCGGCTTGGGAGCATAAAAAGGGTGCCCCCTGCACACCCACCCTCTGTCTTCCCAACACAGAAGTGACTGGCGGACAGACTTGGGGATGGAAAGGTGAGTGTCTTGACTGCCTATTAGTGGGTTGTATGCCGATATGAACCATGATTGTAGCGGGCGCATACACAATCTGGCATACGGTATGACCACAGTTGCAGAAGCCATATGTCCCAAAAGTTTCTGGACCTGCTTGGCTGTAAGGCATGGAGCATGGACAGCTTGTTGGACCATGGCCTGCAGGTTGACAAATCGGTCCTCTGGAAGATAGGCCCTTTCGGTCGTGGAATCCAAAAGAGCGCCTATAAATTGGATTTGTTGAGTTGGGACCAGTGTCGATTTTTCCATGTTGATCACGAGTCCTAGCGACTGTATAAGAGACAAAATAATAGAAAGTTGTGACTGAAGTAGGACACGTGATTCGGCCACCACTAACCAATCATCTATATAGGGGTAGACCGAAATTCCCCTCGTGTGTAGGTATGCCGCCACAACAGACATACACTTAGTGAATACCCTTGGGGCAGCAGATAAACCAAAAGGTAAAACATTGAAACAAAATGGGCTATTCCCCACCATAAAAGAAAGATACCTACAATGATGTTTAGCAATAGATAAGTGAAAATAGGCATCTTTTAAATCAATAGTGGCAAACCAAGCTCCCTTAAATAATAAGGGCAATATAGTATTGAGAGTGACCATGCGAAACTTCCTTGGTCGAACATGTTTATTTAGTAACCTTAGGTCCAAAATAGGTCTCAATCCACCAGTACGTTTCTTAATCAGAAAATAACGCGAGAAAAAACAAAAGGAAACATCAACTGTAGTAAGGGGGGAAATAGCTCCCTTCTGTAGTAACATTTGAATCTCTTCCCATAACGGTTGGGAGAAAGGGGTACTTCGAACATGTCCAACCCTGGGAAGGTCTAGAAACTCAATAACGTAACCGTGGGCAACAATAGATAGGACCCACTTATCAGTGGTAATCCCCGCCCACATGTCATAAAAAGACGACAATCTGTCACCAAACATACATAACTGTGGAGTAGTGTCAACATAACTAGTGGAATTAACAACAGTAGCAACATCTATTGCCTTGATGGCCTCAGACCCAATGGTTGATGTGTCAATAGTAAGAATGTCAAAGACACTTTTTTGGATTTCCCTGTGGCTTCCCTTTGTTAGTCCAGGTCTGGGATCTCCCTCTGGAAAAATAGGAATTCCTTCTTCCCGATTGGAATCTATTGGTGGAGAAATTACGACCCCTATTTGATCCAGAGAAAGAATTCCCAGAATTCCTCCGGAAGTTGGAATTATAAGGATGCCAGCGCTGTCTCTGTTGAGAGTATGGCTGCCACGTGTAGCCAAATTTGTTTGCTGCTTGTCTCACATCCTGTTTTTCCTTAATCCTAACATCGGTCTCTGGATTAAAGAGTCCTTCCTCATGGAAGGGAAGGTCTTCCACCAGAGCCCTTCCTTCCTCAGATAAATTAGCAGAACACAACCAAGCATGACGTCTTATTGACGTAGCTGTGGAATACAAATTACCAGCCATCTCTGCAAGATGCTTGGCAAAATCCTTTTGAATCCTGGACAACACAATAGCTTCAGCCTGTAACGGTCTCGGGAAGCGTTGCTTGTCTAATGGGAGAAACTCAAAGTAAGGAAGTATTTTTGCCCACAAAAAGCTTTGGTACCCACTAAGATAGGTTGCATAGTGAGCCATCCGTGTAAGGAGGCCAGATGACAGGTGTGCCTTTTTACCCATGGTGTCTATCTTTTTTCCCTCCCTATCTGGGGGAGTGGTAAGTGTATTTTTTGGTCTCTGTCTTTGCTCCTTCTGCTACAACAGTATTGGGCCTGGGGGGAGTAATCACCCACTTATTAGAAGAGATATCAATCTTGTAAAGCACATCCAGCCTCCTTGGAATTGCAGGGACTGACATGGGAGATGTATACTACACGTGACAACTTCAGCAAGTAGGGCAATACCGGTAAGATAGTAGCAGGTGATGTTATCTGTTCATCAGAAGGGAACATGGGATCGTCTACATGTTCTGGTGCTTTTGGAGCGGGAAGATCTAAAGCTTTAATCATTCTACCTATCAGTACATTAAATTTATTAATCTCGGCAGTTTGCATTAGAGAAGTGTTATCATTGTCTCCCTGACAAAGATAATCAGGTACATCAGACTCCTCAGATGAACTGTCCATGTATCTGGTTAAATGTTCAACTTCCTCAATTTGAGAAGCAGCATCAGGACCTTGAGGGGTTGCATCACCTTGCGCATGAGTAGAAACTGGTTCATCATGTGCATCATTGATGGACGCTAGTGGCTCACTTGTTGGCCTCAAAGTGGCCATTCCAGCCATAGGAACGTTAATAGAATGTCTTGATGGATCCATCCCTACAGGAGATGAAGAAGATGCAGCTTGGCTCTGTGTTTCTTGTATCTCTTGAGACACACAATGGGGTCTTACACTTGAAATGGCTGATGTGGAGGGGCCCTGAACATCAGCAGGATGTACATCCAATCCTGGGTTCCCCACTCTTCTATGATGCGGATATCTCTGCCTTTTGTAATAGAGTCAGGAGTTTGCAAGGGCATCTCTTGGTTTAAACGCCCTCCTGACAGCAGCCTGGATGAGGATAGTAACCCATTGGAGGGTGGCCCCAATAAGGTGGATAATGGTAAAAACTATGCCTATGGCGCTTATGCTGCCTTGACCTCCTCGAAGGAGGGGAGGGGGAGCGTGAAGATGATGAAGAAGATGATTTTGACGATGATGACGATGAAGCAGAGGGGGAATGCCCATGCCCCCCCCCCCGCCTTGAAGCCGCCCGATGTCGGCGGCAGCAAGATCGAGAACTGCGCCTAGAAGGAGACCTGGAGCGTCTCGGGCGCTTGCTCCGTCTCCTCGATGTGCGTCTTGGCGAAGGCCTTTCTACAGACGCTGCAGCCCTTACTGGCGTTAATTCAATTGGATTGAGAGGTAAAGCCTCAGTCATTAGGGGAGGAGCTGAGCCCAACTGCCTCCATGCTCCATAAGCCTCAATATCGGCAGGAGGAGTCTTTGTGCGCTCCGCCACTTCAGCTGGAGCCGCAGCAGTAGGCGGGGCTGCGCTTGTGCGCCCCGCCCCCTTGTTCGGCTCGATCTCGGCGGCAGAGGGCTGAAAAGCAGGCAATGAGACCTCCGCCGCAAGCGTCTCTTCTCGAGCCCCAATCGCTGTCGGAGGCAATTTTGAGAGCGAAGCTGCTCCTGAGATCGAGGCCCCATCTCCCCAGAGGGTGGGGGTTGATTAGGCAGGAAAATCGGCATTGGAGGGGTGAGTTTTGCTGACCTCGGCTCCCCTTCGCGTTCCTTTTGGCTAGGAGTTATATTGACGCCTTTCTTGGCCAATAGAGGGGGTATGTCCCCCCTCTCCTTCGGTCTCGATAGGGTCTCAGCATTGTGATGGGCAGCTAACGAACTGCCCACTGCCCCAACAACGGCCGTTTTTCTGTTAACGGCCAAGCGGCCATCTTGGGCCCCTTTGTCTTTAGGCTTCTTTACCTTCTTCTTGGGGGCTATCAATTGCGCCTGAGGCGGGTCAATTTTAATAGGATCACTCGATGGTAGAAGTGCCCGTTCATAAAGGGCTGCTTTAAGTCTCAAAATCCTGTTTTTCCTTGCCTGCGGAGTAAAAGATTGGCAGACTGTACAGGATTGAAATAAGTGAGCCTCACCCAAACAAGCGAGGCAGAGGTCATGCCCATCATTGTCAGGTAAGACATTGGGGCATTTAGTACACTTTTTAAAAGAATTAGTCGCCATAATAGTAGGCAATAGATCATAAGAGATTGCTTTCCGTTAGTAAACTGTAGCTCGCAGAGCAGAAGGTTCTCCAGCTGATTGTCAGCGCGGATGAAGAGAACTGACGGTTGGCCCCGCCCACGGGCTATTTATACCAGGGGAAGGGGGACGTGGCCTAGCTAACTGTCATTCTTTTTGCTTTCAGAAGGTTCCAAATGCTGCTACGCAGGCGCAGAGAATACCAAATGTACGCATTCGCAGTGACTACGACAGGAAAATATAGATATCTAGAGATTTCCATTACCTGCATATCTGCATCTATATGTATACATTATTTTATATATGAATTTTCCTCTCACATGTTTGCAAGTCTCTGTAAATCTTATATATAGATATCAATAAGTATATAGAGGTACCTATATATCTGTATATCTGTGTATATGTATGTATATATACAAATAATTTTATTTATGAATTTTCCCTTCACATGTTTGCAACTCTTTGTAAATCCTATATAGATATAATTATCTATACATAGAGAGATGTCTCTATAGATATATATGAATATAGTTATATGGGGCTGGCAAATATTACAGGGGGGAAATGCACACACAAACATATATAAATATGTGTAGATATGAATATATTTAGGACATGCACACACACAAATAGAGAGATGACTAGACAGATATAAACATAGATGTATAGGGCTTGCAAATATTGCAGGAGGGAAAAGCACATATAGAGAGAGGGAATTTGCAAACGTTTCAGGGGGAAATGCATATGTGAAATTACTATATATAATTATAGGTCTATATCTATCTCTGCATTGTTTATATAGGCATCGAATGTTTGCCTGTTACTATGTTGGAAGCCGGTCAGAGTCCCCATGGGGAGATAGGAAGAGATAAATATAAAGTTTTTATTATTATTATTATTATTATTATTATTATTATTATTATTATTATGTTATTGTTGATACCATATTGTTTTCGTTGACATTACTTTTCCAATTACAGAGCTAGTTTACTGTTTTTCTTTGAAATACAGTAAATATTCAAAAACATTTCCCTACTTATGCCTCAATTAATGAAATTTTATTGGTATCTATTGTTATTTTTAAATTAACCAGAAGCTTCTGCATTTCCCATCCCCAGCTTATACTGAAACCAATATTTTCCCCAGTTTTTGGTGGTAAAATTAGGTGTCTCAGCTTATATTCAGTTTGGCTTATACTCGAGTGTATACAGTAATTTCAAATTTCAAACTGGTCTCCATTACCATGCTTCATATAACTGTGAGAATCACCATCAAGAAGTCAAAACCATAATTACCTGTGTGTCTGGTCCTTCCTCCGTGTACCTGTAGCAATTCATCCCTGAGTGTGCAACCTGGAAAAAGCAGGACAAACAAAACCTATCTCAAAGGACCAGCTAGTCTGGCACACCAGATAATACCTGATGGCCATCTTAGTCCTGGACTAAGAATTATCCTAAGAAACGTGACAACGGAATTAAAAGATTTGGAACTGACCAAGACTGTTCTCTTACCTTTAAGTTAGCAGAGCTCTTCAACAGCTCCTTCCCACTGAGCTGCTGCCTAGGGTACATGCCGCTGTCTGTGATTATCACCTGTGGGTTGTAAAGCAATGCTTTTGGGTATTGCTGTATGGCTATCCGTCTCCTCCCAGTAGACTTAAATCAAGCAAAAGTTTCATGAGAACCATCACTCCTCTTAATGATCCCCCAGCAAGAGCAAGAATATCCCTCTGGGCAGCAAAATCAGGCAATTCCAACTGGATTGCTCCCCACGAGGGTCTTCCTCTAGGGGTAAACCAAGAATGGGCAACTTGGAAGTCCCTGAACAGGCAAAAGTGGAGCAGGCAGATCAAAAGGCAACCTGGCAAAATGGCACGACCTAGAACAGTGTTTCTCAACCTTCCTAAAGCTGCATCTCCTTAATACAGTTCCTCATGTTGCACTGACCCCCAACCATAACATTATTTTTGTTGCTATCTGATAACTGTAATTTTACAATTGTTATGAATAGCTGCTGCATAAGCAGCGGATGAAAAGAACTGAGGCGGTGGCGCCGCCCACCTACTACTTATACTCGCAAGGGGAGAGTGGGCAGGGCCAACCACCAAAGTTTTTCAAATCTATCTAGAAGGTTCCGAAGCTGTCTGCTCAGGCGCAGAAACTACCATATGTGCGATTCACAGTTGACCACGATGGGAAATTTAAATATCTGATACGCAGGATGTATTTTCACACACTGGATCAAATTTGGCACAAATACCCAATACACCCAAATTTAAATACTGGTGGGGTTGGGGGGGATCGATTTTGTCATTTGGGAGTTGTAGTTGCTGGGATTTATAGTTATCCTACAATCAAAGAACATTCTGAACTCCACCAAAATTGGAACACAGAACTCTCATGGCCAACAAAAATACTGGAAGGGTTTGGTGGGAATTGACCTTGAGTTTTGGAGTTTCACCTACATCTAGAGAGAACTATGGACTCAAACAATGATGAATCTGGACCAAACTTGGCACGAATACTCAATATGCCCAAATGTGAACACTGGTGGAGTTTGGGAAGATAGATCTTGACATTTGGGAACTGTAGTTGCCAAATGTTCCCCCACAATCAAAGAGCATTCTGAACCCCACTGATGATAGAATTGGGCCAAACTTTCCACACAGAACCCCCATGACCAACAGAAAATACTGTGTTTTCTGATGGTCTTTGGTGACCCCTCTGACACCCTCTTGTGACCCTCCTCCCAGGGATCCCAACCCCCAGGTTGAGAAATGCTGACCTAGAACCCTCCACCTTGTGCGACTGCAGAGCAGAACAAACAATTCAGTATCTGCATGCTTGCCCACGATGCTCTGCTTCATGTACAGAGGAAGAACTGTTTAAAGCTACAGTTGCCTGTTTTTGGTCCAAAACCATTTAACTGCTTGTGCTCCCTTTATTTTATCAGTTTTGTACTTATTTATTCATGCAAGGCTTTTGACACAAAATAAATAAATAAACCTGAGGGTTTTCAATAGTATGAAAAAGGTGGAGCGGTGAGGCAAAACAGGGAGAGGTTTAATGAAATGCTGTTTCAATGCATGAGACGTAAACCTGTTCTCCATGCAAGCTTCACCTGAATGCAAACCCTTCAGGCATTCAGAATTGATAAAGGTAAAGGTAAAGGTAAAGGTTTTCCCCTGACATTAAGTCCAGCCGTGTTTGACACTGGGGGTTGGTGCTCATTTCTAAGCCGAAGTGCCAACGTCGTCCGTAGACACCTCCAAGGTCATGTGGCTGGCATGACTGCATGGAGCACCGTTACCTTCTCATAGAACCAGTACCTATTGATCTACTCACATTTGCATGTTTTCAAACTAGGTTGGCAGAAGTAAACTTATAGTAAACTTTATTTAATACCCCACCACCATCTCCTCAATGGGGACTCAGGGCAGCTTACATGAGGCCAAGCCCAACACTATATTGCCATAAAATAAAACCAAAACACAACAGCAACACAGTAAAATACATATGCGCAAGCGAACACTTCATACATCCAAGGAAACCATCTGCCAGGAGGCAGTTCTGAAATCTGCCACAGAAAAAGGCAATGTGGAATCCAGCATAACATTTCACGATGGACAAAGCAAGATTTTGCACACAAAATGCTGTGCCAAACAAAATGTTCCAGGCTTTCATATGCCATAAAACCCTTTGGGGTTTTAGTCTATGAAAGACAGTGCCATGGAATAACAAATAATAATAATCTATATAAATAAAAATGTAATGTTCGTTTGTGGGATTAACATAACTCAAAAACCACTGGGGGAATTGACATGAAATTTGGACACAAGACACCTAACAGTCCAACAAGTGTCCATCAACCCTAAACACACACACAACCCCAGCGGAACAGTCTTAAAAATACACTATCTATCTATCTATCTATCTATCTATCTATCTACATACATATACACTCATATACATATACACATGCACACATTCATTCATACACACACACACTGTTAGCTGGGGCTAACAGAGGGAGCTCACTCTGCTCCCCGGATTCAAACCTGCAATCTTTCGGTCAGCGAGTTCAGCAGCTCAGTGGTTTAACCCACTGCGCCACCGGGGTTTCACTGCAGAATCGATAGCCAAAAGGATTTGTATCGCTTTTCCCCCAGCTGAATTTTTTTCCAGTATAGGTTCTACTGGCCTCTGTAAAATCCACCAATCAAACAAATTTCAAAGATGGCTATTACTGGGAAAACCAGATCATTATCTCCTCTATGTTCCATTATCAAAGCTTTGAGAAGTTAGTTTTAGGAATGAAGCTTCCAGAACACCCCAACCAGCATCATTGGTCTGTTAAAAATCCATTTGTTGATCATCACACCAAGTGTTTTCCAGAATGGTAATGTGTACATGCTCAGAGATACACTGCTTTCCCAGAATGATGATTGGTGCATTTCTGACGTGCATAGCCTGACTTCAATTTATCTGACCTTATACAGGACGGAGCCTCTGCTGATGAGTTCGTGCCTCTGTAGATCAGCATGGATATATTCCGGATGGGCTAAAAGTATGGTGAGCCACATGTAGTTGAGAGAATTCTCTTCCGCCGTTTCCCCCACTACAGGCAAAAAAAGAAGGCCCTTTGCTCCACTTCAACCCATATGAAGCATTTATACTTATATAGAAACAGTTCCTTCACTGCATAAAAACCAAAATCCATAAATTTAAAGCAGAAAGCAATTTGGGATGCTATATTCAAAACGGAGTCAAAGCCTTGGTTTTAACAATAAAATGTGCACTTTGTGCTGTTGAGAGCTTTCATGTCCAGAATCACTGGGTTGCTGTGAGTTTTCTGGGCTGTCTGGGGCCATGTTCCAGAAGCATTCTCTCCTGGAGTTTCACCCACACCTATGGCAAGCCATCCTCAGAGGTTGTGAGGTCTGTTGGAAACTACGCAAGTGGGGTTTATATATCTGTGGAATGTCCAGGGTGGGAGAAAGAGCTCTTGTCTGTTTGAGGCAAGTGCGAATGTTGCAATTGGCCACCTTGATTAGTATTAAATGACTGTACAACTTCAAAGCCTGCCTGGTTGCTACCTGGGGAAATCCTTTTGTTATTTGGGAGTTGTAGTTGCTGGGATTTATAGTTAACCTACAATCAAAGAGCATTCTGAACCCCACCAATGATGGAATTGAACCAGACTTGGCAGACAGGACTCCCATGACCAACAGAAAATACTGGAAGGGTTTGGTGGGCATTGACCTTGAGTTTTGGAGCTGTAGTTCACCTGATGGGGGAAATAGACCTTGACATTTGGGAGTTGTAGTTGCTGGGATTTATAGTTCACCTACAATCAAAGAGTATTCTGAGCCCCACCAATGACAGAATTGGGTAAACTCAAACAGTGATGGATCTGGACCAAACTTGGCACGGATACTCAATATGCCCAGATGTGATCACTGGTGGAGTTTGGGCAAACAGACATTAACATTTGGGAGTTGTAGTTGCTGGAATTTATAGTTCATGTACAGTCAACGAGCATTCTGAACCCCAATGGTAGAATTGGGCCAAACTTCCCACACAGAACCCCCATAACCAACAGAAAATACCTTGTTTTCTGATAGTCCTTGGCGACCCCTCTGACACCCCCTCCTGACCCCCCCAGTGGTCCCCACCCCCAGATTGAGAAATGCTGCCCTAATATATAGAAACTGTCCCTACAAATCAACTTCTGCTTCAGTCCCCATAATTCCAGCAATGCAGGGAGTGAAACCCTGAAAATCCTTCAAACCTAGAATTCTTCAAATGCTTTTGGTCAAATGCGCCAGTTCCTTTTCTCTGGATGGTGTTTTTAAAAAGTCAAGTGAACCTTTAAGCTACTGCGAGGTTAGGAATGTGAGGCAAATGCCGTGGGGAGGGGGGATTTTATTGGGGGACAATGCCATTATCTCCCGCATCATCTTACTGCTCTGTTTGGTCGTCCGGATGCTCAAGTACACAGAGAAAAAGAAAGTTTGTTCCTTGTCCAAGTAGATGGTTTTTGGCAGCACATTATTGGGCCTGAGATTGTAGATCTTCACATAGTTGGCCATGTCAACATAGATGCCTCCAGAAGATTTCATGTTGCTGGCCAAGTAGTAGTAGTATTCCTGGAAAGAGTTGAATGCAACTCAGTTAGGCATATCAACCATCCAATCTATATATATATATAATGGTTCCTGTCATAATGAGTGGCTTAAAAAGAAAAGAACTACTGGGCCAATACCCATCAAATTTGGCAACAAAACTCCTCACCATACAAGGTGTGACCATCAATAATAAATAACAAAAGAAAAAACTTACAAATCCTAAAAAAGGAGAAGATGCCACTGGGCATGCGTACAGGGAGGGGGAGTGCGCTCGCTCGCACACAGGGCAGCTCCACGTGGCGAAGCCTGTGCTGGCAACGGCCTGGAGTCAGCCTCAGCTCCTCGAGGTTCTGCAGCGGGAAGGCACTCACCAGCCTGACCAAGTCAGCTGGAGGCAGAGAGGCCTCTTCTTCCTCCTTCTCCCTCCTGCCTCGGGAGTAGGGATTGGAAATCAGTATGCCGGAGGAGAAAGAAGAGGAGGTGGTGGTCCGATTTTCCAGCAGGAAGGAAGGCAAGGCCAAGGAAAGGAACTTCCATTTTAATGCTCTGCCATGCAAATTGTAGTCTACACTCTTTCCCTTTCCTCTTTCATCCCCTTCCTTCCTTCCTTTTATTCCTTCTTGCTCTCTCCCTCATCCTTCTCTCCCTCCCTTCTCTCTTCCCCCATTTCCTTCCTTCATGTCTTCCCTTCCTCCTCTCCTCCCTCATCCTTCCCCTCTTTCCTTCTCTCTTTCCTTGCCTCCCTCCCTTCTCTCCTTCCCTTCTATCATTCCTCCTTCCCTTYTTCCTCCCTCTTTASCTCTCCCCTTGGGTGCCGCCATCATGGRGTTCCAGTAAGMCYYGCCCCTAATGARGCAGAGTGTGCCGAGGAAGGAAGAAGGAAGGAAGGAAGGAAGGAAGGAAGGAAGGAAGGAAGGAAGGAAGGAAGGAAGGAAGGAAGGAAGGAAGGAAGGAARGGGAGAGCCCAGTTCYRCCTCCTCATTAATWRCAGSTGAGCTGGACATCCAAGCAGCCCCCAAGGTCAATTTCCCCCAATTTCYACCAGAATTYAYATTTGGCCATGTTGAGTATWMAWCCCAAGTTTGGTCCCRATCCAGCYTTCTTTCCCAKTGCTATCCRGATGAACAATTTCTCCTCCCCCTCCCCCTCCTCATTCTCTCATCCACYCCAACTCCTCCTTCCTTCCCTCCTTCSTTCCTTCCCTTCCTTTCTCTACTTCCTTCTCCTTCCTTTAATTCTTTGCCTCCCTGCCTTCCCTCCTTCCTCTCCCTCCTTCTTYSCTTTCCTWTTCTCCATTACTCCTCYCACCMTTWCTTTCCTYCCMTYMYTTYCCTTCCYYCCTTTCTTTCCTTCCTTTYYCTYCCCCCMCACACCATATATAATTACAATACTTTTTATATTACTGTTATATATACTGCTATATAATACATAAATATTATATATATTATTGCTATATGTATTACTATATAATATGTTACTATTATATATTACAATATTAAATAGACTTATAGAATAGAGTTAGAAGGGATTCTACCGTGTTATTGGGGGAGAACAGACAGGAAAGAAGGAAGGAGGGAAGGCAGGAAGGAGAGAAGGAAGGAAAGAAAGGTACCAAAGAAAGGAAGGAAGGAAGAAGATAAGAAGAAATGAAAGGAAAGGCAGGAAAGAGGTAAAGAAGGAAGGAGAAAAGGAAATAAAAAGTGAAAGAAGCAAGGAAACAGAAGGAAGAAATGAGACAAAGGAAGAAGTAGAGAAAGGGGGAGGGAAGGAAGGAAAGAGAGAATGAAGGATGAAACCAAAGAGTGAAAGAAGGAATGAAAGAAACAGGTAGAGAAGGAAGAAAGGAGAAAAAGGGGAAGGGAAAGAAAAAGGGGGGAAGGAATAGGTTGGTACCTCTCTTTCATAACAGTCCAGATATCTACCTCTACTTCGAAAATTCTTACTACAGGCCACAGCAACGCGTGGCAGGGCACAGCTAGTCCTATATATGGCCATAGGAGTGCTAGTATTATTAATGGGTCGGTTTACACTTTCCTTTTCCTTATGTGTTTGTTATTATGTATTGAATCAGCTGCTCCTGCTTTGATTCAAATGGGAGAGGTAGGTAAGAAAAGAGGTAGGCCTTTTGCAGAAAAGGTGTGTCTGCAGCAGAACTTTTCAAAATAAAAGCAATCACTCCATTCAGACAATGATAATCCTGTAAGATGAGTACCTGAAATAGGAACTCTATGCCAACTATATAAATACGTCACATAGTCTTATTGCTATTAGTAAGGAGCCACCAGTGGTGCAATGGGTTAAACACTTGTGCCGGAAGGCATGCTGACCAAAAGGTCAGCGGTTCGAATCCAGGGAGTGGGGTGAGCTCCCATCTGTCAACTCCAGCTTCTCATGTGGGGACATGAGAGAAGCCTCCCACAAGATGGTAAAAGATCAATCATCCAGGCGCCCCTTGCAGATGGCCAATTCTCTCACACCAGTAGCAACTCATTATATTATTAAGATATGCCTGGAATTAATCTTTGGGGAGAGGGGTCTTTGTGGGGAATCATTCCCAAGACTGTTTTTTTTTTTCCTTACTGCATCTTGCTTCTTGTTCTTCCACCAGCGCCACGTGGGGTCATGGACTGGATCGGCATAAGACTGGCAAGATAAAAAAAACTTGGTAAGGAACAGTTTGAAGACAGAGGGAGAAAGAGAAAAAATCCATCTAGGCAAGAACAACTGTCCTCACTCTGTGGTAAGCTGAGTGCAGCTGGAGTAGCTGGTAGACCAGACCCTGGTATACAACCAGCGCCTTCACATCATAGAAGTTTGTTTTCTCCATGACTTCTGGTGGCTTGGCACGGTAATGCTCCATCCGAGTATAGCGCTGTGGGAATGGCAAATCCACAAAGCGGAGCACGGCAAATGGGCAACGGTGGGTGAATCTAATGTAGCTTATCCGACTGGGGAGAAAGAAGCAGACACATCAGACAAGGTTCTGAACATTGTGGTCTCTGCCCATTGGGAATGCTGCTTAGAACTAGCATGTGGAATATGGGGCCCTCCAGAACAGCGAGTTGCTTACCTCACACACACACAGCCTTTATTGGCATACAACAACAACACCACAACACAGGCACAGAAAAAAAAGAGGAAGTCACAGATAAAAATGAAAGCAGAATGAAAGTGTTACTAATCTCCAGAATTAAATTTGCAACACAAAAGAATGCCCTAGTATACCTTGCTATATTAGCCCAGCCCTCCCATAGTTATCGAGGCCCACTCTCGAATCTTGGCCGTAGGAAACCGAACTTGCCCAATGGAATTAGCATTGAACTGTTTTTTTTTAATTTTAAATATGTATGACTATTTTATAGTATTATGTCTATAATGATTGAAGCCCCCGGTGATGCAGTGTGTTAAAATGCTGAGCTTGTTGACCGAAAGGTCGCAGGTTCGAATCCGGGGAGCGGCATGAGCTTCCGCTGTCAGCTCCAGTTTCTGCCAACCTAGCAGTTCACTGCTATACAGATAAATAGCAGGGAAACGTAGTTTCAGTAGAATATGGGGAACTTAAAAAGCTTAAAAAGTTATAGAAGACTTTATTCAAAGAATTACATACCTAGGTAGGAAAGTTAAGAAGGTCTATCTATCTATCTATCTCCGCAGGGGAGCCCCCAGTGGTGCAGTGGGTTAAACCACTGAGTTGCTAATCTTGTTGACCAAAAGGTTGCAGGTTCGAATCCGGGGAGCGGCAAGAGCTTCCGCTGTCAGCCCCAGCTTCTGCCAACCTAGCAGTTCGAAAACATGCAAATGCGAGTAGATCAATAGGTACCGCTCCGGCAGGAAGGTAAGGGCACTCCATGCAGTCATGCAGTCCACATGACCTTGGAGGTGTCTACGGATAACACTGGCTCTTCGACTTAGAAATGGAAATGAGCACCACACCCCAGAGCCGGAAATGACTGGACTTAATGTCAGGGGAAAACCTTTACCTTATAATGATTACTTGTAATTTTTATGTCTGTAATTTCAGTGTTTGACCTATACTGGAAACCATCCAGAATCTCCTTGGGGAGATAAAGCGGTATACAAATAAAATATTGTTGTTGTTGTTGTTGTTGTTATAGTTGGACAGTAAGCTAGGCTGAAGTTTGGGTGCTCACCCTGACCCGGACTCAAACTGCCAACCTTTCGGTTGGGAAAGATCTATTGCTGGTGATTAAAAAGAACCTTAAAACCTGGCTCTTCTGCTGCGCCTTTGGTGAATAGGTATTCAATCCCACATTATCGCTCAGTCTCAATGCTCTGTCATTAGAGTATACGTCCGTCCGTCCGTCCCCCCGCCTCGTGGGAAAGCCTGATTCCATAACCCCCGCTATAATGAGCCCCCCTCCGCAAATAATCTGTTTCTCTTTTATCTCACCCGAGTTTTTAACTAGCTTTAATTAGCTCCTCTTTTAATCATTACATGTAGCCCGCCCATTGTTATTGGGTTGTTTCTACTGTAATTTTATATTATTATGTATTCACATGTTTTATGTAATCATGATGTTGTTTATTGTTCGCTTTTTTGGTTTGCGTTTCGGTTTCTCTTTATTGTAATTGTTGTTTGGGCTTGCTCCCATGTAAGCCGCTCCAAGTCCCCATTGGGGAGATGGTGGCGGGGTATAAATAAAGATTATTATTATTATTATTATTATTATTATTAACTAGCTGTGCTCAAGCCCGGCCCCACACCTTGTGCGTTCACAACTCACTTGTGCGTCATTCCTTTGTGTGGAGTGCTGATCATCTGGTCATAGGTCAGGATATGATCCAGAGGGAATTTCCTCTTGATTAACTTTCCAGTTGTTCCAGGATCCTCTTTATAAATCAGCTTTTAAAAAATGGGGCCAAGGACAATCATTTTAGCCTGGAGCGACCAGATACCCAACACACAAATGACTATCTCCACACTTCCTCCATAATGTATAATTATGCAACTCTGTAATATTTAGTTCCGCTATACTGCCACAGACTTCAAGCCAAAGGAAAGCTATCACAGGGTTTTCTTGGCATGATTTGTTCTGAGGGGTTTCTCCATCATCTTCCTCTGAGACTGAGAGAGGGTTGGTGATGAGATTGTTTTATGGTTTTAATAACTGTTTTGATATTTGATGATGTACTGTTTTTAATATGATTTATGTTTAAAGTGTGGCTTTACTGTTGTAGTTGTAAGGCATTTAATTTAAAGTCTGATCAAGATCTGAACATGAAACCCCTGGCCCTACCACTACTCCTTTTTGGAAAGTCTGATCTGGTCCACGCTCTGGTTACATCCCGAATAGATTACTGCAATGCGCTCTACGTGGGGCTGCCTCTGAAGACGGTTCAGAAACTTCAGTTAGTTCAACGGGCGGCAGCCAGATTACTAACTGGGGCTGCATACAGGAAGCATACCACCCCCCTGTTATGCCAGCTCCACTGGCTTCCGGTCCATCTCCGAGCCCATTTCAAAGTGCTGTATAAAGCTCTATACGGTTTGGGCCCAGCTTACTTGTCCGAACGCATCCACCCCTACGTCCCACCTCGCAATTTAAGATCATCTGGGGAGGCCCTGCTCTTGCTCCCGTCAACCGTGCAAATGCGGCTGGCGGGGACGAGGAGCAGGGCCTTCTCGGCTGTGGCCCCCCGCCTATGGAACACACTCCCAAAGGAGGTAAGATCTGCTCCCTCACTCCTGACCTTTAGAAAAAAATTAAAATCATGGTTCTGGGACCAGGCCTTCGGACAATAGATGTATATGCAGCTTTTAGTGGGATAAGGACTGGAACAGTAACTCGACTGATGAGATTGTTTTATGGTTTTAATAACTGTTTTGATATTTGATGATGTACTGTTTTTAATATGATTTATGTTTAAAGTGTGGCTTTACTGTTGATGTGCGAATATTGTGTATTATGTTTTTATGGTTTTAAATTGCATACTGTTGATTGTTGTATTTTGTTGTAAACCGCGTTGAGTCACCGGCTAGGCTGAGAAACAGCGGTATACAAGTATAGCAAATAAATAAATAAATAAATACTGTTGTAGTTGTAAGGCATTTAATTTTTGCCATTATCTATGTGTAAACCGCTTTGAGTTTTACACCCCTCGGGTGTAAAACCCCTCGGGGTGAGAAAAGCGGTATATAAATACTGTAAATAAATAAATAAATAAATACATTTTTCAAATGTCAAAAACCACAGCAAAGGAAACCCACCTCTTGCATCCCATCCTTATCAAAAAAAACAGTGACTAGAGAATGATTGGCAGCCAAATCATAATCTGGTGAGCCTTCCATCACTTGCAGTGTATTGTACACGTTCCAGGCATCTGAGGGATACGCTTTTTTGACCTCTGTGCTGCCCTCTTTCATAACCCAGACCTTGAATTGGGGGGAGAGAAGTGCTCAATTAAAATCTCTCTTTTCACACACAGAGAGCAGTGGGGCATTTCCCTGAATCTTTCCCCACCAATTCCTTTTTGCAGTGGTCACTGATAGAAAAAGAAAAGCAACAAACAACACGACTAACGCTAAAAACAGAGACCTGTAAAACATTAGCAATGAATTACTTTGAAAAACAATTTTCAATGATCCAGGCTTAGCTCACCCAGTCTCCGCACAACTAGGCCGAGAGAAAAGTATGGTCCATGACATTTTCAGAAACCATTCAAAAGTTGGGTTGCTGAGTTTTCCGGGCTGTATGGCCATGTTCCAGAAGCATTCTCTCCTGATGTTTTGCACACATCTACGGCAAGCATCCTCAGAGGTTATGAGGTATATTGATACTTACTTGCTTAGGCAATCCCTCATAGCCCAAGAATGGTGGTCCTTCAAGTCTGGTGTTTTGGTGGTGGGTTTGTAGCTGGCTGTGCAGCCCTATTCTTGATCTGCATGTTCTCCCACAGTAAGGACATCGATTTCCAGTCAACTCAGCTGGACTGGTCACTTTGTCGGAATGCCCGATCACCGTCTCCCAAAGTAGTTACTATACTCCCAACTCAGGAACAGGAAATGTAACGTTGGTGGACAGGAAAAGAGATTTAAAGGTGGGCTTAAAGCCAACTTTAAAAACTGTGGAATAGACACCGAGAACTGGGAAGCCCTAGCCCTTGAGTGCTCTCACTGGAGGTCAGCTGTGACCAGCAGTGCTGCAGAATTCAAAGAGGCATGAATGGAGAGTGAAAGGGAGAAACGTGCCAAGAGGAAGGTGCATCAGGCCAACTCTGACGGGGACCACCTTCCAACTGTATATTAGAACATTGCTTCTAACAAACAAGAGTTCTTTCTCCCACTCTAGACCTTCAACAGATATATAAGCCTCCCTTGTCTAGTTTCCAATATACTTCACAATCTCTGAGGATGCCTGCCATAGATGTGGGCCAAATGTCACAAGAGAATGCTTCTAAAACATGGCATACAGCCCGGAAAACTCACAGCAACCCAGTGATCCTGGACATGAAAGCCTTTGACAAGATATCTGTGGAACGTCCAGGGTGGGAGAAAGAACTCTTGTCTGTTGGAGGCAAGTATGAATGTTGCAACTGGTCACCTTAAAAAACAGAGGAATTCTTGACATAAAAAATCAGGGCCAGTTAACACCTCCCAACACAGGATTCTCCCAGGCAGGAAGCAGTCAGTCTTTGAAGTTGCAAAGCCATTCAATGGTAATCAAGGCCGGTGGCGCAGTGGGTTCAACCCCTGTGCCGGCAGGACTGATGACCGACAGGTTGCAGGTTCGAATCCGGGGAGAGGCGGATGAGTTCCCTCTATCAGCTCCAGCTCTTCATGCGGGGACATGAGAGAAGCCTCCCACAAGGATGATAAAAAAATCAAATCATTCATGCGTTCCCTGGACAACGTCCTTGCAGACAGCCAATTATCTCACACCAGAAGCGACTTGCAGTTTCTCAAGTCGCTCCTGACACAACAAAAAAAAAGCAACCAATTGCAACATTCACACTTGCCTCAAGCAGACAAGAGTTCTTTCTCCCACCCTGGACATTATTGCACAGATATATAAACCCCACTTGCCTAGTTTCCAACAGACTTCACAACCTCTGAGGATGCTTGCCGTAGATGTGTGCAAAACATCAGGAGAGAATGCTTCTGGAACATGGCCATACAGCCTGGAAAACTCACAGCAACCCAGTGATTCCGGCCATGAAAGCCTTCTACAACACATTCGAGAGTTGTAACCAACAGATGAAATTCAAGAAAAACATGCAAGCCAAATCTGGCCAAATTATGCCCACAGAGAAGAAGAGAACTCCTCATCCCATATCTATCTACAAGCAAACAGGAGCAGGCTAGCCTTGCTCAGCTACTTTGATAGTAAATAATCCATTAGTAATTAATTAATTCAATGAATCCTTTTCTTGTTTCAGTCATGGATGTCAACAGTGCTGAAAGCAATCAACTCTTAGTCTCCTTCCAACATGCTGCTACTGATTTTGCTATATTTAAGGTGATGTTTCACATTCTGGGAGCCCCATTGGTGCAGCAGGTCAAACTGCTGAGCTGGTGAACTTGCTGACCAAAAGGTCAGTGGTTCAAATTCAGGGAACGGGATGAGCTCTCGTTGTTAGCCCCAGCTTCTGTCAATCTAACAGTCGAAAACATGCAAATGTGAGTAGATCAATAGGTACTGCTTCTGGAAGTAGGTAACGGCATTCCATGCAGTCATGCCGGCCACATGACCTTGGAGGTGTCTATACACAACGCCAGCTCTTCAGCTTAGAAATGGAGATGAGCACCATCCCCCAGAGATGGATACGACTAGATTTAACGTCAGGAGAAACCTTTACCTTTACCAACACATCCTGACATAAATAAACAACAATGCCTCCACTTCCCATAACAATTAGCTACTGGGTCCACAAGGAAAATAAACACACGTACCTCATCTGCGTCCGTCACAAATGCAATGTTCCCAGTAAAGGACATAACAAAATATTTGATGGGTGAGTCTCCCCGAAAGTTGGACAAATATATGTAACTTGCCATGTCATTGCTGTCAAGGAAAGTCGGGGGGGGGGGGGGGGCGGGGTAGACATTTTGTACAAATGTTATCAGCAAGGGGTTGTTGTAGGTTTTTTCAGGCTATATGGCCATGCGTCTAGAGGTATTTTCAAAAGAGGTGAGGTCTGCTGGAACTTGCCATAGATGCAGGCGAAACGTCAGGAGAGAATGCCTCTAGAACATGGCCATATAGCCCGAAAAAACCTACAACAACCCAGTGATTCCGGCCATGAAAGCCTTCGACAATACGTTATCAGCAATATATAAAGATGAGCAGGTTCTTCTGCTCCCAGAAAGTGAGTAGGGTTGGGGCAGATGGGGGAATGTGAACATAAATGATAAATGTAGCCAGGTAAACTAGCAGTAGAAGTAGGAATAATGAGAAGAATGGGCAAGGAAAAATGTATCTGGAATTGGGAAGCGGAGGAAGGACAAAGAAGCAATAAGTTTAAAAAACGAGTGAGAGGAGTACAACTAGATCAGGTATGGGCAAACTTGGGCCCTCCAGGTGTTCTGGACTCCAACTCCCGCCATTCCTAACAGCCTCCGGCCCTTTTCCTTAAGCTTAAGCGCCGGGGGGAGGGGGGGAGGGGGGGAGGATGGGGCCTGAGGCTGTTAGGAATGGTGGGAGTTGAAGTCCAAAACACCTGGAGTGCCCAAGTTTACCCATACCTGTACTAGATGGAAGAGGAGAAGATGTTTCGTCAGTAGTTGTAGAAGTGAGAGTGAAGAAATGGAAAGAGGACAAGAGTGAAACAAAAGGGCGTAGAAAGAGAGGAATGAATGGTTTATTGTACTAGCCATAGGCCATGACATAAAATATACAACCTTTGGAAGTACAATAAGCACTTTTCAATATAAGTATTAAAACAAGTTCCGTACACAGGCTCTTTAAAATTATAGTAGTAGTGACATAATAACAATTACAAATGTCTGACTTGTATCATCCCCAAAATACCTTAATTTCCATTTCTAGCTTCTGCTGTGGGCTTTACGAGTTTGGCTTGAATTTTTTTGGGCTGCGAATGCCAATGTGGCAACCTTTAATGTTATATTTTTGGAATAATCTACTAACAAGTCACAGATAACTGCTGACTGTTGCCATGCTGCCCTTTCTCCCAAAAGGGCTCCCAGAAGATTGTTTCGAGGGTCATTATACAGTGGGCAATGTAAGAGATACTCAGTTCTTGTGGGTTTTTTCGGGCTATATGGCCATGTTCTAGAGGCATTTCTCCTGACGTTTCGCCTGCATCTATGGCAAGCATCCTCAGAGGTGAGGTCTGCTGGAGCTAGGAAAAAAGGGGTTTATATATCTGTGGAATGATCAGGGTGAGACAAAGGGCTTTTGTAAGTTGGGCTAGGAGACAAAAGCCCTTTGTCTCACCCTGGTCATTCCACAGATATATAAACCCCTTTTTTCCCAGTTCCAGCAGACCTCACCTCTGAGGATGCTTGCCATAGATGCAGGCGAAACGTCAGGAGAAATGCCTCTAGAACATGGCCATATAGCCCGAAAAAACCCACAAGAACTGAGTGATTCCAGCCATGAAAGCCTTCGACAATACAATGTTAGAGATAGTGTGTTAAATCCTCTCTTTCCCCGGACCCATAAATACAAAGACGTTGGGCATGAGGAATCCCTCTATGTCCTCCCTCTAACCAGCCTGATGGCATTGTTTGAAAGAGCAGGGCTGTAAATGCTTTTCTAAGGGCTAAATCTTGAAGATATTGTTGGCAATGTTAGTCACTCTTTAGTAGAGGATACCAAGTGGAGAAACCCTGCTGTTTACTAGTCCGCAAGTTGTCAATTACATCCATCTCAAAGATTTTGTCTCTAATCGCCTTCTTGTTCAACTGCATTAGGGTTATTGTTGACCCATCAAAATACTGGTGGAGCAGAGGATGTTTAGCTAGGAGTTGTGGGGAAAAGACTAATGCAAGAGGGAAAGTTGGGCCATATTCAAATCAGCAGGTTTGGAGCAGCAAGTCTTACCTTTGCAAGATAACATTCCCCCAGATGTAGAATATCTTACTGAAGGGGTTTAAAGCCAAACCTCTTGGTTCGAGGGTTCGATTTGTATAATGCTCGTTCCCTAGTAACAGTACGAAACCCCCATCGGAGGCAGCTAAGGAGGTAACAGAAAGAAAGGCATGGAACGTGGAAACGCGCCGTGACCTTATAGCTGTCCAGCAACAGCACATCCCAATAAACCAGACACAAAGTCTTCCTCGCTACAGTGCAAAATGGACTGCGTTTCTATTTAACTGCCTCCAAATAGGCAGTTATGCAAAGAACCATATGCAAATCTTTGTTTCCCCCTTTCTCATCTTGTCTTGATGATATATGATATGACTAGCCCTCTCAGCGTACACCATGTTTGCAGAACCGTGATATCCCATGAAAGCTAAAGCTAACAGCAAACACGAAGACACATTGAATATTAACTAGGTATTTTTAATTACAAAAAATTTGAGTCAAGCACTGAAAGGCTTAAATGAATGCAACAACTCAGCAAACAATACAGTTCAATATAAGCAGGTACACCTGTAGCTTAGTAGCCGTCAGTCTGAGAGAGTCCTCAGTGGAAGAAAGGCCTCAGTGTTAGTAGGCCTCAGTATGAGAAGGCCTGGTGTAAGAAGCTTCTGTGAGAGAAGCCCAGGTTGAAGGCCTTGTGTATAAAGCTCCAGTGTGAAGGTTGCTGTGTGTAAAAGGCTACCGCGTGAAGCTCCTGCGTATGTTTAGTGTGAGAAGAGGCTCTGTGAGAGTGAAGCTGTTTATTTGCATGAGAAAGAAGCCCAGCTTGGAAGCAAGAAGGAAGTATAAAGAACTTTATTTGTGTTATGGAAATCTTGTTCTTGTAAATAGTACAACCATATTATTTTGCTATAAAAATCCTCCTAAGGAAGAGATAACGTTGGTCTGTGTGTTTTTGTTCATTTTATCACTTTGGGCTACTGGTGCTGGGTCACACTGCTGCTGGTAAGTTACTCTGCTATGCACTTATGAGGAGGGTGTTTTGTTTATAAGACCACTCACCCAACAGATTCCTCATTCTATAATGTGATTTCAAGGGCTCATATCTTCCCCTGTCAAATCAAACAAATGAAGCAGGCCTGCCACAACTTTAGATTCCTACACAATTTCAGAGGGTGGGCTGCTGGCACTATCAATGAATGTAGACTGCCTAGATGCAGTCTTTTAAATGGAACATCGAAGTCTGCCCTGTTACAGATCCTGTGGTTCTTACCTCTGGGTATCAATACGGGGATGTCATATAGATGCTTATAATACATATCTGGAAATGGAATAGAGAAAAGAGGCACATGAAGATCTATATAAATAAAAATGTAATGTTCGTTTGTGGGATTAACATAACTGAAAAACCACTGGACGAACCAACGCGAAATTTGGACACAAGACACCTATCAGGCCAACGAGTGACCATCACTCATAAAAACACTGAAAAACACAGCAGAGGGGACTTAAAAAGCCCCAAAAGCTACAGTGCATGCAAAAATGACTCCCCTGGCAAACAAAACACACAATAGCATATCCACACTCTCTTCCGGACTACAGCTCCCAGCATCCCCTAGACCAGGCCCTTTAGGAGAGGATGATCCAAATGCACTGCTTCCAAGATGCAAGCTTTCTTCTCCTTGGATTTCTTTGAGAGCATCCCAATCCCTGCATATTTCCAGTTTACTATTCCTAGACTGCAACTCCCAGCAATCCTCCAGATAGATAAGATAGATAGATTACATATAGATAGGTAGGTAGATTGATCAGGAGGACTGCTGAGAGTTGCAGTCCAAGAATAGGGAGAGAAGGAAGAAAAAGGAGAAAGAAGCAGGGGGGGGGAGTGGGGTGGGGGGGGAGGAAGGGAAGAGGAAGAGAAGGAAGGAAGGAGATAAAGGAGGAGAGAAAGGGGGAGGGAAGTTTGGCCACAGCAACGCGTGGCGGCTATAGCTAGTGTGAAATAAAAATGCTAATTTGTTGCTCATTTCGGTCACTAGGTGCTCCTACGATCTTTGGCTCCTGCTCAGACCTAGGGTTTCGTTCATTCATTCATACACACAACAATAGTTCAGATCCCCCATATTTGAAGTATGCAGGGTGACAGTTTAACAATGGCAAAACAAATGGCACACTAATCAATCCCTTCACATGAAGTTGTTGTTGTTCATTCGTTCAGTCGTCTCCGACTCTTCGTGACCTCATGGACCAGCCCACGCCAGAGCTCCCTGTCGGCCGTTACCACCCCCAGCTCCCTCAAGGTCAGTCCAGTCACTTCAAGGATGCCATCCATCCATCTCGCCCTTGGTCGGCCCCTCTTCCTTTTGCCTTCCACTTTCCCCAGCATCATTGTCTTCTCTAGGCTTTCCTGTCTCCTCATGATGTGGCCAAAGTACTTCAACTTTGCCTCTAGTATCTTTCCCTCCAGTGAGCAGTCGGGCTTTATTTCCTGGAGGATGGACTGGTTGGATCTTCTCGCAGTCCAAGGCACTCTCAGAACTTTCCTCCAACACCACAGCTCAAAAGCATCGATCTTCCTTCGCTCAGCCTTCCCTAAGGTCCAGCTCTCACATCCGTAGATTACTACAGGGAATACCATGGCTTTGACTAGGCGGATCTTTGTTGCCAGTCTGATGTCTCTACTCTTTACTATTTTATCGAGATTGGACATTGCTCTCCTCCCAAGAAGTAAGCGTCTTCTGATTTCCTGGCCAGTCTGCATCTGCAGTAATCTTTGCACCTAGAAATACAAAGTCTGTCACGGCCTCCACGGTTTCTCCCTCTATTTTCCAGTTGTCCATCATTCTTGTTGCCATAATCTTGGTTTTTTTGACGTTTAGCTGCAACTCAGCTTTTGCGCTTTCTTCTTTCACTTGATTAGAAGGCTCCTCAGCTCCTCCTCGCTTTCGGCCATCAGAGTGGTGTCATCTGCATATCTGAGGTTGTTAATGTTTCTTCCAGCAATTTTCACCCCAGCTTTGCATTCATCCAGCCCCGCACATCGCATGATGTGTTCTGCATACAAGTTAAAAAGGTTGGGTGAAAGTATGCAGCCTTGCCGTACGCCATTCCCAATCTTGAACCAGTCTGTTGTTCCGTGGTCAGTTCTGACATGAAGTAGTGAATACCAAATTACACATGAAGTAGTGAATACCAAATTACACCATAGGTGCACCTTGCCCAGAATGATCTTTCCTGACTAATTGCAGCCTTTCTGTATCTTTCCACTTCTATTAACTCACTGGGAATAAGCTGCCTTTGTTCTAGTTTACGCAGAGACAAAATTGATTTATGCAAACTATGTGGCTGTGCAGTATATGGAATTGTCCATTTCACTTAATACTATTTCCTATGTTGATTGGCAGCAGCACTCATGTTTCAAACAAAAGTCTAGCTCAGCGCTTCTCAACCTCAGGGTTGGTACTGGGGGGGGGGGGGGTCAGGAGAGGGTGTCACGGGGTTGTCAAAGACCACCAGAAAACACATTATGAGTGTGTGAGGATGGAGGGAGCCGTGCGCCAGTGAGTCCCTTCAAGACATGGTGGTTCTGTGTGGAAAGTTTGACACAATTCTATCATTGGTGAGGTTCAGAATGCTCTTTGATTATAGATGAACTATAAATCCCAGCAACTACAATTCCCAAATGTCAAGGTCTATTTTCCCCAAACTCCACCAGTGTTCACATTTGGGCATATTAAGTGTTCATACCAAGAGTCCACAGTGCTCTTTGCATGGAGGTGAACTACAACTCCAAAACTCAAGGGCAATGCCCATCAAACCCTTCCAGTATTTTTTGTTGTCATGGGAGTTCTGTGTGCCAATCTTGGCTCAATTCCATCATTGGTGGAATTTAGAATGCTCTTTAATTGTAGGTTAACTATAAATCCCAGCAACTACAAACCCCAAATGACAAAATCAATACACTAGCCACCGGGATTGTGGCACAGCTGGCTGAGTGTCAGCTGCATTAAGATCACTCTGACCAAAAGGTCATGAGTTCGAAGCCAGCCCGGGTTGGAGTGGGTTTCCAACCAATTGTTGTCGACCTGTTGTCGACCTTTGCAACCCGAAAGACAGTTGCATCTGTCAAGTAGGAAAATTAGGTACTTATGAGGCCATAAAAAAGACTCTAGCAAGCACTCCAGCAAAAAGCATGCGGGGAATGCGGAAGTACTTCATGAAAGCGACAGCTCCCCTGGCGGCCAGAAAATTTTTTTAAATAGCCTCTGTCTATGTCTGTATATGTTGTATGTCAAAAATTGGCATTGAATGTTTGCAATATATGTGTACACTGTAATCCGCCCTGAGTCCCCTGCAGGGTGAGAAGGGCAGAATATAAAAGTTGTAAGTAAATAGCAAATAATAAATATTCAAATTTGGGCGTATCGGGTATTTGTGCCAAATTTGGTCCAGTGATTGGAAACACATCCTGCATATCAGATATTGACATGATGATTCATAACAGGAGCAAAATTACAGTTATGAAGTAGCAACAAAAATAATGTTATGGTTGGGGGTCACCACAACATGAGGAACTGTGTTATGGGGTTGTGGCATTAGGAAGGTTGAGAAACACTGGTCTAGTTGGACACAATAGGGATTGAATCAAGGACCTTCTGCAGGTAAGTAACTGTTTTTTTCATCAAACAGAAACCTTCTCTCTAGAACTGTCATTCATTTCTTGGTCAGGAGGGGTGTTCTCTGCATTCCTAATCAGTTTCACCTCACTTCGTAATCATGTAATTCTGATGCATCTGAAATTGCCTTTTTATTTTCTCCTGTCTTTTTTTTTAAAAAAACAAAACTTTGTTTCATAGCTATTAAACTGTCAACTGCTCTTGTTTGTTAGATTGTTAGTTTGCAGTACCCACCTGAATTTTAAGTGATGCTAGTGGAAGCAGGAATGATAGAGGTGATGGAGATGATGATGATGATGATGATGATGATGATGATGATGATGATAACGATAACAATGCTTAAGAAAGTCAGGCTAACCTTTCCGGAATTCCACAATGTAGAAGAAATGTGATCCTTGATCGTTCACTAGCAAAAAGAACTTGTTTTCATTTGTAGAGAAGACAGCCCACTCAATCTCACAATAAACTGGAAGGGAGAAAATGTCTCTCAAGGCTTGTTGATAATACACTGGGAGTGGGAATCATAAGTCGGAGGGATGGAATGACTTTTGAGATGACCATCCTATGAAAGAACTACCCGTATATATTCGAGTATAAGCCAACCCAAATATAAGCGGAGGTACCTAATTTTACCACAAAAAACTGGGAAAACATATTGACCCGAGTATAAGCCGAGGGTTGGAAATGCAGCAGCTACTAGTAAATTTCAAAATAAAAAGAGCTACCCATAAAATTACATTAATTGAGGCATCAGGAGGTTAAATGAATTTTGAATATTTACATAAAACTATAATTTAGGATAAGACTGTCCAACTCTGATTAAACCATTATTCTAACCTTCTTAAATGTAAATGTGCTTACATATCCTTCCAATAATAATAAATAGAGCAAAATCATAAATGTAATAATAATATAGAGTAAAATAATAAATGTAATAATAATATAGAGCAAAATAATAGATGTATGTAATAATAATATAAATAGATTAAAATAATAACTGTAATAACAATAATAAATAGAGTAAATGATAAATGTAATAATAATATAGTGCAAAATAATAAATGTAATAAAAATAATAGAATAAAATAATAAATGTAATAATAATATAGAGCAAAATAATAAATGTAATAATAATAATATAAATAGAGTAAAATAATAACTGTAATAACAATAATAAAGAGTGAATGATAAATGTAATAATAATATAGTGCAAAATAATAAATGTAATAACAATCATAAATAGAGCAAAATAATAAATGTAATAATAATATAGAGTAAAATAATAAATGTAATAACAATAATAAATAGAGTAAAATAATAAATGTAATAATAATATAGAGCAAAATAATAAATGTATGTAATAATAATAACATAAATAGAGTAAAATAATAACTGTAATAACAATAATAAAGAGTAAATGATAAATGTAATAATAATATAGTGCAAAATAATAAATGTAATAATAACATAAATAGAGTAAAATAATAAATGTAATAATAACATAAATAGAGTAAAATAATAAATGTAATAACAATAATAAATAGAGTAAAATAATAAATGTAATAATAATAGAATAAAATTATAAATGTAATAATAATAATAATAAATAGGGTAGAATAATAAATGTAATAAAAATAATAGAGTAAAATAATGTAAATGTAAGAATATTAATAAATAGAGTATAATAATAAATTTAATACAAATAATAACAGAGTAAAATAATAACTAACTTTGACTTGAGTATAAACTGAGGGGGGCCTTTTCAACCTAAAAAGAGCTGAAAAACTCAGTTTATACTCAAGTATATACGGTACATTGTCTGGGGGAGAAAAAACTATTGTTCTGATAATTTAATGAATGGGTACCTAATTTCACCTGGAGAATAACAGAACTGAAGAGACCACAATCTGCAAAGATATTTTAGCTGCTTTTTTATATTATGCTCCCAGTAGAAGGAAGATCTGTAAAATTAGTTTAAATTCAGTCCAGCCATGCCAGTAAATTTCATCGCATAACAGTTGCACTGTTATCCCTTTTTTAAACAAAATAAGGGGTGCAACTATTATAATAAAGAAATTTGCATTTGATTCTATGGTTTCTGTTTCTCTGAAGAAAAATTAATTGCCTTACTTCTGAGTCAAGAGGAGGAGGAACTGACCTGCCTCAGACAAGGGAGAAGATCTCCCATTCCTTCCTTTATTATTTCTCCAGAAAGCAAGGCACTTTCAAATCTGAAATGGGGCTGTTTGGAGGAAGGAAAAAGGAAGGAAGATCCAACTTCCAGAAACCTCCATTTCAGGTTTTTTAACTGCCTTGCCTTCAGAGAAAAAAAGGAAGGAAAAGGGAATGAGCCCCAAAACTGCCCTGCAACTATTATGTGAGGAACACAAAAATACCAATTTTGCCACACAAAAAATGGGGGTGCGACTGTTATGACGGCAATGAAATATGGTATTTCAATGGTGTCAGAAGAGCACTCCCCATGCCTTTTTCTGTCCATGTTCATGGGTGGAGAGGTAGACGACAAAAGTGTAGAAAAACCTACAATTCAGAAAATCGCACACTGTCTTCTCGCGTACCCTCAGAGAGCCAGAGGAATTCACAATCCCATCTGTAAAAGAGGAGAAAAGTGATAACGTTAAAATATTAAAGCTATTTTTTTCCTTCTTAACATATAGAGAAACCCAATGCAAACAGAATTGCATGATTGCTTAGTCTCATTTGTTTCCTTAGTTTCTATTTTATCTTATCCTGTGGATTTATGAAGTAATTTGTCAAATTCTTTACTAGTAGTGCCTAAAATTATGTACAATATGTTCTGCCATAACAAAGCGTTTCTGCTACTGTCTGTTGCCGTATTATATTATAACTAGCTGACCCCTGCCACACGTTATTGTGGCCCAGTCTGTGTATATGTGTTTTGTGTGTGTATATGTGTATATATGTGTTTTTGCAAATATATATATATGTGTGTGTATGTGTGTGGTTTTGCACATGTGTTGTAATGTATTTTTTATTTTTTAGCTTTTTAAGTCTCTTCCGCTGCGTTTTTCAGTGTTTTTATGAGTGATGGTCATTTGTTGGCCTGAGACGTGTATTGTGTCCAAATTTGGTGTCAATTCGCCCAGTGGTTTTTGAGTTATGTTAACCCCACAAACTAACATTACATTTTTATTTATATAGATTATATTATTTTATAGATCTGTTCTATATAACCCGCTGCACCCCGGGTGGTGCAGCAGGTTAAACCACTGAGGTGCTGAAGTTGCTGATCAAAAGGTTGACAGTTCAAATCCAGGGGAGCGGGCTGAGCTCTGGCTGTTAGCCCCAGCTTCTGCCAACCTAGCGGTTTGAAAACATGCAAATGTGAGTAGCTCAATAGGTACCACTTCCATGCAGTCATGCCGGCTACATGATCTTGGAGGTGTCTACGGACAACGCCGGCTCTTCAGCTTAGAAACGGAGATGAGTATCAACTCTCAGAATCAGACATGACTAGACTTACTATCAAGGGGAACCCTTTACCTTTACCTTTGTAGATCTGTTCTCAACCAGTTCATAGAATTACAGAATTATAGAGTTGGAAGAGACCACATGGACCATCTAGTCCAGTGGTTCTCAACCTGGGGTCCCCAGATGTTTTTGGCCTACAACTCCCAGAAATCCCAGCCAGTTTACCAGCTGTTAGGATTTCTGGGAGTTGAAGGCCAGAAACATCTGGAGATCCCAGGTTTAGAACCACTGATCTAGTCCAACCTCCTGCCATACAGGAAAATTAGGAATAATTATACTTTATTTGTAGCCCACCCTATCTCCCCGAGGGAACACAGGACGGTTTCTAATGAGTAACAAAAATGGCAAACATTCAATGCCAAAAACAGACGAATTACAAATCAAGTCAAAAACAATGGATAAAACAAACTCAACGTGACATAACACTGATCAAATAATAGCCAAGAATGATTATTTTTTACAGTCTACCACACTGACTTTGTAGTCTTTTTTCCCCTTTTTTCCCCTGCTGCCTGTGGGATGTTTGTCAGAAATATTTAAAACTAGGTATTTTTAATTACAAAAATGGGAGTCAAGCACTGAAAGGATTAAATGGATGCAACCATTCAGCAAAAGCTGCAGTTCAATATAATCAGGTGTGCCTGTAGCTTAGTAGCCATCAGTCTGAGGTAGTTCTCAGTCTGTGAGAGGTCTCTGTGGAAGAAAGGCTTCAGTGTGTTAATAGGCCTCAGTATGAGTTGGCCTCAGTGTTAATTCTCCTCAATGAATTAACATATCCAGGATTTTGATTCGGGGAGTGCTGAGTTTGATTCGGGGGGGGGGGGGGCTGAGGATCTACCCTAGCAAACCTTTTGTATCATTATCCCAATACCCCCATGCATATGGGATATATTGAGCATGGTGATCAGATCATGATATGAATAAACATAACAGTTTAAATAATGTACCAGTAAGGCCTTCTCGTGGACCACCATGAGAATTTTGGGGGGAGGGGCTGAAGCCCCCCAAGCCCCCCCCCCCCCGGCTACATGCCTGCATCAATGGAGAAAGGTGTCAGTCTGAGAGAGCCATCAGTGTGAGAAGGCCTCAGTGTGAGGTAGGCCTCAGTGTTAGTAGGGCTCGGTATGAGAAGTCCTGGTGTGAGAAGCCCAGGTTGAAGGCCATCATGTGTGAAGGTTGCTGTGTGTAAAAAGCTACTGTGTGAAGCTCCTGTGTAACTTTGGTGTGAGAAGAGAATCAGTGAGAGCAAAGCTGCTTATCTGCATGAGAAAGAAGCCTAACGTGGAATCAAAGAAGAAAATATAAAGAACTTTATTTGTGTTATGGAAACCTTTTTCTTGCAAACAGTACAACTGTATTATTTTGCAATAAAGAAAAGCTTCTTTTGGAAAAGATACGATTGGTCTGTATTTTTTTTTTTTGTTCTTTTTATCACTTTGGGCTACTGGTGTTGGGTCATGCTGCTGCTGCTAAGTTACACTGCTGTGCATTTATGGAGAGGGTCTTTTGTTAATAAGCCCACTCGCCCAATAATGTTTTCCACACATCTCTTTACCTCATCCTTCCACTCGTCCAGCAGCGCTACAAAAGCAGCTTTTCATCACTACCATACAGATAAATAGCAGGGAAGTGTGGTTTCTGTAGAATATGGGGAACTTCCAATATTCTAAAGAAACCATATTTTCCTGCTATTTAGATAATTTTTTTCTGGAACGTGATATTTTGTTAACATGTGCTGACCAGCTCCGGGAAATTCTACACCCAACTCACCCCATTCAGGACCCTATACAAACCACCTTGGCCCACTTCCTTGCACAGGGCAGAAAGCGAGCAGGCCTGACCCATCAAGCTAGCCCCATTCACCTGCATTGTATAGTGCAGAATGAACTCACTCTGAGTAGCAGAAGAAAAAATACCTTGTATTGTGATAAGAAAGAGTTCTCCTATATGTGTGCCCTCGCCAAGAACAATCACATATTCACTGTCATTGCCAGTGAAAAACACGGGGTTTAATCTCTTCACACAGATATTGTTCATTACACGTGTCCACAGTGCTGAAGGAAAATCAGGAAAAAGGAGAAAGAAGATAACAGTTAACTTAGTGTGGAACTGCTCTAGTCTACATTTTCTTCTAGCCACTAAAAAAAGAAAGATTTGATGCTCAGTTCCTTTCCTAGCCAACAATTAACCATCCTGAATTGTGTAAATCTGTTCCAAGCAAAAGTTTTCAAACTGTTCTAACTTTAATAGTTATTAAATAATGGGAGGTATATTTTGTTGAGCCACCAGCACTATTTAAAACATAACTGAAGACCTATCTCCTCTGCCAGGCTTACTCAGTCCGTTTTGACTATGAATTTTAAACTCACATTCTAAGGTTATTGTGTTTTAATTTTGTTCCATGTATTTTAATATGTGTCCCACCTCGAGCCATAAGGAGAGGCGAGTTATTAATAATAATAATAATAATAATAATAATAATAATAATAATAATAATTTTATTTCTTATCCAACTCTCCCCATAGCTCGAGGCTGGTCAAAGTACAGTAAAAAAAAACACAAAAAATACTATAAAAATTCTACAAACATACATTTTAAAATGCAGTTCCATAAAATATACATTTCAAAGCATTTCTGTAAGTGTTGTACTCCAAGGATGGGAAGCACCTCTGCACTTAACACACACACACCAGTCCAAGGTAAAACAGCAAGCAGTTTACTGAAGGATATATAAAAAGTAATTCAGCAAAATAGTATCAGAAACCAGTCCAAAAATCTGAGATAATCCACAAATAATAATAATAATAATAATAATAATAATAATAATAATAATAATAATAATAAATCTTTATTTATACCCCACTACCATCTCCCCGCTGGGGACTTGGGGCTGCTTACATGAGGCCAAGCCCAGACAACAAATTACAGAAGAATAAAACTGAAAACACAAACAAAACAACAACATCATAATCACATAACACATATGAATACATAACAATATAAAATTACAATAAACACAATCACAACGACAGTGGGCAGGCTACATGTAATGATTAAAAGAAAACTAATTAAAAACTGATTAAAAACTCAAGTGAGATAAGGAGAAGCAGGTTATTTGCGGAAGAGGGCTCATTAAAAATGGAGGTTGTGGAATCAAGCTTTCCCATAAAAGGAGGGGGGGACGTATACTCCAATGACAGAACATTGAGGCTACGCAATAGTGTGAGGTTGTATACCTAAAAACAAAGTATATGAGTAGCATCCAAAAACCAGGAATACAAGAGCAGAATAAATCCAAAACATGAAATTCAGTAACAGTCCTCAACACTTGTAAACATGAAATACGAACAAATAGGAAAACATGAACATGGCCTTAAAAATCCCTTGACTTGACAGGAGTTCGATTCTCAATCTCCAAGGTTGCTTCCACTGACCAAACATTCAGTTGGTCTAGCTAATATAGTGAGAAAAGTGTGCCCTTTCCCTTGGGAAATTGGTACAGACTTCCTAACAAGTGACTTGACCTTCAGACTTTTTCATGTGAAACTCTATGTTGACAAAACATAAATTTTCTATCTAATTGCTCATTCATCTGTCCACTTGGACTCCCACTATCATCCTCCACTGAGCTCAGTTCTGTTGGAATGTGGCCTTCAGACAAAAACTGCCCATTTTCAGTCTTTAGTTGTGTAACGATAGCCACCAATTTGCGAGGAAGAAGCCACCAGTTCGCAACGATTTTGTAAAGGAGCCACCACTTTGTAAGGGATTATTAATTTGATAGCGTAGCTAATAGCTAGTAATATTGAATTGGTCTTTTTTCAAGGTGTAAACCAGCTCCTTGGTTTACTGAGGAGCTGGCAGTGATGAAGCGAAGGAAGAGGGAACTAGAGAGCATGTGGCGTTCAGATCCGAGCGAGTCAAATCGAACACGGTTTGTGTCCTTTCTTAAGGGCATATGCCGCGGCAATAAAAGCCGCAAAGAAAACTTTCTTTGCGGCTACTATTGCGTCTGCAAGGAACCGTCCGGCGGAGTTGTTCCGGATTGTCAGAGGTCTTTTAACTCCCGCCACCTCAGGCGGGAGCCCTGACAATTCGGCCACGCGCTGTGAAGCATTTGCTCGGTTCTTTGCAGACAAAGTCGCTTTGATCCGTTCTGGTCTGGACACCATATTAAATGCAGTCTCTGAGGATGTGACACGAGCACCTGCTTGTCCTATTTTGATGGATTCTTTTCAATTTGTGAAGCCCGAGGATGTGGACAAGATACTTGGAGGAATGAGGCCCACTACGTCCATCCTAGACCCCTGCCCATCCTGGCTTCTGAAGGAGGCCAGAGGGGGATTGGCTGAGTGGGTAACGGTGGTGGTTAATGCCTCCCTTCGGGAAGGCAAAATTCCAGCGAGCTTAAAACAAGCTATAATAAAACCGCTGTTGAAGAAACCATCACTAGATCCCACTAAATTTGACAACTTTCGGCTGGTTTCCAATCTCCCCTTTTTGGGCAAAGTCCTGGAAAGCGTGGTGGCCTCACAACTCCAGGTATTCTTGAGAGACACGGATTATCTGGACCCGGCACAGTCTGGTTTCAGACCAGGGCATGGAACTGAGACGGTCTTGGTCGCCTTAGTGGATGATCTGCGCCGGGAGCTCGACAGGGGGAGTGTGTCCCTGTTGGTGCTCTGGACCTCTCAGCGGCCTTCGATACCGTCGACCACGGTATCCTTCTGGGGCGCCTTGCGGAAATGGGCCTCGGGGGCACTGTTCTGCAGTGGCTCCGGTCATTTCTGGAGGGCCGCACCCAGAAGGTGTTACTGGGGGACACCTGTTCAACGCCACAGCCTTTGACTTGTGGGGTTCCACAGGGCTCCATACTGTCCCCCATGCTGTTTAACATCTACATGAAGCCGCTGGGTGAGATCATCCGGAGTTTCGGGGTGCAGGTTCATCTGTACGCAGATGATGTCCAACTCTGTCACTCCTTCCCACCTGCTACTAAGGAGGCTGTTCAGATCCTGAACCGGTCCTGGCCGCTGTAATGGTCTGGATGAGGGCGAACAAATTGAAATTAAATCCAGACAAGACAGAGGTACTCCTGGTCAGTCGCAAGGCCGAACAGGGTATAGGGTTACAGCCTGTGCTGGACGGGGTCGCACTCCCCTTGAAGGCACAGGTTCGCAGCTTGGGTGTGATCCTGGATTCATCGTTGAGCCTGGATCCCCAGGTTTCAGCGGTGACCAGGGGAGCATTTGCACAGCTTAGGCTCGTGCGCCAGCTGCGCCCGTACCTCGGGAAGTCTGACTTGGCCACGGTAGTACACGCTCTGGTCACATCCCGCCTTGACTACTGCAACGCTCTCTACGTGGGGCTGCCCTTGAAGACGGCCCGGAAGCTCCAGCTAGTCCAGCGCGCGGCAGCCATGTTACTAACAGGAGCGGGACGCAGGGAGCACACAACGCCCTTGTTGTTCCAGCTCCATTGGCTGCCGATCTGCTACCGGGCCCAATTCAAGGTGCTGGTGCTGGCCTACAAAGCCCTAAACGGTTCCGGCCCAAAATACCTGTCTGACCGCATCTCGGCCTATGAGCCCACGAGGGCTTTGAGATCGTCTGGGGAGGCCCTTCTCTCGATCCCGCCTGCCTCACAGGCACGCCTGGCGGGGACGAGGGATAGGGCCTTCTCGGTGGTGGCCCCCCCAGCTGTGGAACACCCTCCCTGTAGACATCAGACAGGCGCCCTCCCTTATGACGTTCCGCAAGAGACTAAAGACGTGGTTGTTTGAGAAGGCGTTTGACTAAGTGCTACAACAACTGGTAATGATGACTGGAACGGAATATGGAAAACGAGATTGGATTGTGATTCTATGATGAGACGTCGCGAATGATTTAGTGTAATTGTATTATTGATAGTGATGTTGTTATTGTTGTTTGTGTTATTGCCTTTATTGTAAATTGTTTTTATATGTTGTACACCGCCGTGAGTCGCCCTAGGGCTGAGAACGGCGGTCTACAAGTGCAGTAATAAATAAATAAATAAATAGCGTGACTTAACTTGGAAAGGATTTGTAACAGAGACCAGGCTTTAAAAGAAACGGTAACAAGTTTATTGAAATGTAGCAGAAGCTTGATGGTTTCAATGTTTCTTACTCTTAGAGGCACGTATCTTCAGAGGTTACATTTATAACATTCCTTAAGACAACTCTGGAAAGGACTCTTCCTTCTACTAAACTGGTTTCAAACTTATTTTTCTTCAAACTGTGTTTCTTCCCTTATAGGTTACTTCAGATACAAGCTTATTCTTTCTTTGTGATATTTCTATTGCAATAAAGATTCTCACTGGGTTTCTCTCACCCCTTCTACTTACTCTAACTACTAATATAAATAAGTCAACTTGACTTATCTAAACTACCTAGGCTAAAAGCCAAAACCTTCCTGATCCTCACTACAGTAGAATCAGCCTTTCCCTGTAGTTTTTAAACTACAATCTACCTTCCTGGTTCTCACTACTAACCAGCCACTCCTGTAGTTCGCTGACTACAGACTGCCTTACTGGTTCTCAACACATCACAGAACCAGCCTCCCTGCAGTTCACTGACTGCAGACTGTTTTAAAATGGCTGCCCTGCCAAGTGGCAGTTGACTCTGCCTCTATTTCCATAGCAATCCCGCTCAAAGTGAGCTGAGCTGGCTCCCATCCCCCCATTTATGCTACTCTAAATACTTACCTCTCTAAACACCTATCTATAACTATACATAACTGTAGATTTAAAATTTACACTTCACCACAGCTGCCCCTGATGATTTCCTGCTGACTTGCAGACTCAGAATCCCTTGTGTCAACAGGCTGACTAACAGGCCCAGAATCCCCAGAGAGATTGGGTGCAGGAATAATCAAAGGCTGAACAGTAAGTTACACACTAATCACACAGGACAGAGACCAAAACACAGGAAAAGAGTTTAAAATTCATGCTTTCAACTGGCTTGGTAGGCAAAGAAAACTAAAGACCTTGTCAAACTACAACTCCCATGATTCCATAACACTGAATTATGGAAGTTAGTGATGTCAAACTGCATTAGTTCTACGTGTAGAACAGTGTTCAGTTTACAAGGCCATTCTTCCAAATACAAGTCAGATTTATAATATCTATTTAGGACTGGATTCCAGGTACCACGTCGTAATGACCACTCCTTCTCCACAGGAAAATCTTGAGAAGCAAAATCTCTTAGAGGACTGAGGACAGAACTCCTATCAAGCCATTGTGGCACTTAAACTGGCATAAAGTAGTGTAGTTCATATCAGTGTTATTTATTTTTCAGGCTCACTTACCTGAACTGGGGCCTCTCATGTGCAGAATGGGGTAATGACCAACAAAGTAATAGACCAGCTGGTTCTGCCGGATGAAGAGGGTGCTTTCTGTCGCAATGCAATCACGAACAGTATTGGAGAAACCCCTATGTCGGCATTCGATGGAGCCAATCCAGCAGCTGTCAATGCCAACCTGCGTTAGAAAAGGAGAAAAAAGAGGGAATCCATGTCTTTTATGTAGAGAAGGGGTCAAGTCCTATTGAGCTAAAAGCAACAGGGACATTCCCATGATAGAGTCAGGAAAAGAGCCTGTCTTCTTTCCTGTCGGGCCTGAATCTTAATTTCAGGACTATCCCAGGTCCTGAGATTTGAGGGAAAAAACCTGAGGTTTTGGGGTTTGTGATATCACAGAGGGCAGGCCCTGGCGGTGGCAGCAGTTCCGTGCGACAGAGGTGTTGGGGGATAATTGTCAAAAAGGAAAATGCATTTAAAATACATAAAGCAGCAACAACAGCAGGAGAAGCAGTTCAGCAGATCAGAAGCTTCTAATGCCAGCAGCAGAGCAACTGGGCTTAAGCAATTCAGCAGCAGAGTCAAGCTTAAAAAGTTATAAAATACTTTATTCAAAGAACTACATATCTAGATAAGGAAGTTAACAAGGCCTATCTATCTATCTATCTATCTATCTATCTATCTATCTATCTATCTACAGTATCTCTGCACATATCTTGTCTCTCTTCATGTTTCCAGGAGTAGAACAAAAGAACAAACGGAAGACTCAGGAGTTTGTCACGTGTCCCTGGGAAGTATCCATCTAACCAGCAAGGTGATCAGTGCCAGAAACTAGGCATTTTTAATTACAAAAATGTGAGTCAAGCACTGAAAACGTTAAATGGATGCAACGACTCAGCAAAAGCTGCAGTTCTGTATGAGCAGAAGAAGTAGAGGACAAAATTTGGAATATATATATTTTAAGGATATAAAAAGGAAAGAAATTAAGAGAATAAAAAACCCAATGTTGAGCCATGTGATAGGAATTTGGAATAGATACAAGGAAATATTATTATCAGAAAGTTCAACACAAACACCAATTATAATGGATAAAAATTTCCAATTTTTTTAAAAAAATTATTAGTTAAAAAATTAAGAGAGAAGAATATAGATAAGATTGGAGATTGGATAAAAGCAAATATGAGGAAAGAAACTATATTGAGAGAATTTAGAGATATTAAACTCTCATGGTTTCATTGCTTACAAATAGAGCAAAGATTCAAGAATTGGATAAAAAATAATGGGAAAGGAGGCAAACTTACGCAAGTTGAACAAATGATACAAAAAGAGAGAGCTACGGGAGGATACCACAAGCTGAAAGGAATAACTAGCAAATTATATAAGATAATAATTGACATTAAGGGGGAAAAATAAAGGATGTAACATTAAGAGAGATATGAGAGGAAGATCTAGGGATTAGAATAAAAGAAGCGAATTGGGTACAATTATGGGATCAAAGAAATTTAAAGAACTTATCGATACGTGTTAAAGAAAATTACTACAAATTGGTTTGGAAATGCTATTTAACACCAGTAAAGATTGCAAATATTAATAGGAATACTACAAAAAATTGTTGGAGAGGTTGCCAGGAGGTGGGTACATATATACATATGTGGTGGCAATGTAAATATGTAAATGAATTTTGGGGGAAGGTATTTGGAGAGACAGAAGCTATAATGGATATTAAGATAGGGAAAAGTGCATCCATGCATTGTTGTCACTATACAATGGTAAGAAATTGAAAAAAACAGAGAAAGATGCAATAGATAACTTGTTAACTGCAGCAAGATTACTGATAGCGAAGAATTGGAAAAGTAAAATAAATATATCAATTGAAGAATGGTATAAAGAATTATGGAAAATAGCAATAAATGATAAATTGACATGTAGGTTAAGAGTCAGGAAAGGGGTATGGAAGGAAAATGATTTTGATAAAGTTTGGGGAAAATTTATTGAGAATGGCTTAAAAGAAGTAGACGGGAAATTACCTCCACAAGAAGAAATGGTATTTTGGAAAGAGAATGTAAATTGAAGTGGCTCGGAAGGGGGGGGGGGTCGGGGGGCACAGAGGTGGGAAAAAAGTATGTAAGATATATATACATTTATGGTTGTTGTAACGAATTTAGAATGGAATGTAAGAGAATTGAAGGTATTGATGTATTGATGTATTCTAAGAACACCAATAAAAAATATTTGAAAAAAAGAGAGAGAGAAGAACCAATTGTTTCTGCTTAATGTGAATGTGGCAGCTCTGTGTTTTGTTGATATGTGTATTTGTTAGGTATACATTGAGTTAATTTAGATACTTTCACATCACCACAATCAGTGGATTTTGGTCTCCACAGTTTTAGGGGAACCCATTTTTCTTATCGGCAGGTGCATTCTAGGCATGAAAAGATTGCCACACAACCAGTAAGGTGACATGAGGAGAGAACAGAGTGACAGGCAGACAGAGAGGCCATTGGGGGAAAGGTTTTCTCTGCCAACTAACTCATTTGCCTATTTAGCTCCTTGATTAGAACTACAAGCTTATGCAGGACCTGATTGAGTTCCAACAAGAAGTGTATTTCCTAGGTCTGTTCTCAGATTTCCTTCCAGACAGAGACCTCGGAGCAATAGAGACTTGCAGAGTGTGTATGGGGGAGGGGGGAGGGCTCTCTACCTGCAAACCAGGAAGATATGCTCTGCCTAGCTACCTGTGGTCAAAGCAAGGGATTGAATTTCCGATTGCTACTGCCACTCCCATCAGATTTGCATGAGAAGGAAACCAGGGGAGGCTGGCCGCCATGATTATCCTGAGCCCGCATCCCACCCAACTCACCCCCACCATCTCTCACCTCTATTGGAAAGTAATCGTCATACCCCGTGTCTGAGAGGAGGACCACCTTGCTCCTGGGGATGTCACCAAGGATGAGCACAGGGGCTCGTATGTGGGTGTGCCATAAGGGACGCGACGGATCTGACAGAGACATGAAGCGATTCAAAGCTTTCATCTATTTGGACACAAAGAGGCCAGAGAAGAGAGCATCAGGACACAATTAACATTTCTCCTGCATATTGAAGCCACAGAGGCCCAACTACTACATTCCAAAGGATCTATGGTAAAATTCTGCATGGCCTGTGCCACTTTTGGCTGCAGATTGGAATGGTAAATTGTAATGTTGCTGCATAACAAATCTCCACGCACAAAGGAAGGAAGAAACCATGGCAAACTGAAAATTATGTTAAAGCAACAAGAGGATCAGGCATTTGGGATCTGATATTTTATTTTATTTCTAAGAGTTGGAAGAGACCTCGTGGGCCACCCAGTCCAACCCCATTCTGCCAAAAAGAAGGAAAATTGCATTTAAAGCACCTCTGACAGATGGCCACCCAGCCTCTGTTTAAAAGACTAGAAAGAAGGAGCCTCCACCACACTCTGGGGCAAAGAGTTCCAGTGATGAACAGCTCTCACAGTCAGGAAGTTCTTCCTAATGTTCAGGTTGAATCTCCTTTCCAGTAGTTTGAAGCCATTGTTCTGCGTCCCATTCTCCAGGGCAGCGGAAAATAAGCTTGCTCCCTCCTTCCTATGACTTCTTCTCACATATTTATACGTGACCCTCAACATATCTCCTCTCAGCATTCTCTTCTGCAGGCTCAACATGCCCAGATCTTTAAGCCGCTCCTCATAGGGCTTGTTCTCCAGACCCATGATCCTTTTAGTCACCCTCCTCTGGACACATTCCAGCTTGTCAACATCTCCCTTCAATTGTGGTTGCCCAGTGTGATTCCAGGTAATGTGGCCTGACCAAGGCAGACTAGAGGGGTAGCATGACTTCCCTGGATCTAGACCAGGGGTCCTCAAACTTTTTAAACAGAGGGCCAGGTCACAGACTCTCAAACTGTTGGAGGGCCAGATTATAATTTGAAAAAAGCATGAATGAATTCCTATGCACACTGCACATCTTATTTATAATCCAAAAGCACTTAAAAACAATACAATAATTAAAATGAAGAACAATTTTAACAAATATAAACTTATTAGTATTTCAATGGGAAGTGTGGGCCTGCTTTTGGCTGATGAGATAGGATTGTTGTTGTTGTTGTTGTGTGCTTTCAAGTCATTTCAGACTCAAGTTGACCCTGAGTGAGAGCTGGGTAAATTACCTTGGAGGGCAGTATTCGGCCCTCGGGCCTTAGTTTGAGGACCCCTGATCTAGACACTAGACTCCTATTTGTAGAGCCAAAATCCCACTGGCTTTTTTTTTTTTTTTTTGCCACCGGATGACATTGTTGGCTCATGTTTTACTTGTTGTCCATGAGGACTCCAAAATCTTTTTAACACATCCTGCTGTCGAGCCAGGCATCGTACCCCATTCTGTATCTTTGGATTTGATTTTTTCAGCCTAAGAGGAACATCTTTCATTTGTCCCTGTTGAACTTCATTGTGTTAGCTTTGGCCCATTATCTCTCTAATCTGTGCAGATCACTTTGGATTCTGCTCCTGTTTTCTGGAGTCGTGACTCTCTCTCCCAATTTGGTTCCATCTGCAAACTTGATGATCATGCCTTCTAACCCTTCAACTAAGTCATTAATAAAGATGTTAACCAATAGAGATGAATTAGTCAATGACATGGAACTAGTGGGATTCTTAGTTAGGCATGGCTATGTCCTCTTGGAATTTAATAAACAGAGGAACCTCGGTTTTGGAGGATAGAGTCGTGGTATTTGAAGCAGCATCTCACTGTTATAATAGACTAGCTGTACCCGCCACGCGTTGCTGTGGCCAACCTTCCCTACCTCTTTCTCTCCTTCCTTCCCTCTCTCTTTCCTTTCCTCTATTTCTTTCCCTTTTACTTTCCCTTCTTCTTCCTTCTCGACCTGTTTCTTTCCTCCCTTCCTTTGCTCTTTGCCTTCCTTGTCTCTTTCCTTCCCCTTCCCTCCCTTTCTCTCTTTCATTCCTTCTCTCCTTCCTTCCCTCTCTCTTTTTCCTTCTTTCACTTTTTTATTTCCTTCTCTCCTTCCTTTTCTACCTTTCTTTCTTTCCTTCCTTCTCTCCTTCACTCCTTCTTTCCCTCTTTCTCTACTTCCTGTTTTGCGCATGCGTTGTAATATATATTTTTGCATCTGTCATATACATATGTGTGTGTGTGTGTGTAATGGCTGGATGGCCCTTTGTCAAGAGGGCTTTGATTATGTTTTCTTGCCCTGGTGAAGGGAATTGGACTGGATGCCCAGAATTGGACACAATATTCCAGGTGTGGTCTAACCAAAGCAGAATAGAAGGGTAGCATGACTTCCCTCGATCTAGACACTATGCTCCTATTGATGCAGGCCAAAATCCCACTGGCTTTTTTTGCCACCACATCACATTGTTGGCTCATGTTTAAATTGTTGTCCACGAGGACTCCAAGATCTTTTTCACATGTACTGCTCTCGAGCCAGGCATTGTCCCTCATTCTGTATCTTTCGTTTTTTTCTGCCTAAGTGGAGTATCTGGCATTTGTTGAACTTCATTTTGTTAGTTTTGGCCAATCATCTCTCTAATCTGTCAAGATCGTTTTGAATCCTGCTCCTGTCCTCTGGAGTATTGGCTATCCCTCCCAATTTGGTGTCATCCGCAAACTTGATGATTATGCCTTCTAACCCTTCATCTAAGTCTAAGAAGGTGTGAAGTAAACGAAGAAGATGATGCGTCCTGGCCATCTTCCCTTTTATTAAGAATCTTTCTAAGCACAAAAGATTCCTTACCAACCCCAGGAATTTACCTTTGGTCCAATCCTGAAGGAAGCTCTGTTTCTTCTCGTGAATCCATTGATATTGATAGAGAACCTAGTATTAAGAAAATAGATTATGGAAAAATGTAACATTATGGGAATAAACGTATTTTAAAATATTTTCTGAAACATCAGAGGCATCAAGCAGCCATCTGTATATAATGGGATTGCAACTCCCAGTACACCTCACCTTTAGCTGAGCTAGCCAGAGGTGCCAAGTGTTGGGGAATTTCAAAAAGGAAGAAACATTTAAAATGTAAATCAGCAACAACAGCAGCAACAGTTTAGCAGATGAGAAGCTTCTTGGGCATAGCAGTAGAGTGAACAAGCTTCAATAACACAGGAGACAGAGCCAAGCTTAAAAAGTTACAAAAGGCTTTGTTCAAAGAACTACATTTCTATATAGGAAAGTTAGGGCCTAGCTATCAAACTAGCTCTCTAGAGACATCATGTCTCTCTTCATGCTCACAGGAGAAGAAAACAACAGTTTCAGCCATATGGGGGGCTTCCCAGATGGATGAAACTGAAAACGCTTTGTCCCTGAGAAGCATTAGTCTAACAAGGAGGAGGGAAGGGATAATACAGAGACAGGCAGACAAAGAGGGCAGTGAGAGAATGGCTTTCTTATCATCTAACTCAACTGTCTACCTCTTTCTATAGGATCCCCCGGTGGTGCAATGGGTTAAACCCTTGTGCTGGTAGGACTGAGAACTGACAAGTCAAAGGTTCGAATCCGGGGAGAGTGTGGATGAGTTCTCTCTGTCAGCTCCAGCTCCCCATGCGGGGACATGAGAGAAGCCTCCCACAAAGATGGTAAAACATCCGGGCATCCCGTGGGCAATGTCCTTGCAGACTGCCAATTCACTCACACCAGAAGCAACTTGCAGTTTCTCAAGTTGTTCCTGGCATGAAAAAAAAAATCTTTTTCCTTGATGAGGACTATAAACTTGTGCATGGTCTGGCTGAGTTCCAACACCCATTCCCATTCATTTTGAAATAATAGTTTGCATTTTAAGAGACGTCATGAAATATGAATGCAGAGGAGAGGGGCAAACTGGCCAATTTAATCACTATCATTTGGTGACATCAAAGTGCCAAGGACTGGTGAAATGGGCCTTATAGGCCTGAGAGTAAGCCCTTCTTTTTTTGCACTGGGCCTTTCCAAAAGGTTAGCGCACTTGAAGTTGTTCTCATTCAGTGTGTGAGTTAGTGAATGCTGCATCCCAAGCGCAAGCATTTCTCTCACCTCTTATCGTCCACTGTCATGCCAAGGTGATTGCTGGCCACAGTCACATCCATGACTACACTGCCATTCATGAAGGGCATCGGTGTGAACCAACACATCCTGCAAACCTCTTCACTGTCACAACCTTGTGGGAATGGAAGAAGCACAGAGACCAAGTCAAATCATACAGGAGGCAAAAGATCATAAACCTTACTTGCTCCCTCCAAACATATCAACGTGGATTCTTTTCCTTTGAAGGCCACAAATACACCAGAAGAACTAACACACGTATATGGTATTTGGAGTGTGGATCCAAATAAATATATCCTTGTCCAACACACCAACCACTACACTACGAACAAAAAGATAAAGTGGTCCCAAGTAAAAGTGAAGCAGAATCCCCACCCCTAAACTAGAATAATATTTTTATCTCTTAAAAGGAGCTGACTGATCACTCCTTTGTGCCCAGACCCAAGGGGAATCATAGAATCATAGAGTTGGAAGAGACCTCGTGGGCCATCCAGTCCAAACCCTTGCCAAGAAGTAGGAATATTGCATTCAAAGCACCCCCAACAGATGGCCATCTAGCCTTTGTTTAAAATCTTCCAAAGAAGGAGCCTCTACCACCCTCCGGGGCAGAGAGTTCCACTGCTGAACAGCTCTCACAGTCAGAAATTCTTCCTAATGTTCATATGGAATCTCCTTTCTTGTAGTTTGAAGCCATTGTTCTGCGTCCTAGTCTCCAGGGCAGCAGAAAAGCGGTAAGAGGCCCTTGAACATGCCACTTTCCATCACCATCACCCATCTCACAATTTTTGACAATTCCTGAAGCCACTGAAATATCCAAGTAAAGTGTCGGGGAGAAAATTATTATTTCCAAGACCAGATTTAATCATGATAAGCATACTTGGTCCCACTGGATCTCAGGATTATGTGTACCAACATACCTTCCATCCTGAACGGAGCTCCCGTCATTTCAATCTGCAACTGTTCTTGTTTCTTACGCACAGAGTGGACAGGTTCTTCAAAAGTGACAGTCACAACTGGTCTCAGTCCAGTGTAGTGAGCTGTTCGAAGTGCCATTTCAGAGTCCTAGAAGGGAAGAGAAGTACAAGCCTTCACACTAGAAAAGAGGTGGACAAAGCATAACTCATGAGCCATACATAGTTTCCTAGGGCTCTTTTTATAGGCAAAATGCATTTGTTTTGCACCAAAATGCCCTCTGGGGCATGTGGAGGACATTTCCACCATGTGCTCTTCGGTACGAAAATAACAACACAAATCCAGTTTGCAAAATGTTTCCATTTTTTTTTTGCCCCAAATTGCCTTCTGAAGGATTCAACAATAATATTTGCCATACATTTCATACAATGTTTTGGAAACTTGGAAAATCAAAATGTTGGTCATTTTTATTTGAGAACAGTAAAGGAACTCAACGAATCAACTCAACTACTGCCAACCAATGACTTAACAGTAACATGAGTTCAAAGACCAACATGTCACCAAAAGAGTAGATAAGCTTCAGAAAGCACCCTTAAAATTTGAACTCGTTTCCCACCAAGATTTCTTAGACCTTTCGACATGTTTGTAGTCTTGTCCTTACCACTGTACTGCAGCTCAGATTAATTTTCAAGTAATATGGAAAGCTCAGGTATTTCTATTTAAAAGAAGAAGAAGAGGATTATTTCGGTAGCACTTTCTATTCCGAGAACACAACAATAAGTAAGATCACCACAAGGCATTGTAAGGCATGGATAAATTGCTATCTTAATCTCTGTAGAGTAATCCCTTAAGGCTCTGGTTAACTGATGTAACAGTTTAGCTAACCACAGCCCTGAATCAATGCAATAGTAGTTCTTGTCATGAAGGTTATTTTTCGAATGGAGTTGCAGAGTATCTTGACCTGAGTTATTCCCTCATCAATTGGCAGGTCCCACACTACCTAGAATCACCCTCTTCCCTTTGCTTGGTTTCTTTTCCTGCCTGTTTGATGATCACAAAACACTTGGTGTGAACTGTTTCTTTTAAGGAACAGGCTGAAATGGTAATAGAAATTCAATCTCTTTAGGAATGGTTTCCTCAGAGATGGAGCTACAACTGGGTGCAAGAAGTTGGTCAGCTCTTTACAGTGAGCCTGCTCTCTCATTTCTGATGACTGTTTGCTTACCCTAATATTTCTAGAGCAGTGGTTCCCAACCTTTTTTTGACCAAGGACCACTTTGACCAGGGACCACTTTGATAAGGGACCACTTTGACCAAGGACCACTTTGACCAGGGACCACTTTGATCAGACCACTTTGATAAGGGACCACTTTAATCACTTTGACCAGGGACCACTTTGACCAGGGACCACTCTCCAACATTAATACCAAAAGGTTACAAACCAGGTTTTGGTCAACTTTAGATTTGGTTTGGTTATTGCATTTGAGAGACCACATCAGCTCTAGTTTCTGATACAGAACATATGCCATCCAGTAGTTGCTATCAGCTCACCCACAGAAACCGTATTTATTAAGCCTCAGCACTATAAGAGTTTCACGAGACCAGTTGCTCTCATTACAGCTGTGTAGTAACAGTGAGGCCACAGACCACACTGGTGGTCCATGGACAACAGGCTGGGAACCACTGTTCAAGACGTAAAGAACGTGATTATGTCATCTGTAGATCTATGGCAACTCTGTCAATTTCCAAGTCTTCTCAGGCAAGGGAAACTCATGGGTGGTTTGTAATTGCCTTCTTTTGAATATAGTATTTCTCAAATGTTGGCCTTTCATATATTTATTTATTTATTTATTTATTTACTGCATTTATTGACCGCCGCTCTCAGCCCTAGGGCGACTTGCGGCGGTGCACAACATATAAAAACAGTTTACAAAAAGGGCAAAACAGGAAATCAATACAACAATAATACACTATAATCTAGTTACACTAAATAATCCGCTCCGTCACATCATAGAATCATAACCAATATCGTAATCCGTATTCCTGAAACCTCAACTTCCAGAAACCTCAGCCAGTTTGGCTGATGGTCAGGAGTTTTGGGAAATGGGGCCCAAAATACCTGGGAGACCCTGGTTGTACTCACTGCATCTTTATCATCAGCATCGATGGCAGAATCCACCAATTCCTTGAAGATGTCGTCTACTTTCTTAATTTCATGCTGATAAGAAAAGATATTCCGGTTGCCCCCAAGGTTATTAAACCTGTTGACTACAGCCACCCACTGGCATTCTGAGCCCAAGACAACAAATATTGGATGCAGGAGGAAGAGGAGCACTTTGGCCACAAGAATTCTCCACATGACAGATACTTTTCAGAAGGAAACCTAAGAGATGAATGAATAAATTAACATGGAGCTAAGATTCTTATTTAAGCAACCCTTTGAGCTTCATGTGTATGTGTATATTTGTATGTCTATATGTGTAAACGCATTTGTCTATATGTGTATACTTGTACAAACACATTCACAAGGCATTGCCCAGTATTATGGCCTTCTGTCCAATGCTTGATCACACTTTAATATGTCAAAGAAACAAAAAAAAGGAGGTTTGTAAAGTTACCCCAGTTTGATACCATACTGAGGTTTGATGATGTTGGGAAGGAATTAAAGCAGTACAAATGTACCATACACTTGAAATTGCACTTAAAACTGAAGAGCATGTTAATCTCTTTGTAAACTGTTTTTATCTGTGTACTGTTGTAATTGCTGACCATTCTGGGCTTACTTCCTTTCCATCATAAAGCAAGTCCAGCAACATAGACTGAAACATGGATGTGAGCTCAGCTGAAGCCATATGCACTCTGAGACATAACTTTTGGTGATGTGAAGATTAAGTGGCTATTAATGGTTTTAACTTTATTTTTTAAAGTCCTTGCCTTTGAAGACTGCTTGGACGCTTCAAATAGTCCAATGAGAGGCAGCCAGGTTAATAACTGGGGCGGCATACAGGGAGCATACAACTCCCATGTTACGCCAGCTCCACTGGCTGCCAGTTTGCTACCGGGCACAATTCAAAGTGCTGGCTTTGGCCTATAAAGCCCTAAATGGCCCCGGCCCAAATTACCTGTCCGAACGCATCTCTCCCTATGAACCATCACGGAGATTAAGATCCTCCATGAAGGCCCTGCTTTCCATCCCACCATTGTCACAGGCATGACTGGTGGGGACGAGAGACAGGGCCTTCTTGGTGATTGCTCCCCGGTTATGGAACTCCCTTCCTGGTGTGGTCAGGTCAGTCCCCTCCCTCCTGTCCTTTAGAAGGATAGTAAAAACTTGGCTGTGGGACCAAGCTTTTGGGACAGGGCAATAAAGCAGCAATAGGAAAGATTACCAGGCTAATTAGATTTGACTAGGATGGTTTTAAATGGTGTATTTTAGTATTTTGATAAATGTTTTTTAATGTTTATGTACGTATATAAGAATTTGTGTCCCGGCATTGAATGTTTGCCGTATATATGCTGTGCTCTGCCCTGAGTCCCCTTCGGGGTGAGAAGTGCAGAATATAAATGTTTTAAATAAATAAATAAATAATTCTATTTTGGGTTGTTGTAGGTTTTTTCAGGCTATGTAGCCATGTTCTGGAGGCATTCTCTCCTGACGTTTCACCTGCATCTTAATTCTATTTTAATGTTCATATGCTTTAGGTTTTAAGTTGGGATATGGTATTTTTTTCTTTAGTATTGTTTGCCACTTTGAGACTCCTTTAAAAGAGAAAGAGAAGGATATAAGTAAACAACAACTGTATCTCCTGTTCTAATTGGAAGTTTTTATACTGTACTAGCCGTCCCGTCACGCATTGCTGTGGCCAGCCTGTGTATGTCTTGTATGTGTATATATTTGTGTTTCTGTGTATATATTAGTGTGTTTGCGTATATATGCGTTTTTGCATGTGTTGTAATGTATTTTTTATTTTTTGGCTTTTTAAGTCTCATCTGCTGTGTTTGTCAGTGTTTTTATGAGTGATGATCACTCGTTGGCCTGATAGGTGTATTGTGTCCAAATTTTTGTGTCAATTAGTCCACTGGTTTTTGAGTTATGTTAACATTACATTTTGATTTATATAGAAGACTAGCCGTCCCCTGCCACGCGTTGTTGTGACCCAGTCTGGTGATCTGGAAAATAAAGTAATTAGAAAGTGTTGGTTTCTAATATAGGTAATTTCTTTATGTTTGTGGGTAAACAGTATTTCTTGCTGTTTCTTTATCAGTGTTGATGTGGAGATTATCTGGTGTGCCTACTCTGGAACATGCATCATATAATTGTCCTTCTTTAGGAGTCCCTTTCAAATCTGTGATACTATATCTCTCTGTGTGTGAATCATATCTATCTATCTATCTATCTATCTGTATGGCTGTATGGCTCTTTGTCAGGAGGACTTTGATTATGTTTTCTTGCCCTGGTAAAGGGAGTTGGATTGGATGGCCTTAAGTATTTTCTATTGGTCATGGGGATTCTATGTGGGAAGTTTGCCCCAATTCTGTCTTTGGTGGGGGTTCAGCATGCACTTTGATTGTAGGTAAACTATGAATCCCAGTATCTACAACTCCCAAATGTCAAGGTCTATTTTCCCCAAACTTCCATCTGTGTTCATATTTGGGTATATGAAATATTCGTGTCAAGTTTGGTCCAGATCCATCATTGTTTGAGTCCACAGTGCTCTCTGGATGTAGGTGAACTACAATTCCCAAACTCAAGGTACATGCCCATCAATGCGCATGTTAGTCATGGGAGTCCTGGGTGCCAAGTTTGGTTCAATTCCAACATTGGTGGAGTTCAGAATGCTCTTTGATTGTAAGTAAACTATAAATCCCAGGAACTACAACTCCCAAATGACAAAATCAATTTTTGAGTGATGGTCATTCCTTGGGTTAGTAGGTGTTTTGTGGCCAAATTTGGGGTCAATTCGTCCTGTGGTTTTTGAGTTATGTTAATCCTACAAACGAACATTACATTTTTATTTATATAGAAGACTAGCTGTCCCCTGCCACGCGTTGCTGTGGCCCAGTCTGGTGATCTGGAAAATAAAGAGCAAGTGTTGGTTTCTAATATATGTAATTTCTTTATGTCTGTGGATAAACAGTTTTTCTTGCTGTTTCTTTATCAGTGTTGAAGTGGAGATTATCTGGTTTGCCTACTCTGGAACATGCATCATATAATTGTCCTTCTTTAGGGGTCCCTTTCAAATCTATGATACTATATCTGTGTGTGTGAATCATATATATCTATATCTATGGCTGGATGGCTCTTTGTCAGGAGGGCTTTGATTACGTTTTCTTGCCCTGATAAGGGAGTTGGATTGGATGGCCTTAAGTATTTTCTGTTGGTCATGGGGGTTCTGTGTGGGAAGTTTGCCCCATATCTGTGTGTGTGTGTGAATCATATCTATCTATCTTTCTATCTATCTATCTATCTATCTATCTATCTGTATGGCTGGATGGCTCTTTGTCAGGAGGACTATGATTATGTTTTCTTGCCCTGATAAAGGGAGTTGGACTGGATGGCCTTAAGTATTTTCTGTTGGTCATGGGGGTTCTGTGTGGGAAGTTTGCCCCGATTCTGTCATTTGTGGGGTTCAGAATGCTCTTTGATTGTAGGTGAACTGTGAATCCCAGTGACTACAACTCCCAAATGTCAAGGTCTATTTTCCCCAAACTCCATCTGTGTTCATATTTGGGCCTATTGAGTGCTTGTGCCAAGTTTGGTCCAGATCCATCATTGTTTGAGTCCACAGTGCTCTCTGGATGTAGGTGAACTACAACTCCAAAAGTTAAGGTCAATGCCCACCAAAACCCTTCCAGTATTTTCTATTGGTCATGAGAGTTGTGTGTGCCAAGTTTGGTTCAGTTCCATCATTGATGGAGTCCAGAATGCTCTTTGATTGTGGGTGGAACTATAAATCCCAGCAACTACAACTCCCAAATGACAAAATCATAATTTTTTGAGTGATGGTCACTCCTTGCGTTGTGAGACGTTTTGTTGCCAAATCTGATGTGATTTCGTTCATTGGTTCTTTTGTTTTTAAGGTACTCATTATGCACAGAGCATTATATATATATATATATATATATATATATATATATAATATATATATAAAAGATATATATATATAGAAGAGAAAGATATATATCTTATATATAGAAGATTGTCTGCCTTTGTTTTTTAATGTTTAGTCCTGGGTGTCCTCTCCAAGGTACAGATCTATGCAAATATGGCAAAATCCAAGCTATTTCCGGTTTCAGGCGTTTCTGAGAAGTGGCCCCGCCCCTGAGCCGTGACGTCACGGAGCTCCGCCCACCCACCGCTTGAAGTTGCTATGGCGACTTCACGCGAACTCGCCCCCGGAGGCGCCCCTTCTCCCTCTTCAACCTCCTCTCCCGTATTTCCTGAACCTGGGTCAGCCACAACCTACATTCAAACTCGGCCCTCACAGCCTCCAACCCCCATCCCGCAAAGGAGGAATCCAGGCGCCCGCTCCTCGCCTCACAGCGCTTTGCCCCGCTTCTGCGCATGCGCAAGGAAGGCGCGGACCAATCCGTTGCGGCGCGTCACCCGAGGCGCGCGAGGGACCTCTAGCGGGGAAGCGGATCCCATGGAGACCCGCTGGGGAAGGCGCCGCGGCGGCCGTAAAGCACGGCTGTCGCGCTTGGTGTCGTGAACGGCAGATGGCAGTGGGCGGCCATTCAAGCCAGCTGAGGACTAAAAGGGAGAAGAGGAAGGAGAATCACAGAATCAAAGAGTTGGAAGAGACCTCCTGGGCCATCCAGTCCAACCCCATTCTGCCAAGAAGCAGGAATATTGCATTCAAATCACCCCTGACAGATGGCCATCCAGCCTCTGTTTAAAAGCTTCCAAAGAAGGAGCCTCCACCACACTCCGGGGCAGAGAGTTCCACTGCTGAACGCCTCTCACAGTCAGGAAGTTCTTCCTCATGTTCAGATGGAATCTCCTCTCTTGTAGTTTGAAGCCATTGTTCCATTGCGTCCTAGTCTCCAGGGAAGCAGAAAACAAGCTTGCTCCCTCCTCCTCCCTGTGGCTTCCTCCAAATACTTATACATGGCCCTCATCATATCTTCTCTCAGCCTTCTCTTCTTCAGGCTAAACATACCCAGTTCTTTAAGCCGCTCCTCATAGGGCTTGTTCTCCAGACCCTTGATCATTTCAGTCACCCTCCTCTGGACGCATTCCAGTTTGTCAATATCTCTCTTCAATTGTGCCCAGAATTGGACACAATATTCCAGGTGTGGCAGAGAGAAGAGAGAAACTGGGACACTTTGTTGTTGTTCATTTGTTCAGTCGTCTCCGACTCTTCGTGACCTCATGGACCAGCCCACGCCAGAGCTCCCTGTCGGCCGTCACCACCCCCAGCTCCTTCAAGGTCAGTCCAGTCACTTCAAGGATGCCATCCATCCATCTTGCCCTTGGTCTCGGCCCCTCTTCCTTTTACCTTCCACTTTCCCCAGCATAATTGTCTTCTCTAGGCTTTGCTGTCTCCTCATGATGTGGCCAAAGTACTTCAACTTTGTCTCTAGTATCCTTCCCTCCAGTGAGCAGTCGGGCTTTATTTCCTGAAGTATGGACTGGTTGGATCTTCTCGCAGTCCAAGGCACTCTCAGAACTTTCCTCCAACACCACAGCTCAAAAGCATCGATCTTCCTTCGCTCAGCCTTCCCTAAGGTCCAGCTCTCACATCCGTAGGTTATTTATTTATCGTGTCATCAGCAACCATTGTATTACAATTCTAACAGAGCAAAACAAACACACAGAATTAAAAAGAAAAAGGAAAAAAAAACAGATTTTGCAAATTTGATATTTGGTTAAATGTCCTTTGACCAGTATCTGGCCACTTGGGAGTGCCTCTGTTGTTGCCGCAAGAAGGTCCTCCATCGTGCATGTGGCAGGTCTCAGGTTGCATTGCAGCAGGTGGTCAGTGGTTTGCTCTCCTCCGCACTCGCATGTCACGGACTCCACTTTGTGGCCCCATTTCTGAAGGTTGGCTCTGCATCTCGTGGTGCCAGAGCGCAGTCTGTTCAGCACCTTCCAAGTCGCCCAGTCTTCTGTGTGCCCAGGAGGGAGTCTCTCATTTGGTATCAGCCATGGATTGAGGTTCTGGGTTTGAGCCTGCCACTTTTGGACTCTCGCTTTCTGAGGCATTCCAGCGAGTGTCTCTGTAGATCTAAGAAACAATTTCTTGATTTAAGTCGTTGACGTGCTGGCTGATACCCAAACAAGGGATGAGCTGGAGATGTCTCTGCCTTGGTCCTTTCACTATTGGCTGCTACTTCCTGGCGGATGTCAGGTGTGCAATTCCGGCTAAACAGTGTAATTTCTCCAGTGGTGTAGGGCGCAGACACCCCGTGATAATGCGGCATGGAAGAGTATTATTTGGGGCTAAAATAGCCAATGGGATTTTGGCCTGCATAAATAGTTTTGTGTCTAGGTCCAGGGAAGTCATGCTCCTCTATTCTGTCTTGGTCAGACCACATCTGGAATCACACTGTGTCCAGTTTTGGGCACTGCAATTGAAGGGAGATGTTGAAAAGCTGGAATGTGTCCAGAGGACGATGACTAAAATGATCAAGGATCTGGAGAACAAGCCCTATGAGGAGAGGCTGAAAGAGCTGGACATGTTTAGCCTGAAGAAGAGAAGGCCAAGAGTGTTGCATGAAACCTCTCTGGGCAAAATTATTATTTGGTCCCTTCATGCCTGCAGCAGAGAGTTCCAAAGGCTGCAGACACTTAAAGTGTACCTGTTTGGCTCTGTGCATGTTCAGACAATCAGGAAACTAGCTATAGACTGCCTATGATCCCTTAATAAATTGGTTACCCCGAACTCTGTGCTTCTCTTGCCTTTCCTTGCTGTAATGTATCTTTCTCAGCCATCATGTACCTTTCCTTGCTGTAATTCAGGCTTTCCCCCTTTTCTTCTCTTTCCAGATAGCTGGTTCCCCCATTAGAAAGCCTTGGATAGTTTAAACTCTCTCTGCTCATTATACTTCTCTCCTGCCACCCTCCCTGTCTCAGAGCACACTCTCTGGCCTCTTTTGGGACCTAACTCAACCCAGGGATTCTGAAGACTGTTTTCCAAGCCTGAGAAACTATATCTCCCAGGGCTGCAGTTAAAAAGAACTCATTACCCGCTGAATACGCCTATGTTCTAAAGTTGTTTTCCTTATCTGTTCCCATCTTTGCAATGTGTAACCCTCCTGCCTTTTTGTTCCAAAGTCCCCCTGAAAGCCCACTCTGCATGTGCTCCTTTCCGAGCATGGAATTGTATTATTTCTGTGTATTTTCCCTTCCTTATGCCTTGATCTACATACAAGGGAGCCCGAGGGAAACCCATTCACCACCACTCAATGCTCAATGAGCCCTGCTACATGCACAATGGAGGACCTTCTTGCAGCAACACCAGAGGCACTCCAAGTGGCCAGCTACTGGTCAAAGGACATTTAATCAACTACCAAGCTTGCAAACTTTGTGTTTTGTTTGTATGTTTGTTTGTTTGTTAAAAAAATGAAATACAACTGTCTGGTATGCTCCTGACATGATAAATAAAAAAAATAAATGCTCTTTGTCTCTTCACAAGCCAACTGCTCAGCAAAGCCCCCTTTCTGTGATTGGTCAGAATTGGGAGACTCATCCAATGGGCTTCGCTACAGCTGATGTTGCTACAGTGGGAAATTTGTGTATAAAAGAGGCTGTATTTCTATATTTGTTATTCTAGCTTCTTTGTGAATGTATCACAAGCTAGGATCTTATCTGCAGATAATACAATCTTCCTTGCCGAAATCACCTTCTCACCTTGCTGCTGGATGATTTTAATTGGGGCTGATCTGGATGCTTGCCACAGCAGGGACTCACAGAAAAGGGACAGCTCAGACTTATCACTTGTCTGGGTTTCTGCCAACAGGCTTCTTCCTGGTCTCACTGCCAGGGGTTGCCTCCTAAATTGGGCCAACAAGAGGAGACATAATGAGGGCCATGTATCAAGACATGAGAGGAACTCATAGGGAGGAGGGAGCAGGCTTGTGTTCTGCTGATCTGGAGACTAGGATGCAGAACAATGGCTTCAAACTACAGGAAAGGAGAATCCACCTGAACACTAGGAAGAACTTCCTAACTGTGAGAGGTGTTCAGCAGTGGAACTCTCTGCCCCGCAGTGTGGTGGAGTCTCATTTGGAGGCTTTGAAACAGAGGCAGGATGGCAAACGGTCAGGGGTGCTTTGAATGTGATGTTCCTGCTTCTCGGCAGAATGGGATTGGACTGGGTGGCCTACAAGGTCTCTTTCTACTCTATGATTCTTTTCTTTTTCTTTTTTTTTTTGTCGTGTCAGGAGTGTCCTGTTGTGAGAGAATTGGTCGTCTGCAAGGACGTTGCCCAGGGGGCGCCCGGATGATTTTGATGTTTTGCCATCCTTGTGGGAGGCTTCTCTCATGTCCCCGCATGAGGAGCTGGAGCTTATAGAGGGAGCTCATCCACCTCTCCCCGGATTCGAACCTGCGACCCGTCGGTCTTCAGTCCTGCCAACACAGGGCTTTAACCCACTGCGCCACCGGGGGCTCCTATGATTCTATGAACTCTCACAATGTATCGTGTTAGGATATCCCAGCTCTAAGTTCTATAGTTCCTAGAGATGCTCTTTCCCAAAACATATTCTGCAATCACTGAAATTTTTATTGAATTTGACAGTTTCTCAAATGACAGGCAAAATAAATAAATACATAAATAAAACCTAGAAACAAAAGTTAGAGGAACATGTAGTTAGAAATACCACAGTTGAAAAGAAATCTGAATTCTTAACAAGAAACCTTTCGAAATGAGCTGGGAAGAAGATGTAAAGTTGTTTTATTCCCATTCGGCCATAAACAGTGTACACCGAGGCAGTTTTAAACCTCAAACCAGCTCAGGAATAGGAAATGCACAACCAGACACTTCATGAGGTAGATATAACATTGGTTTTTTTTTAAAAAAAATCTTACTCATTCAGTCCTGTCTGGAATCATTCCGTGTCACAAGAAAATACCAAAGCAAGAAACGGAAATGCATGTAGTATTTTACTATTGATGACTCACACAAGTGTGAGTGGACTAGTAAATGGAACAGAAAGGGAAACATACAGATTTCTTTTCTGGCCGTGGTTTAAAAACAGTGGATTTTATACCCTCCTAGATCAGGCATGGACAAACTTCGGGCCTCCAGGTGTTTTGGCTGTTAGGAATTGTGGGAGTGGAAGTCCAAAACACCTGGAGGGCCACAGTGTGCTCATACTTGTCCTAGATAGTCTTATAATAATTTTACAGAGAATCAGTGGCTTCTGGAATACTTCCTATGACTCCTCTGCACGCTTCCTGCGACCTGCTCAGTGACGGTTTTATGCAGCTCAAGAATTCATAGGTGAACTCTTGGGGATTACTTTCAAGGACGCCATGGCCTTCCCCAAAGTCAGAATCCAACAGTCACCCAATCGCCACAATGCTGACAGTCACTTGATTAATCCAAGAAATCCTCTGCATCAGAGGCAGAGGAGTGCAGGAAATTAGCTGGCTGGCCTTAATGCTTCCCTGAGGTTTCCCGTGCACTTGATTTGGATGACGGTTGGGCCAAACTGCCTCGGATCGCTTCGGAAGCCATATGTTGCAGTGACGATTGGCTGGTGAACGATGAGGTGAAGGAGAGGGTGGATGCTGGCGGTAAAAGGAGACAGAGAAAGAAGGAATTTTGAAACACGTTCTGGAAATCGCTAACACAAAAGGAGAGGAGAGGTTCAAGGTGCTGGTTCATACACTGTCATAGTACGGAATGGGACTGATAGTATAGAAAAGGAGATCCAGTTATGGCATCTACGTCTGCATGCATATCTCAGGACAGACTCTGCAGGAGTCTACCCTGTTCCATGCAGCAGTGGACAAGTCTACATAGGGACCACCAAATGTAGAATTGGCCAAACATGAATCAAGGAACATGAAAGGTACTGCAGACGCATTCAACCAGAAAAATCAGCCATAGCAGAGCACCTGATGAACCAACCTGGACACAGCATATTATTTGGGAACAAAGAAATGCTGGACCACTCTCACAACTACCATGCCAGACTATACAGAGAAGCCATGTGGACTGTCAAGATCCAGAAGCCTCAAGTAGAGCCAAACACAAGATAAAGAGTTCAAACACAGCTTTATTGTACAAAAATAGTCTTTTAAAGCACTTAACTTCAGTGCATAGAGTCAAAGTAGCAATTTGGCATCAAAAACGCAGTAATAGCAGTAACAAAAATATAACCCGGATTATAACGCTGTTTAATCCGGGTTAAACTCAAAGTTCAGAAATCTGCTTGAAAATTAGCACAGCACAAAAACAGTCAAAGAAGATGAAAAACGAAATCCCAAAAACGATGAGATGTTCAAGCACAAAGTTAGTAGAGTTTAAAGTTCCAAAAGTCAAAAGCGAAAGTCAAACCGGTCTGTGGTCAAGCCGTAGTAAAAGGTAAACACTGGAATGCAGGAGTCTCAGGAAAGCAGGAACGCAGGAAGCTGTAGCCCAAGGACCCAAGCTAGAGAGTTGGCAGTAACAAAGATTTATGTCCCATAAAGACACTTTGCCTTCTGCACAGTATCATTCAAACATAACCCACTTTTATCTTAGATCTCCTCATTAGAGGATGATGAGCTCCCCACCCTTTCTTCATCGCTCTCAGCTGCATCCAACCCCGCAGCTGAGCCCGAGCGCGCATCCCTCCACCTCTGCCAGCGTCTGCTAAGACTTAGATCTTGCCAAGTGCTCCCCGGTTGCCAATCCCCTGTGAACCCCTCAAATTCATCACTGGAGGTGGGTTGGTTACAAATGTCTCTAATCTGTTGAACACGGGTCCAATCCAGCTCCTCCTCCTCTCCCATATCACTCCCAGACCCATCACTCCTTTCAAACCCCATGAAATCCTCATCCTCTGTAGGAGCACTAAGTATTTCCCGGATGCGCTTCCTCTGAAGCTCCTCATCAGACTCCAGATCGCGAGTAGCCCTCTCTACTCCCCTGCTCTCCTCCCCATCTCCCATTTCGCAATCAGAGAAGCCCTCAAACGTCTCGGAATCACTTGGGGCCAATATTATTTCCCTAATGCGTTTCCGCTGTTGTTCCCCCTCTGACTCTTGCGCAGATCTCTTCTCCCTCCTACTAGTATTAGGAACGTTACCATCATGCTGAACTACAACATGGACAATTTCAATAGAAAGGAGAAAAGCATGAAAAGGAACAAAATCTGGCTACTAGTATTTTAAAAAATTAAAATCATAACAGTAAATAAAGAACAACACTAATTGGGATTTCCATCAAAGAAAAAATCAGGGCCAGCAAATCACCTCCCAACAAAGGATTCCCCCGGCAGTAAGAAGTCATACCTTGAAACTGCTTGGCCATTAAATCCTTATCAAGGTAGCCAATTGAAACATTCACAACTATCTCGGACAGATAAGAGTTGTTTCTCCCACCCTGGACATTATTCCACAGATATATAAACTCAATTTTTCTAGTTTCCAACAAATTTCACAACCTCTGGGGATGCCTGCCATAGATGCAGATGAAATGCTAGGAGGGAATGCTTCTGGAACATGGCCATACATCTTGGAAAACTCACAACAACCCAAAACAAAGCATGTTTCTCCTTTTCAATATCATTCAATGCATTGTTTTGACAACTCACTTGTCCGATAGGCCCATGCTTCTTCCATCCTCTTGATGAGTCCGTGGATGTAGCTCTTGCATGTGGGAGCCATGGTAAGGATTGATATGTATAGGATAAGCACACCTATGATGGCGCCCATCCATACCTGGGAGCAAAATAAGCCATTTGTAAAGGGAGGATGTTTGATTTGTCGTTGATCAGTTATGGCCATATGTGGGCAGACAGCACAAAAACTACGAGAGAGGAAACAGAGACTGCTTGATTGATCTTTTATCTTATAGAAATAATGAAGAAGGAGGAGAATGAGAAGAGAGGAAATACTCAGAATGGGGAATTTGATAAAACTAGCCCTCACTTTACTGCATTCACTGAGCTGGGATGAGCTGGTTCTAATCAGACTTGCCCACCTTCTGTCTTCACAATACCTTTTGGGGAATAACAACTCTCAAAGCAGAGGTGGCCAAAGGGCAGCTCTGAAGCCCTACACCAGGCTTCCAAGACAGAGCATGCTTCACTTCACTTTTGCAATTCCAAGGCTGAGTTACAGTTGTACAGGCAGTCCCCGAGTTACAGATATCAGACTTACAAATGACTCATCGTTAAGGACAGAGGTGAGGCAACAGAAAGTGAGGGAAATCTACCCCTTGGGGGGAGAGAAATTCACTCCTAGAGGTGTTGTTTTCAAGGGTAAAAGGTGTCTCTACTGAAGTTTTATCCCTAATCCTCGTTTCCACAACAAACCAATTTTTTCAAAATTCATTGACCACAGGAACAAGGTGAAATGATATCTTCTGAACAGGGGCACAGACAGCAAAACAAACCCCACCAGGGAATTAACCTTTCCCTATGTCATCCAAAGCATGCATGCATGTGTGTATGCAAGTGTGTGTGTGGCAATCCATGGTTCTAAATGGTTTTAAAGTACTTACAAACCTAGAGGGCGCTGGTGTTTTGCTTCTATGGTGTTGCTAAAGTTCTGGTGGTGAAAATTTCAGAACTCTAACAAAACCTTCAAAATTTTGTTGTAAATGGGACTTCCTTAGTTCTGTCAAAAAATCGCCAATAATGAAATAATAATAAATTTTTGGAAGTTTTGGGAAATTTTCTCCACCAGAACTTTAGCAACACCATAAAAGCAAAGCACCAGTGCCCCCTAGTTTTGTAAGTACTTTAGAATGATTTAGAACTATAGATTGCCCATGCCTAGTGTTTGTGTGTGTATGTATGTATGTATGTATGTGTGTGTGTGTGTGTGTGTGTGTATGAGAGAGACTAGAATTACACTTTAAAATGGACCTCTTCTGGCTTACAAACCAATTCCTCTTAAGAACAAACTTACAGAATCTTGTTCGTAACTTGAGGACTGCCTGTACAATGTATACCTTTTAGGATTTCCTTGAGAGTCTGCCTGGGAGATGAGAGTCCAGATCCCCACCTGGTCATGGAAGCACACTGGGTGTCATTGGGTGACTCACATTCTCTCAGCTTCAGAGGGAGTCCAGGGCAAACCTCCTCTGAAGAAAACCCTTAGAGAAGGTCGGAGTTCAATATATTGTCGAAGGCTTTCATGGCCGGAATCACTGGGTTGTTGCAGGTTTTTCCAGGCTATATGGCAATGTTCTAGAGGCATTTTCTCCTGACTTTTCGCCTGCATCTATGGCAAGCATCCTCAGAGGTAGTGAGGACTGTTGGAACTAGGAAAATGGGTTTATATATCTGTGGAATGACCAGGGTGGGACAAAGGACTCTTGTCTGTTGGAGCTGGATGTGAATGTTTCAACTGACCACCTTGATTAGCATTAGATAGCCTGGCAGTGCCTGGGGCAATCTTTTGTTGAGAGGTGATTAGACGTGCCTGATTGTTTCCTCTCTGTTGTTTTGCTGTTGTAATTTTAGAGTTTTTTAATACTGGTAGCCAGATTTTGTTCATTTTCATGGTTTCCTCCTTTCTGTTGAAATTGTCCACATGCTTGTGGATTTCAATGGCTTCTCTGTGTAGTCTGACATGGTGGTTGTGAGAGTGGTCCAGCATTTCTGTGTTCTCAAATAATATGCTGCGTCCAGGTTGGTTCATCAGGTGCTCTGCTATGGCTGACTTCTCTGGTTGAAGTAGTCTGCAGTGCCTTTCATGTTCCTTGATTCGTGTTTGGGCAATGCTGCGTTTGGTGGTCCCTATGTAGACTTGTCCACAGCTGCATGGTATACGGTAGACTCCTGCAGAGGTGAGAGGATCCCTCTTGTCCTTTGCTGAACGTAGCATTTGTTGGATTTTCTTGGTGGGTCTGTAGATAGTTTGTATGTTGTGTTTCTTCATCAGCTTCCCTATGCGGTCAGTGGTTCCCTTGATGTATGGCAAGAACACTTTTCCTCTGGGTGGATCTTTGTCTTTACTCTCGGCTTGTTCTCGGTCTTGCAGCTCTTCTGATGTCTGAGGTGGAGTCTCCATTGGCCTGTAGAGCCCAGTTTAGGTGGTTCAGTTCATTTTCGAGGAGGTGAGCTTCGCAGGTTCTTTTTGCACGGTCTGCCAAGGCTTTAATTGTGCTTCTTTTTGACTTGGGTGATGGTTGGAGTTTTTATGTAGGTATCTATCTGTGTGTGCGGGTTTTCTGTAAACAGTGTGACCCAATTGTTGATCTGGTTTTTGGATGACTAGGACATCAAATGCTAATCAAGGTGGTCAGCTGAAACATTCACACCCAGCTCCAACAGACAAGAGTCCTTTGTCCCACCCTGGTCATTCCACAGATATATAAACCCATTTTCCTAGTTCCAACAGACCTCACTACCTCTGAGGATGCTTGCCATAGATGCAGGCGAAACGTCAGGAGAGAATGCCTCTAGAACATGGACATATAGCCCGAAAAAACCTACAACAACCGAAGGTCGGAGTTGTTTTGAAAGCAAGTTAACATCACAAACGAGAAGGCACAGCCTATATATACATTAACTTCTCGCTTTTGCAAAGCTAGGAAACTCTAGAGAGAATGAACTGCTACTGGTGGAGCCATGGCAAGCACATCGAACGCTAGAGAATAAATGCCAAGAGGCATGGAGGCCCAGCAGTTGTTACCTCCAAGAGAAAGAGGGCTCTGGTATAGCTAAGGCGCAGGCCGTGAACGTGGATGATGAACTCCAAGGCGTAGTCGCAGTAGGTGGTTTGGTCCACTCCCCTGCAGAAGCAAAAAGGAGAGAAGGAGGTTGGCTGCTGGGAAAGAAGATCCTCTTTTGTCAGGAATATTAAAGATCAACTGGGTATTTTTGATGACAAAAGTGTGAGTCAAGCACTGAAAGAGTTAGTAGGCTGAAGCCTGTTAGAGTTAGTAGGCCAAAGCTAGCGTCGCCCTGAGGAGAGGGAGTAGGCCGAAGCCTGTTAGAGTTAGTGGGCCAAAGCTAGCGTCGCCCTGAGGAGAGGGAGTAGGCCGAAGCCTGTTAGAGTTAGTGGGCCAAAGCTAGCGTCGCCCTGAGGAGAGGGAGTAGGCCGAAGCCTGTTAGTGTCAGTTTGATTCAGTGAGGGAAATGGTCACTCTGTGATAAAGTGTGAGGCAAGCACTGAAAGAGTTATTAGGCCAAAGCCTGTTAGAGTTAGTGGGCCAAAGCTAGCATCGCTCTAAGGAGAGGGAGTAGGCCGAAGCGTGTTAGTGTCAGTTTGCCTCAGTGAGGGAAATGGTCACTCTGTGACAAAGTGTGAGGCAAGCACTGAAAGGGTTAGTAGGCCGAAGCCTGTTAGACTTAATGGGCCAAAGCGAGCGTCGCCCTGAGGAGAGAGAGTAGGCCAAAGCCTGTTAGTGCCAGTTTGCCTCAGTGAGGGAAATGGTCACTCTGTGACAAATTGTGAGGCAAGCACTGAAAGAATTAGTAGGCTGAAGCCTGTCAGAGTTAGTGGGCCAAAGCTAGCGTCGCACTGTGGAGAGGGAGTAGGCCGAAGCCTGTTAAATATTAGTTTGCCTCAGTGAGGGAAATGGTCAGTCTGTGCGAAGTAAATGTCTATATGAGAGAAGCCTTGTGTGAGGGAGCTCCAGTGTATAAGGGCTGCTGTGTATATAAAGCTACGATGTATTTGTTTGTTCGTGTTGTGGAAACCTTGTTACTGTAAATAGTGCAACTATATTATTTTACCTCAAAGAAAAGCCTCCTATGGAAGAGACAACATTGGTCGGAGTGTTTTTGTTCTCTTTACCACTTTGGGCTCCTGGAGCTGGGTCAATCTCTACTAATGAGTTGCTCAGCTGTACATTTATGATTAGGGTCTTTTGTCATTAAGGCCACTCGCCTGACATCTTTCATTTCCCTCCCTCGCATTACCAAAATGAGGGTTCAAATCCCCGTTCAGCCACAGAATCACACTGGGTGATCCTGGGCAAGTCACATTCTCTCAGCCTCCATGGATGGCAATGGGAAGTCCCGCTGGAGATCAGCCTGAGACTCTTGAGCCTGATGGGTTCACTGATGATTTAGAGAGGATGATAAAGGTAAAGGTAAAGGTTTTCCCCTTGACATTAAGTCTAGTCGTGTCCAACTCTGGGGGCTGGTGCTCATCTCCATTTCTAAGCCAAAGAGCCAGTGTTGTCTGTAGACACCTCCATGGTCATGTGGCTGGCATGACTGCATGGAGCACCGTTACCTTCACACCAAAGCAGTACCTACTGACCTACTCACATTTGCATGTTTTCGAACTGCAACCGCTGACCTTCCGGTCAGCAAGTTCAGCAGCTTAGTGGTTTAACCCACTTCATGACTGGGGGCTCCTAAGCATAATAAATTAAGATATAAATGGCACAGAGTTTTAAACTAAGATAAACTGGAAAGTGAACAGTTATACCTGTTTGATACCTTCATCACAAAGAAGTACTCCGGAGCAGAGGCATCATTGGGAACAATGTCGTGACAGGGAGAATTCTTCTGGCAGACCCACCTTTGAGAGAAAGAAGGTTCATTTCACATTTCAGAGTTGAGTCCAGGAGAGCTTTTTAGATAATATCTTGTAGGAAAGGAGGCCGAACAGGGAAGGAAGGGAAACATTGAAATCAAGGGGGATTGCCTCTTTTATTCAGGATGGAAATCAGAGGCAGAATCAGAATAAATAACACTCGGTGAGCCTTACAGTATCCCAGAGCTGTCTTGAGAGAAGACATTGAAACCTTCGGCATCGGTGTTGTTATCTTCACCATCAGCCCTCAGCCAGATGAGACTGTTTGTTACGCTAGGGAAAAAAATGAAAACAACCCAAGTTGGAAATTGGGTGTAGTTGGGAATCCTGCAGCCCTCCTGATGTTGCTGGACTACAACAACATCCTAATCCATGGAGAAGAATGCTAGGCGCTAAAGTCCAATACTTTCAAGAGGAAGGGATGTTTGAAACACCTCCAATCCTGAAATTAACACTGTAGGTTGGGCAGAACCACCATATCGCTGTGTCTAATTTCCTATCCAGAGATGATCCAGTGGGATATCTTGACTGATGATGTGAACCACTTCTAAGAAACAGGCCACTGTCCATCCATCGAGGAAGCAAGTTTATGTTAGAGGCCAAACCAGGCCTGAAGATGGATTGAACTGGAGTTTAGGAAACCTCCAAGACCAGTTCAATTCAAACTGTTCCCCTTCCTAAGATACTTCCGAGACTTTGATTAGAAATTTCATTAATACATTAAATCAGTGGTTCCCAACCTTTTTTGACCAGGGACTTGACCAGGTACCCCCTGAACAGGAACCGCTTTGACAGGGACCACTCTCCAACATTAGTACCAAAAGGGTTACTAATCAGTTTTTGATCAACTTTAGATTCGGTTTGATTATTATTTGGGGTACTGATGCAGAAAATTGCATTGGCTAGACCACATCAGTTCTAGTTTCTGATACAGAACATCTGCCATCCGGTAGTCGCCATCTGCTCGCCCACAGAAAAAACATATTTAACAATCTAGTTGATGTGGTAGTAGTAATCTTTCATGGGTAGTCAGCCTCTCCCCTCCTGACATCCCTGTTGCCTCGGCACTAGAAGAGGGCTCCGCAAGACCAGTTGCTCTTGTTGCCATGTGGTTTCAAGGTAACGATGTAGCAATGGTGAGGCTGTGGACCAGATTTTCGTTCTTGGTGGTCCATGGACCACAGGTTAGGAACTACTGCATTAAATGGTCTCACTTCTGCTTAGTCCTCCAGGATAGGCAACAGAGATCCCTCTAACAGTTTGAGGGATTGTGACCTTGCCCTCTGTTTAAAAAGTTTGAGGCCCCCTGGTCTAGAGTAAGGATTTCCCTTCAACTATGTCTCCTGTATGACAGTTGGAATATATCTAATTTCTTCTCTCCTCTCTGTTTCTGCTCTCATTCTGATTCTTTAAAATGGATAGTTTTCTACTGCAAATTTTTTTGAATCTGACTTCTGCCTTCTGACACTGTAGTATGGACAGAATGTGCTGTGTGCTTTGAGATCTCTCTCTCCTTGTGTGTGTGGAGAGATATCGTGATTGAGTTTTCCCCCTCCATTGAAACCTTAGAAGAGATGGGTGTTAGAATAGCTCAGACTCAGTTCTTGATTATTAAGAAATATAATTATTTGTTATTATTGTAAATAAACTTTCTGTGATTGTTTTTTAAAGATTGGACTCTGCATGTTTGCCTCCTAAGCTCTGAATTCTTTACAGCCACATCACACGGCACTTCACGCTCCGTATGTTGCGAGCTGATGCTTAACTTTAAGTGCCCAGTTTGTTTTTGGATGTTCTGCTTTATATTTTAGGATAGTTTTCCCTAACACAACTCTCTCCAACATCCATCCCTCATCAGGGAGAACACCATTTTTATACATCTCCCATTACATCAGCCTCCACACTCTGATTACAGGGACACAGAAATTTTACATGTAGTTAAAAATGCCAGGTATTTTACAAATCCTGACACATACAACTCCCAGTATCCCCTCTCACTGGCCAAGTTGGTTTGGGCTGGTGAGAGCCTGAATCCAACAATGACCTGAATGACCACAAGACCCACCAAATGCCGCTTGGGAATCAACTACTGCAGAAATGGCAGAAGAGTGTGAGAGACCATGCATTGTATGCACCTGCCAATCATGGTGTTGTAGCGCGGAAGGTCCTCCTCTTTGAAGTATTCAATGTTATCGACTGAAAAAGCTCCCCCACCAATGACGGAGAAGATATAGCTGTCATGAAAAAATGGGAAGAAAAAGAAAATGAGTTTGCATGCAAAGGCTTTAACTCAGTGTTTCTCAACCTGGGGGTCAGCATCCCAAGGGAGTCAAGAAAGGGTTTCAGAGGAGTTGCCAAGGACCACCAAAAACACATATTTCTGATCATCTTAGGAACCCCCTTGGCGGAGAAGACTGAAGATCTCTCCACCTGTCTTCTGAAAGGAGTCAACCAATAAACAGAAGGCAGCTGGGCACAAATGCTTTTGAAACCTCAATACCTACTGAGAAGGACAACGTTCCGCCCCCTCCTCTCCTCCTCCTCAGTTAACTCAGTACAAACAACTTTTGCATTTTGAACTCATTCTGCAGCAATTGTAGTTAAGGGAGTAACTGTGAGGAAGCGAGAGAAACCTGGACATTTTTAAGGTAGCTGAAAATGTGGAGCAACAAAGGATTAACCAGGAGTGTCCCTGTCCAAGTGCATTGGGTTTGGACCCAGGTGCCTCTGCCTTGTTCCAAAGACCTTGAACAAAGGGCTTGAGAATGTATTCATCCCGACTCAACATTTCCACAAAGCTGTGCTCAGGCCTCACCTTCCATTGAAACGCCCCGAGTGCCCTGTCACCATGTCTTGGATCAAAAAGAAAGGGTAAAACACTGCCAAGAAAGAAAAGAAAGAAGAAAGTGTGTCAAATATGCTGAATGCTTGGAATGGTTCCAGGTGGAGCGGGCTGAACTGAACAACCCCTCTTGAAACTGTCTTACTGACCAGAACCAAACATCAATTTTTACTGGTCCTAGTTGAGGAACCACTGGATTTATGCATCTTTTCTGCCATAACAATATATATAACCATGTCCGTTCCACTCATCTGACTTCCCAGTTCGCTTCATGGCAGAAACCCAATGCACCCAGGTATTCCTCCCGCTGTCCTTACCATCACTGAAGTAGAAGCAGGGCATCTCGGGGTCCGGTTTCACACAGTCGAAGTAGCGCTTGTTCTTCTCACTAGTGTAATTTTTGGTGTAAGTGATGTCAAAAGCCAGCCTTCTGCCTGGAGGACATCCAATATTGATGCTGATTGTATCACTGCCCTGCAAGGTAGGCAGAAAGTTAGAATATAAGCCTTTGCATTTTGGGGTGGAATCGGAGGAACACCTTGAGGAGACAGACTTGGAGCGATATGCAAGGAACTTCCCTTCTTGGACACAGAATGCCCCAGAGAATGTGGCTGGCATTGTTAATACATGAGGGCAGGAATAGATGGCAGATGGAAGGAGGCCACGGCAAAGGGATGAAGGGAGGAACGGCTTGCAGAACAGCAGAGAGAGGGAGATGGGTGGTCAAATTGTTTCAGGGCTCCTGAAGATCAAATATTAATTCTATGTGTTGTCGAAGGCTGTCATGGCCGGAATCACTGGGTTGCTGTGAGTTTTCTGGGCTGGGCAGAAGCATTTTCTTCTGATGTTTTGCCCACATTTATAGCAAACAGGGTTTATATAACTGTGGAATGTCCAAGGTGGAAGAAAGAATTCTTGTTACTTTAAGGCAAATGTGAATGTTGCAACTAGCCACTTTGATTAGCTTTTAAGGGCCTTGCACCATCAAAGCCTGGCTGCTTCTGCCTGGGGGAATCCTTTGTTGGGAGGTGTTAGCTGTCCCTGGTTGTTTCCTGTCTGGAATTCCCATTTTTGAGTGACCAATTGCAACATTCACACCTGCCTCAAACAGACAAGAGTTCTTTGTCCCACCACTCACGTAGGGAAAATAAACTTCACTTGCCTAGTTTCTAACAGACCTTATAACCTCTGAGATTGGCTGCCACAGATGTGGGTGAAATGCCAGGAGAGAATACTTCTGGAATATGACCATACAGCCCAGGAAACTCACAGCAACTCACTGATTGTATGCTTCTTGGGGCTTCTTGCAGAAGGACAGAACAGGGATCATCTCCCTTGCCATCAGGAAGGTAAAGCCACACTGACCTTTATGACTGGTCCGTCATCCATGTAGTGGTAGCAGTTCATCCCTGAGTGTGCAACCTGGGAAAAGCAAAACAAACTGAACACATTTCAAGTGAAGCGCTAGCCTAGCACACCAAATGGTATCTGATGGGCCATGCTAGCCCTAACCAAAGAGTTCCACTTTGATAATCAGAAAGAAAGCCATTGAAATTAAAGATCGGGCATTGATAAAGATTGCTATCTTACCTTTAAATTAGCAGAGCTCTTCAACAGCTCCTTTCCACTGAGCTGTTGCATTGGGTAATGGCCACTGTCTGAGATTGACACCTGTGAGGAGGAGGAGTTGTTGTTATAAGTGAGGCAAGACAAAAAGATGTGAAAAGAAAACCTATTTCACTATCAGGCTTCCCCATTTTCCATGTTGGCTTCCCCTTTTTGCTAGCCCTTCAAGTACACATAATCAATGACCAAGGTATTTGTATTGTCACTTTTTCCACACACTGAATCAACCCCATAATTCTGAAGCTGGCTCCTCTTGCTTTGTTTTTCACTGTTGACCCTGCTTGCAGCACTCAAATGAACTTCAAATACAGCCACCAGAAGTTGACTACTCAGACCAGAGTCTTCTTCTCTTGGCCCCATTCACACAGTTCATTTGGTTGGAATGGAGGGGGCCCTTACCTTATAGAGGATGGAGCCTCTGCTGATGAGTTCGTGCCTCTCTAAATCCGCATGAACATATTCCGGATGGGATAAAAGTATGGTGAGCCACATGTAGTTGAGAGAATTCTCATCCGCCGTTTCCCCCACTAAAGGCAAAACGAGAGAAGGCCTATGACTCCACTGAAACTCTTATTGTGTATCTGCGTTTGTAACACTGTGTATAGCAATAGTTTCTGGGCACTTCCCTATGTGCAATGTGGAGTCTTAGGAAGTTTGTAATTTCAAACCCTTTGCCTGATTATTTTAAAGGCTATTTTTTAAAAAAAGTTTCACATATGTCATTCCACATTGCTCTCTATATCTAAAACGGTTTATGAAACAACAGTCCTACCTGTCTCCAATTTGCAAAAAGAGAGAATTGATCAGGAATTAGGGAACCAAAATGGGGGCACTGCCCCACAAATAAGAATTCTTGCCCTACAAATGGCATTTCCAACATTTCTAGTTTCACAGAGAGCAAGACTCTGAAAACCATTCACACCTAGAGTTCTTTGTTGGAAAGGACAACCTTCTCGTAATGTTTATCTATGATCCTGTTGCTTACTGTTTCCTATATGTATGTTCCAGTATGCAGCTTCCTTTACTCTATAGTTCCTGCGAAGTTATAAAAGGGATTGCAAACCACATGCTCTCTCTCCCCCCTCTCTCATTTTGATTGATTGATTTACAGCATTTATATTCTGCCCTTCTCATCCCGAAGGGGACCCAGGGTGGATCACATAACACATACACAGCAAACATTCGATGCAGACAGATAGTGGTATGCGTCAGCATTTTTCCAACCAGCATCCTGGAGGTTTTGCTTGATTCCAGCCACGGGGGGTGCTATTGTTCCATCCTTTATGACGAGCCTTTTTGATCACAGACTTTTCCTCCTGTTCTCTGATCACCACTCTTTATGGTGCCATAAAATACCTCTCAGTCTAAGCAGTGCCTAATTTCTCTACTCACAGCTCACAGATGTTTTCGAACTGCTTAGGTAGATAGTAAGCTAGGCTGAAGGTCGGGTGCTCACCCCGACCTGGGCTCAAACTGTCAACCTTTCAGTTGAGAAAGATCTATTGCTGCTGGTGATTAACAAGCTGTGCTAAAGCCCGACCCAATTTTGACTATATGACCTGTTGCTACCTGTTTTGTTATGAGAGAGATGCCCTGGTTGGATGGCGCAGAAACGTATCTGAAACTGGACAAGTTTTGTACTTGTGTATGCTGAACACATGAAGGTTGTGAGTAAACCAAATATGTGATTTCCATCAAATAACATATTTCTATCTACTTCATTTTGTCTCTTGAGTGCATGATATAAAACAAGTTGTTTTGTGGGATAATATATATATTTTGGGCAATACTCTGCTGTTTTTATGCACTGGCAAAATCTCTGTTTTCCTAGCAGATCAAAGATAACAGGTTATTCAGTCTAACGACTGAAACTATTGCCTTGCATAATTATATGTGGTTGTATACAACAAGAGAAGATTCTACTCCAAAGCATTTTGGCTCTTCTCTGAAAGGTCATGATCTTCTAAAAAGTTATGATCCCCAAAAGGTGTTCTTCCAAAAGGTTATAAATGCCTTTTTCCAAAATTCTTCAAATTCCCTTGATCAAACCTGCCAGTTCATTTTCTCTAAATGTTCAGATTGTATTTCTAAAAATTCAAGTGAATCTTTAAGCTACTACAATGCTAGGAATTTGAAGAAAATGTCATTGGGGGGGGGGGATTTTTATTTTGTCATTATGTTCCCTCCCTGTAGCCACAATCTGGTCTATAATATATCTACCCAGTCTCCCCCTGCTCTGTGAGGCCCCTTCTACACTGCCATATAAAGTCCAGATTATCTGCTTTGAACTGGATTGTATAGCCATGCAGACTCATATTATCCAGTTCAAAGCAGATAATGTGGATTCAAAAGCTGGATTATATGGCAGTTTAGAAGGGGCCTGAGTGAGTCTCACATCTCTAATCTCCCACATCATCTTACTGCTCTGTTTGGTCGTCCGGAGGCTCAAGTACACAGAGAAGAAGAAAGTCTGCTCCTTGTCCAAGTAGATGGTTTTCGGCAGCAAATTATTGGGCAGGATGTTGTAGATCTTCACATAGTTGGCCATGTCAACAAAGACGCCTCCAGAAGATTTCCAATTGCTCGCCATGTAGTAGTAATATTCCTAGAAAGTGTTGCATGTGATTGTAAGGAGGGATATAAAGCATCTGATACTTTACATGTTCATAGCCAAAGTAGTACCAATGCACACCTTCCCCTATTATGTGTTTGATCATACGTGCACATTTAATCTGCTGCTCCCTGCTTTGATCCATATGGAAAGGTAGGCAAAACATGTAGTGATGAGTGAAATTTTAATCTCTGTGCTTTCATGTATGTAAATACTCACAGGATTCTAACATATACACAGACCTGCTCAGAGGCTTAGCCACTTCAGATCTGCCACAACGGACCCGCTCCTTTACTATTTTCCCTAGTTTAACTGGATGAGAGCAGAAATCAGAAGCAGGCTCTGGAATTGTCTTCTTCAGACCTACTCTGAACTTGCTATTTTAGGGCATAAAATACCTCCAAACCAGGATATTTTAACCTGCCAAAAGGGAACTAAGTCTAAGATACAGCTAAACTTAATCTTCCCAGTGGGGAGGAGCTTACTGAGGAATGATTCTGTTATCGAACACCACTACCCCAACCCTAATAAAAAAGAATTTATAGTTAGGAATTTTTAGTTTTCCAAGGGCAACAAGCCAGAATGAGGTACAGTGAGATAACCCTAAACCTAACCCTTTTGCATAGAATCCCTAGTTCTCCCCAACACCCCATGACTTCTCTCTCTTCCCTCTATAAACTGTATTTCATTCCACGCTAAAACAGTGGATGTGGCTCTTAATGAGACATGCCGCATTATCACGGGGTGTCTGCGCCCTACACCACTGGAGAAATTACACTGCTTAGCCAGTATTGCACCACCTGACATCCGCCGGGAAGTTACAGCCAATAGTGAAAGGACCAAAGGAAAAGGACATATCCAGCTCATCCCTTGTTTGAGTATCAGCCAGCACGTCAACGACTCAAATCAAGAAATAGTTTTCTTAGATCTACGGAGACACTCGCTGGAACACCTCAGCAAGTGAGAGTCCAAAAGTGGCAGGCTCAAACCCAGCACCTCAATCCATGGGTCATACCAGATCAGAGACTCCCTCCTGGGCACACAGAAGACTGGGTGACTTGAAAGGCGCTGAACAGACTGCGCTCTGGCACCACGAGATGCAGAGTCAATCTTAAGAAATGGGGCTACAAAGTTGAATCCACAACATGCGAGTGTGGAGAAGAGCAAACCACAGACCCCCTGCTGCAATGCAACCTGAGTCCTGCTACATGCACAAGGGAGGACCTCCTTGCGACAACACCAGAAGCACTCCAAGTGGCCAGATACTGGTCAAAGGACATTTAATCAACTATCAAGTTTGCAAAATGTGTGGTTTTTTTATCTGTTTGTTTGTTTTGTTCTGTTAGAAATGTAATACATTTCTAACAGACTTCTCTCTCTTCCCTCTCTCTCTAACAGACTTCTCTCTCTTCCCTCTATAAACTGTATTTCATTCCACGCTAAAACAGTGGATGTGGCTCTTAATGAGACATGCCGCATTATCATGGGGTGTCTGCGCCCTACACCACTGGAGAAATTACACTGCTTAGCCAGTATTGCACCACCTGACATATGCCGGGAAGTTACAGCCAATAGTGAAAGGACCAAGGCAGTGACATCTCCAGCTCATCCCTTGTTTGAGTATCAGCCAGCACGTCAACGACTCAAATCAAGAAATAATTTTCTTAGATCTACAGAGACACTCGCTGGAACACCTCAGCAAGTGAGAGTCCAAAAGTGGCAGGCTCAAAC